TAGCAAGAGGGGGAATCTGGTAAAGATCTGCATCACCCAAGTTACTCAGGTGAGCGATGTGGCCCATGGGCCTCTTGTTTTATTTGCATTTTTAAATTGTTCAAATCTGTTAGATATGTAAATTAATTTCATAAAGCTACTCAACACAGAATGTCATACAGTATAACTGTACAATGTATGTTCTTGGAGCTTAAATACTAAATTTACTTTTTCCTTTTTCCATATCTCGGTCATTCCATCAGCATCATAAGATTTTGTTTGCTATATTTACACATAAAATGTACTAGGTAATATAATTAAAGAGGACAATGCTGACAATGAGGTACATCATAAGCCAATCTCAAACTAAAATGAATGTTCTGGTAGAGTGCATATCTAACATAATGAAAGTTTAGTCTTAAGACATAATTATATGGAAGTGGACCTGCTCCAAAAACTTATTATTCAACTATCCATAAAATGTACTGGCCATCTTTTTAGCTCACCTGAGCCGAAGGCTCGAGTGAGCTTTTCTGATCACAATTTGCCCATTATTATGTCCGTCTGTAAACTTTTCACATTTTCCACTTCTTCTCAAGAACCACTGGGCCAATTTTGACCAAACTTTGTACAAAGCATCCTTGGGTGAAGGGGTATTTAAATTATAACAAGAGGCCCATGGGCCTTATAGGTCACCTGAGTATCATGCGACAACTTTCCAACAATTGAATTTGATTCATGTTTTAAACTAGAGCCAGGTAGAGGCCATAAAATTCTCAATTTTGAAAGAGGCACCATTGCTTATCATAATTATACACTCAGCATGTTTATTTTGGTTACTTAATACCCAGAGGTAGATCAGAGTAACAAAGAGAAAATGCATTTTCACTTTTAGTGAATTCCAGGGCCCCTGGGTCAGGGCTTCTTGTGTTAGGGCGGGTCCACAGTTGAGCTCCCCATACCACAGGAACCACTGACCCTGGGGCCACATCTTTTAAAATTATAGACATTTTTAAAAATTTTATTTCATCTTGCTGTTGATTAACATCAAAGTGCAGATTTCAAAGCATTCAATTATTTCAGACTATGTTACCCCCCCCCCCAAAGTACCACGATCTGTCCCAGGGGCCAGTAAATTAACCATTTTTGGAAGAAGCAGGTTTTTTTGTCATAAATATATACTAAGCTCATTGGCATTATACCCAACAACAAAGGAAAATATTTTCAAAGAATTCATGCATTTTCACTATAAAACATTAAAGCCCCGCCCTAACAAGAAGCCCTTACCCAGGGACCCTGCAATTCAAAAATCTCAAAGAGGCATCCTTCCTCCTTATAACTATGCACATAGTTCTTCAAAGAAATAATGCATTTTCACTATATAATCTGTTTAGCCCCGCCCTAGCACTAGAACCCCTGACCCTGGGGCCATGAATTTCACAATTTTGGTAGAGGACTCAATGCTGATTACAATCACACCAACAGTTTGACTGCTTGATGTCCAGGAGTAAAGAAGAAGATTTTTAAAGGTTGCACTACTTTTAGTGGTTTTTGCCCCACCCCCCCAGGCCCCAGGGGGGCAGGGACCATGAAATTAACAATTTTTGTTCCCCTTCACCCATAGATGCTATTTGCCAAATTTGGTTGAAATTGGTTCAGTGGTTTCAGAGAAGAAGCTAAAAATGTTCAAATATTAACGCACGACGAACCACGCACGACGAACGACGACGGACAAAAACAGATAGCAATAGGTCACCTGAGTTTACTCAGGTGACCTAAAAATAAAGGACTAAGTCCCCACACAAGGGGAGATAGTTAAGAAAAGACAAAAATAGGGTGGGGCCATTAAAAAATCTTTTTAATTCTCAAGAACCACTGGGCCAGAAAAGCTGAAACTTAGGTGGAATCATCCAGGGATAGTGTAAATTCTAAATTGTTCAAATCATGACCCCCGGGGGTTGGGCGGGCCACAATTGGGAATCCAAGTTTTACATAAAATACAGGAAAAATCTTTTAAAATCTTCTTCTCAAGAACCACTAGGCTAGAAAATCTGAAACTTATGTGGAAGCATCCAGGGATAGTGTAGATTCTAATTTTTTCAAATCATGACCCCCAGGGGTTGGGCGGGCCACAATGGGGAATCCAAGTCTTACATAGAAATATATAGAAAAAATCTTTGAAAATCTTCTTCTCGAGAACCACTGGGCCAGAAAAGCTGAAACTTATGTGGAAGCATCCATAGTGTAGATTTTAAATTGTTAAAATGATAACCCCCGGGGGTAGGGCGGGCTACAATAGGGAATCAAAGTTTTACATAGAAATATATATTAGGAAAAAATCTGAAAAAACCTTCTTCTCAAGAACTACTGGGCCAGAAAAACTGAAACTTACATGGAAGCATCTATAGTGTAGATTTTAAATATTGTCCAATTAATGACCCTTAGGGTATGGTTACAAGGGGAAATCTGGTAAAGTACAGCATGATCAAAGCTCCTCAGTTGAGCAATGTGGCCCATGGGCCTCTTGTTGAAATACTGTTTGTTTGCCCTTTATCAACCGACCAACTGGCTAAAAATGGACCAATTTGATTTTTTTTTTTTTTGCCTCTAGAACAGTATTTTTGTTCTTTTTTATTAATTCCTGAATTTTCTCAGCCCATCAGTGTGCAAGTTTTTGGATACAGGTATGAGACTAACACTTATCAGTCGAAAAATGTGGAACACCTATAAGCTAGATATCTTGGATGGGTGCAGGACTAACCCAAATCAGTCCAATAGTGTGCAAGGACTAACCATAAAATCTCTCGGGTAAGTTCAAAGAAACACATTGGTGTTCAAGAACTAACCCTTATCAGTCAAATGGTGTACAAGGACTAACCCTAATAGCTCTGGTGGGCGAAAACAATAAGCAAAATCAGTAAAATTGTATGCGAGACAAATATTAAATCAGTGGATCATGACGTCGGACTATTGTGACATCATAAATGTTGATTGTTCCTTCGCACCTTCGGACTTGGGCGTATCTGACCATAGCACTTTAGCGCAATGTGTCTCATAGGAAACGAGCCATCAGACTTTGGCGTGACCGTCAGACTTTGGCGTCTGTAAAGACAACGAGCCATCGGGGTTTGGAGCAGACCATTGGGGTTTGGCGAGACCATCGGACTTTGGTGTCACCATCGCACTTTGGAGTCTTACATAGATACTTGGGAATGGACTGGCTCCCAAACCATTAACTAGGACTCTGTCATTTTGCTGACTTAAATCATCGAGTTCAGCTTAAAAAGAAAATCAAGAAATTCTGAGCATTTTGCATTTTTTAATACTTCTATTCTGACCATGAGAATTATGCTTCAGAATGAAAATTAAAAAGATTCATACGTCAAATAGTTTTATGCACAGAAAATTTATTAACTGCATTGGCAGTTAAGAATTAAAATGTTCATGCATGTATTTGAACTCTGGAATTACAGCATATATAACTTTGTACAATAAACTATCAAAATGATCAATAAACAAGATTACTAAGAATTTTGACATTTTGTTTTTTTAACCCTAATATACATGTACCGGTATATACAATATACTTCTTACATCATACAGTTATTCAACCTCTATTAACATGATTAAATGTTCCATTCAAATATTCTAAACATTTACATTTATTCAACCTTTATTAACATGATTAAATATGCCATTCATATATACTCTAGTTCTCAAGAAAATCATTTAAATGGGATGCAGATATTATATTACACAAATCTTAGGGTGAAAACATAAAAAATAAATGAATATTCTTATATGATATGATAAAATTCTGATATATACATATAAAACAAAAAATGTCAAAAATGATCTAAAAATGTTGAAGGAATGTTTAGAAATATTATATCCGAGTTGAGTGTCATATTGTTTTAAGTAATACATACTTTTGCACTTACACTTCTCTTTATACACACTCAACGATATTCAAGTACTCTTAAAGACATTTGAGATTCACTTTTATCATTAAGGCATGCCATTTTTAATATAAAATACATGTATTATGTAAACACATAACTGCACAATCAATTTCAATATCCCTCCTGGCAGAGTATTGTCCAAGAGTTTCAAATTACAATGAAGCAGTCTCAAAACTTATCATAATGATATAGTCCTTTTGTAAATTTTTGACCGCGTGCAAAAAAAAATTCTTAGCCAAATTACGGTGGTTCTGATAATTACAAATTTAAATCTTGACAATGCTATATGTAGCTAAACATATGGACCAAAAAGTTGCATTAACAGAATAGCATTTATGAAAATAAAGTTAGAAATGGGTAAAATTTGAAACAGTTTCATTTTTATCAGGTGTTTGTAATGTATAAAACATTGCTAAAAAGTCTTGAGAAAGTCATTTTTCTTTTGCGATAACCATTTTAAAACTTGGTTACAAAGCCAAAACCTATCTAAAATTGTAGACAATTTAGCTTCAGTGAAACTTAGCATTCAAGAAATAATCAAAGGATTCATGTCTTCTTTTACTCACAAATATTTCTTGTCACAAATTAAATGTGATTTTCTCAGTTGCAAATAGTCAAAGATCAATTTCATACTGACCAATTGCAATGAAAAGTTGTCATAATTACTGTATACAGGGAAATTTTCGCCCCCGTTTTATTTCGCCCCTTTCGCCCTCTTCTTGATTGGGCGAATTTAAAACAGGGCGAATTCAAATTACACAGCATAATTTGTTAAACAGAACTATGACTGGGCAAATTTACAACGGTACAAAATAGTTTGTAATTGCAAAAGGACGAAAATAACACAGGGTGAAAATAACCCTGTATACAGTACTCCCTGAAGTTAGTTTAGACTTTAAAGAAAAGTTAATACTTCTACTCCTCTACATGTTTTCAAAGTTATGTAATTAATTGTTTTAAAAACATTTAAAACATTATTAGGAACAATTAAAGGAATATGGATACTTCTATTGGATAAAATATTATTTTCTTTACACTGGTTATTATAAATAAGGAAAAAAATCTCTTAAATACAAAATTCTTGACTTCTTTATATATTGTGTTATGTTACCATCTGCAAAGGAATAAAGAAAAAATTATAATACCATGTGAAAAAATTTCACAAAAACTAGACTAATGCAAGTTGGATATTGTATAAAATCACTAACATTGTATTTAACATTGAAACACCGATGTTTCCGATTAAATTTATTATCAGACTGCTCCATGAAAGGTTTGTGTGTGTGCTTTGAGTTCATCTTGTCCTAGAAATTTCATATCACACATGTCGCATTCTATCGAGTTTTCGTCTATTTTCTCTTCCTTCACCTCTACAGAGAACGATTCCTGACTGTTCTCCCTAGATCCATTCCCTACTGGTCCATTTCCTTCATTTTGTTCAAGAAGTGCTTTCTTCGTCAGCATTGCTTCTTTCTTTGCCAGCGACTTATTTTTGGCTGCTACTAGTTTCTTATTAGCTCTTTCTTCGGCAAATTCTTTGGTGGCCACTCCATGTCTGTCTTGCATGTGAATGAGTTTTGATTCTTCACTTCCAAAGAATCCATCACAAAGGGGGCACTTAAAGAAGTGTTCAGCACGCTCTGCATCCTCATGCATGTCACGTACAGCTCTATTATTAAAGATTCGTCCACAAATACTGCACTCAAACCGGTCACTGCTACACACAACTGTGGGTTTAGGCTTATCAGATCCCTTTCCATTTGTTCCTTGTTTGTTACTAACTTTACACCTTGGTCCCATTTTTCTACGCTTTGCCCCGGTACTAACTTCCATCATATCTGCCTCTTGAGTGAAAAGCTGATATTCGGACTGTTGTGGAGTGTACATTTCATCATCGATTTCTCTCTCACCCTGGTCCTTCTCATCGTCTGAGCTGTAACTTACACTTCCCAACATTTCCTGGTAACTAATTGGATTTTTCTTTCCTGATGACAGACGTGTGGAATATTTTTGATCTGTTTTTTGAGCTGGTGTACTTGTGTACGCCTGAGAAGTTGTGTTCCCTTGAGAAGTTGGAACACCACCTGTTTTTGTGTACTCTAGAGTTTGAAGAGTAAGTGGCTTTTTAGGTCCACCACTCTCCTTTCTCACAGGGTTGTTGTCATTGGGCAATATGTCTTGCGAGTTTTGTGGGAAAAGATCTTGGAATGAAACAAAAGGCAGTCGATAAAGTAATGAGTTCTCTTGCTCTGAAGATTTTGATTTTTCCTCCAAATTTGGGGATTGTAATCCCGGTGACGGACTATTTTCTGACTTGTATGCCTCTCTCAAACTCTTACCCTCTAAAATTTTCATTAAAATAGAATTTTTTTCTGATGAGTCTGAATTAGCCCCAACACTACTGTCATCTTTCTTATTTTCATCACACTCACTGTTTTGTTCCTGTCGGTCCATCCCCCCATACTCCCCATCCCAGGCAGGCTCCTCTTTAACTGCTGGGACTATAGATTTTGTTGTGTCCTCACCTTCAGGGACATGCTCTTTACTGGTTACTGCACCATCATTTAGTCTGATCTGATATTCCATTCCTGCTTTAGATGCTCCCTCTAAATTGACCATTTCAATACCTGGAGGAACTGAATTTGATTGGTTTGCTAGCATTGACCTTTTGTGAGGCTTTGCCAATAGTTTGAGTAGCACAGAGGCAGATCCCATAGGCTCTTTTCCTACATTACTGTCACTGACTCCATAACGGCCATCTTGAGCATCAGATCCATAGCCAGGACTCTCAGATCCATCTGTTTCATATTCTGTATAACTGCTTATTTTCTGAGCTCGCGACTTACGTTTGTGAAGCTGTTTTACAATGGTTGGAAAGTTATCTACACTGCTTGATATATTACAGTTAAAGTCTGGATCATTGTCCTCTGTATTTCTTGAGCGTTTTCTGGACTTTGTTTTCTCTGGAGCTGTCCCTACTTTAACCTGTTGATCCGTCCATGCTGCGACAGGCTTTGGGGGAGGTGCTGGGGAGGAATCCCTAGAGACTCGTTGACTGAAAGGCAGGTTGGTGGGCTCAACTTTCTGGTGGATTTTCACCACATGCTGGAAGTTTGACTGCTGTGAAGAGATGCAGATTATCCCGTCCACTTCCAACTTTTCTGAGTAATGCTGAGAACAGAGTGAAATGACTGCAGACTGCAGCAAATGACTTATTTTCTGTTCCATTTCATCTGTAACAAAAATATTAAATAGAATTTTTTTTTCAATGTTCAACCTGGGCTGAATTATATATTGTATTTGTTTGATTTACAATTTCAGTTGCTCAACATTTAGGAGCAAGGCTTTTCAAAATTATCACACAGTTCCTTACAAAATTTAATGTTGATTACAACCTCTTAGCTTTTTTTACAAGTTTTTTTTTATGAATAGAGCTGCAAATTTCTCTCATTTTTTAAAATTCTACAGAATTTAAAGAGTTAATTTCATTCTTCAAACTTATCAATGCATGTATATCGCACTTACCTGTTAGAGAATCATGTAGCTGACTAAACATCTAAATTCTGCTACACCTGTTCTGAAAATCGGTCACATGCATCTACAATAAATTTAAAATAGACATTTTTAGGTAATTAATGTGACATATATCACTAGCCTCATATTATACTAGGACTAAATGGTTTTGTTATAGTTCATGTAAATTGAAGAGAAATGGAATTTATGTAAAATTTACCTAAAATGAAAACACTTGAACAGAGTTGACATAATAATTAAAATATTTGTTGTCAAAATCATAGATCCACCCATTAATATACAAATCATTTGGTTTTGTCATCAGTGAGAATTTAGTGCATGAAAAGACCATACATTTTATTTAGAAAGGGCATATGTGTACTGCTAATGTAAACAAAGTAGCCATTGTGTATACTTCATGTGATCTGAACGCGTCCTGTTATCAAACAAAATATTATTTGAAAATGAAAGTTAACAGTTTTCAAACATGTGCGAATGACACGATTCAACATAAATTTACAACTCAGTGGCTAAATCAAGAAGGGTCTCTTTGGTAAAATGGTTTCCCACCTTTCGACCGCCAGAAGTCGGTCACGTTCACAAGGTCAGAAAAAGCGTGTATGTTTATTTGTATATTCTACCTAAAGCTGGACGACATTACATAATTAATTTAATAAGATCGGTTAACTTGCCAAATACCTGTGATTCTTATCTGATTCTTTTGTTTCGACAGACATCAACGGCGATCTGGTATGCGGGTGTTGCGTGTTTGGCCTTGACCTAGCGACCTCACGTCATGACGATTGCTGATTAGAAGGACACAAGGTCAAGAAACGCATATATTTGTTTGTTTTGAATTTATTAATTAACATCTAAATATTCTTTTAAAAATGATCCTGTGAAAAAATTAGCTCATTAGCTGTAATCATTGTGAAACCTTTAATTCGGAAAAATGTAAACAGGAAGCAAACATTTACAAATTTTTACGATGAGAATTTGCCAAAACGAAATATTCATGGCGGGAATTTTGAATTAACAAAATAAATGTTTTTCTTGCTTTATCCTTTAATAATCTTTTTAAAGGAGTTTAATTTTCAAACCAACTTGAACATGTTGATCTTAATTTTTTATGGGTGCGCAAATGCAGCCGAATATTAGCAGCTTTTTCTAACGAATTATTGAGGAACATAAATGGAAGTCATGGCCATAAAAAATACAACTTAGTTTTTGTTTTTTTTAAATAGAATTGTTGGTAGTTGATAGCGCCCCCAACAGGAAATGTATGGCTGTGCCCCCCCCCCCCAAAAAAAACCCCAAAAACTATATATATATATACAGTTTTGAATAGACGTGTGGTATATTTGGTTTGGGCTACCATGAGAAAACATTCGTAAATCTAACTGTAGTTTTTTAAGCTATACAAAAAAGTACTTAGTTGTTTTAGTTGTGTTTTTTTTTTAACAAACCATAAGTTCCATATGAACTTCATGCAGACACTAGGCCTAATGATTGCCCTATCCCACTAGACAACGCTCTTCTTGGACAAACGCTGCCTTTTAAATTGATATAGGGTACCTGTAAAGTGCGAAACGAAATAGAAACGAAACGAAACGAAACGAACTGAAACGAAACGTCATGGAAACGAAACGAAATACCGAAACGAAACGAAACCTACCGAAACCAAGACGAAAGGAAACGAAATCAAAACGAAACCAGCCGAAACGAAACGAAACAAAACTTTCAAATTTTTTTTTCCAATCAAAGTATATACATGTACATATAGTAATATATAATGTGTAACTGCATATGATCTATTTTCATTCCATAAGAAATTTATATAGTTCAAGCACCACAGGCAATTATTTCGCTTCAAGCTCATACATAGGCGTCAGAAGGAAAATGAAAGTTGGGTGGGGGGGAGGGAGGGGCTTAACTAACAAAAAAGGTTAACTCCAATTTTGGATGCCTATATAATACATATCTTTGCAAAATTGTAAGGGGGGGCTTAACCCCCCCCCCCCCCCGCGCTTCCGACGCCTATGCCATATTTTCTTAACATATCATTGAGTAATTTATCTACTTAAAAATGACATCGTTTGCTTCGAGAGACTTTTTTCTTGTCAGTTAAATCGTTTTAGACATCTTTGGTCGAGCCTCTTTATTGCAAACCACTGAAAATTACCTCGATAAAAAATAAATGCTTGTATGCACATAGCTCTAAAGAAGCACAAGATTCCGGTTGGAGCTACATGTATAATTGAACGATAAAACCAGACACCTCGGAATGGAATACTAAATACTCGGAAGTTTGATAATATTGAATGATTGATTGTATATTGTTTAACGTCCCTCTCGAGATTTTTTCACTCATATTGAGACGCCACCATTTACCGGTGGAGAGCTGCAAATTTTGTCCTATACTCGGCACTCAGGGTCATTGAGGAGGGAGGGGTCTTTTTCATGTAAGCACTTACTACGACACGGGACCTCGGTTTATACGGTCTCATCCGAAGGACCGGTCTCCACGTCCCACAGTGGGATTCGAACCCGCGACGTACTCCTTACTTCGCGACTCTAGAGCAGACGCTCTAACCACTGCACCACGCGGGCGACGGAAATTTGATGGTTATGTTGTATCTAGATAAATAAGGCTGAAAATAAGAGTAAGACATAAAAATTAGAAAATACTGTACATATTGAAATTATGCAGGCATTATACGCTCATGCATATTCACAGCTGACAAACATGTAAATACAGCGTTAGTCTGAGAAGGAAGCATAATTTATCGGTAATTAAATTTTATATTGAAAGTGCTATATAAATTTTATTTGAAGTAAAAAAAAAATAGTAAGTCCACATTCCACATGCAGTTACATATATATAATTATATACATGTACCTTGATTTGAGAAAAAAACATTTTGATAGTTTTGTTTTATGGACTTTAAATCTGAGATCGACTAATGCTCGTTATATCCATATCCTTCTTCGTTTCGTTTCGGCAGGGTTCGTTTTGAATGAAAATAGATCATATGCAATTACACATTATATAACTATATATGTACATGTATATACTTTGATTTGAAAAAAAACATTTTGAAAGTTTTGTTTCGTTTCGTTTCTGGTTTCGTTTTGATTTCGTTTCGTTTCGTCTTGATTTCGTTTCGTTTCGGTAGGTTTCGTTTCGTTTTAATTTCGTTTCGTTTCATTGATCGCACTTTACAGGTACCCATTGATATACGGTATTTATCACGAGAGGAGTTTTTTGCGAGAAGTGGCAAAATTGGTAATTTATCCTTAAAATGTGTGTTTAATTGTAGCGATAAGTAATATATTTTATCGATTTTAAAGTACATATTATTATATATAGTATATCAAAATTTTGTTTAAATTAACAATAACCGCTAATGTGCCTAGGAAATACCGGTACTTGTTCGCGATAATTATTTTTTGGCTATCTTAATTGACACCCTCGCCAAAAATACCAAAATTAAATATTTGCTAAAATTTCCGCTTCATATATGAATGCAAACATAAAAAGAAATCAGTAACGAGTAACAGAAATGCTCAAAAATGTACGTGTTAGTATAATTAGTTACGCTTCAATGAAAATACATTCACTTATTAATTTGGGTATTAACTTTAAATGTTTTATCTTTTTAACTATACTTTGTATTTTATCACTCCAAAAGGCCTGTTTCAGAGATTTTTTAATTATATACAATAAACAGAGTTGAGTCAGGAATGGGAAGAAGGGGGTGATTAGTGTATTTTTTTTTTTTATAAACAGGGGTTCTGAGGGTCGACTTAAATGCCCCGGAGCGCTATATTATGTTTTATTGATTTTAGATTCAACATTTAGCATAAAATTGGCTCTCATAAATATAACTTGGTCATTTATATAACTGTTTAAAAAAAATTAATTATATTGTTATAAAAAAAGAGAGAATGTTTAAATTGTACATTTATGTATGTTGAAATGCCCCCCCCCCCGGGGGGCAATTGATTGGTAAATAAAATATCTTAATAATATAGTGACGTCCCCTCTTCTTTCATCGTGACTGTGCATGTGATCCTCTTGCCTTGTTGCATATACATGTATTGTTTTTCTTTTGTATCTATCCGCCAATTGATTTACAAATTCATTTAAAAAGTTTGCAAAAAAAGATTTTTTCTTCTTTGCAAATATCTATAAGACTAGAAAAAAAAAACAACAAAATCTGACATGTAAATTCAGTATCTTTGAATTTCATATTTTAGCTATGTTTAAACAAAGTTACAAACTCGAGACAAACAAAAATTGACAGATCATAGATCTACATGATTTATACATGTACTTAATTAGTTAAGTAAACGTGCTATTTTGAGGGGTTTAATTTATGCCCAAAAAATCTTGTTTATTTCATGAATATATTTGAAATGCAATTTGACTTTACAGTTATTTTAGAATTCTTCCTATATATTCATGAACGTATAACCTACTTTTTGGGGGAAATATTAAATGTTCCCTCTAAATCTGCAAAATCTACCAGTAATCTTGGTGATGATAGCATTTTTCCGGAGGATTGATTTCTCCGGTTTGGTTTTGGTTTTATTTTAAAATAAAAATTTCCTGTCTCTGGTGTCCTGACAGAAACAGAATCTTGTTCAAGTTTTCTCAATTTTGGGTCCGTTTTTGGGGACGTTTCTACAATATTTCAGCTTCAAGGAACGCATGTAGCATTCTTCTTATTTTATGTTGAATGATCAATTACTGAGGCTGCTTTGATGAAGTTTGACCTACTTTTTGTTGATATGTGAAAGAAAACGTATTTTAGGAAAACATTTTTCATTTGGATTGTTTAGAAATATCATCATGGATGACATTTTTTCTCAAGTCAGGGAAGGCAACGCTTTCCAAGTGAGAATATGGCTGGATAATACGGAAAATGATCTCAATCAGGGGTAATATATTCACTTCCGGTCTAAAAAACGAAAATGCAGTAATTTCAGTTTTACATAGTACTGTGTGTCAATAGAATATTGTGTTCCTCACAAAGCTTTAAGGGGAATGAATTAAAAGAGTTAATTAGAAAAGTCTTCGCAGATTCTCATTTGCTTGTTATCAGAGCTTAAGTTTGATACTAAGGGAAGATCTACTCCCAAAAATGGAATTCTTTTATCAACTTTGTAGTTGGGGGCACACCATAGGGAATTTTTTTAAAAATATATTTTTTTATATTATAAAAAGTTTGAATTATACATATTTAAATTTGAAGATGATTTTAAAATAATGAAAATGGGGTGGTATTCGTATTCTCCCTGATAAACATAAAGTAGCTAATGAAAAATTTATAAATCTGCATCCATGCAGCAACCTTGCCCTGTTAAGACCTCCAGCTTGTGAATACTTGGAAGTTATTTTTGTACTTACAATGTTTATCCAAACACCACATACACTTGTTTTGTTTGGCAGTTCTACTTGGAAGTGCACTTCATCACCGGAAGAAATGTTCAACTTACAAGGAATGCAAATTGTTATGTATTCATGAGTTATTTTACACCAGCTTTCCACATGTTTTGTCACTTATTAAATGACAAAGAATGTTTAAAAAAAATAGTTTTAAAGAATGTTAAAAAATCATGGTTTTAAATTTACAATATGTACCTAACCACCAAAGGATGTATTCGCTTTAACAAAAGAATTGACCTATAGGAGAGAACAATTTCCCGGAAAAAACTACATTTAAAAATCAATCTTTATTTGTTGTTTTCTACAGTATATATGTCTAAATTTTTCAAATTTGTATTTGATACCTAAAATTTATTATTTACAACTTTACAATAAACCTCCAAAATTGACCAAAACACCATTTTGTCCATAAAAGCATTGATTTTTGCATGAATTTTGGCCTTGAAGTTCTTCAGGGCAGGCCTGCCCCTAAATAAAATTGTGATATTTTGATAGGTTAGGATGTAAGGAATAAATTAAGATAAGATTTTTTTAGGGGCACCCCTGCCCTGGGGTCGAAATTCACAAAAAACCTACAAAAAATAAGGAAACCTGATTTTCATCACCTGCTTGAAATTTATGCCACTTATTCTTATAGTCAGACTAGCTCAGTTGATATAAGCGCTGACTTTTGCACCTTGGATACTTTCTTTTTAAAGTCGGGGGTTCGAATCCACCTGGTACAACACTTTTAAACTTTTAAATTTCGCCTTTTCAAAGACTAGGTTTTTTATATAGATTTTTGTATTTTTCCTTCAATTATCTATCCTTTATGCATGCCCATTCTTTATATAAGAAACAATAAAGAGATATCAAATCGTAACAATCCAATGTACAGTTCTCAGTCAGGCGGAACGAACCTCAGTATAAGCACTTTCTCCGAGGACAAGAATAACTCACTCTGTGTTATTTGATACAGGTATTCTTGGCAGCATTGAGCTGCGACGAATTTCAATTGTATATATTCCTTAGAATTAAATCACATTGATTTTGGCTACATATTTCAGTAAATGTACTCCCTTGGATTTCAATTAGGCCTATATAATTTGCACACATTAATGACATGTTTCATTATATACACGGATAAATGGCCTAGACATGAAGAACAGAATTTCAGAGACAGTAGACACTACCTTTATGAACCATGAGAAGTAAAGACAAATATCAATTAGTACATATGGAGATACATATGGAGATAACAAACTCAGAAAATCAATGAAAGGGTTCCTCCTACCTCTACTAACTGAAATAAAAATTTAGGAAAAACAAATTATTATATGAATTTAGCCTAATGTCATTAATCGGAACGGAAATCGACAAGCTTTTTGTAGAGAAAAAAACCAAGCCCGGTCCTATAGGTCAGATCCCTATTTATAATGAAGTGATCCTTTGCAATTTTTTTTCAAGAACAATTATCATAATTTTGGTGACTTTTAAAAAATGATAACATCCCACCCAATAAGTTCAGTATGGTCCTTTGGCTATGTCAGTTAGTTTTATAGAGTGCTTAATCTTTACTTTGGTGCATCAGTGTACATGAAGACAAAGTTCATGAGCTCAATCTTGCATAATATATTAATTTAACACAGTGCTATTCAAAATAAATTTGTGCACAAATTGCCTTTAGATGATCTAGTTACTTTTTAAAAGGTTTTTATGCCATATATTTTACAGTATTTCCCCCTCATTTTCTTTTTTTTAAATAAATTTTTTTTTTCTGATGAATATTATAATTGATTAAAAATTTTGTGTATCAATTTCACTTCAGTGATGACCACAGATTTAGCTTATTACACTGGGCAAGCCGTGAAGGACGTACTAATATTGTGGACATGCTTATCCAGCGAGGGGCTCGAATCAATGCTACCAACATGGGAGACGACACAGCACTGCACCTGGCAGCTAGTCATGGCCACAGAGAGATAGTTGTTATGGTATGTTATGGGCACTGAGGAATAAGATGAATTGTACTACATGAATATAAATTTGGGGAAGCAATATGTAATAATAGTGAACAGAGAAAATTGGATGATACATACATATATTTGTTACAAATTCTATGTTAGCTAAGAGAGAGAGTTTTGATGCCATGTTCATAAAACTGGACAATAATTATATATTTATGATATATTTAAGATACAGAGAGTCTGAGAAATATATGGAGCTTAAGATAATTTATAATGATATTCATATATGTAAGAAACAGAGAGATACATGATACAGGAAGATTTGAAGATGGATTATCTTTCATTTGATATTATTCTTAATAAGCAAACATATAAGATTTTGTTTTTTGTTAACTTTTTCCTTTGTTTGATACATGTACATATATTTTTTTTCTAGCTCATCCATAACAAGGCTAACATCAATGCTATAAATGAACATGGGAACACTCCACTGCATTATGCCTGCTTCTGGGGCCATGATTATGTTGCTGAGGTAGAAATTAGCCATATATATAACTTAATTTGTATTGCTTAAATAAATGCAAGTAAGGCTATCTAAATTGAATTCTCTGGTTCTCAGGCCAATTTTTTTCCAAAACAGATGCGGGCGGGAGGCATTTTATTCATCATTTTATTGGCAATAAAGTAGATGAGGGAGGTATTTTTTTAATTTTAATTTTCGAATTTTCTTTGAAATAAGAAAAATTTTTCAAATCACAGATATACTTTCCATGTCTGATCAAAAGGTTTGCTTTATCCATTGCTTATCACCATGTGAACATTGTAGGCAATGTCTTCGAAACAAAATAGCCAAAATCTCTGAAAATGGCTACCAGAAGTGATATTTGAATACTAAACTACAAAAAAATGAGGACGGAATTTTTTTTCTGGATTGGTCTCCGCAATACCAACTTTTTATTTTATCAAAAATACAATAAAATTAGCAATGCGGCTACCTCAAAACGGATGCACGTGGGCCTGAGAACCAGAATTTCAATTTTAGGTAGCCTAATCTGCAGATATTTATTCAACCATGGTTTTGTACCATGCATTGATTTCACCTATGCAGTGACCTTTTTCATCCATTAAAAAACATTGAAATCTTATAGGAATGATAAGGAAGGAAAAATGACAATTTCTTTACAGTGAGAATTGTCATTTAACTTACAAAAAAAAATTATTCATCAGCACCATGTAAACTGCATTTTCACCTTATTTAGGACTTAGTGAACAATGGAGCCCTAGTTGGGATGGCCAATAAATTTGACGAGACCCCTCTGGATAAAGCCAAAAAGAGGCTGGCAAATATTCTCAAAGGTAAGAGTGATTGGCTGCAGGAGTGGTACTAATTTAACTGATTTCCTTTGACTTTTTTAATGGGGGGAAAACACAATAAAAAAAGATTTCAATGAAGTTTATGATATTGATTATGATATACATGTACATGTATTTATGAGATATTAACTAGAATTTTTTAATGTTTCTTTTTTTTTAATTCAACAGATAGAGCTGTTCAACTTGGACAAGATTTGCAGAAAATCCCATTCAAAGACAGGAGTTGGTTAGGATACAAGACAAGGAGCAGTAAGTTTAACCAAAAATATTTCTAGGCCTTCACTGTACATAGTATTGGTAATCAATTTTTTAATTTTCAATTTTTCAGACTTTTAGTTTTAATGATAATAAAGATCTATGTATCAAAAAAAAGAATTGAAAAAAATGATTGTCATTAATTTGTTTTTAAAGGAGACGCACTTTTATCAAGACACACAGGAATAGATATTGAACAACTAAGTCTGACTACGCACATGGCCAACACTCACTCAGGGGAGGTAATTATAGTAATGTGCTTTGTATATTTTTTAAAAATATGTTTAAAGATAATTTTATTCATAATTTTTTTTTTCCAGTAATTTTTTGATGTGATAATGAAACGAAAATTTTTAAACATCAAATGAAAAGTTTGAGGATCAGCATGTACTTATATCAGTCTCTCTCTGTCTTTCTCAATTCTTACATGTATCTGAACTATCCATCACTTTAAAAATTATTATTTACACAAATATTGCTCTTTACCAAAGAGTAAATCGCAACCCAGAATAAGTGTCCTGATTGAGACAAGATCACAAGACTCAAAAGTGAAATGTTCATGACAAAAACAGTTTGACTGTTAGTGTAGTATGTCAGTGTTTTTTGTATTTTAAAGATAGCATTTCACTTCCTCTAACATTCATACTATCTTACTTGTAGAGCAAATCATTTGTAGGTTGTTATGCTCATTGGTGAAAAAAAAGGTTGTGTGATTCTTAAATGAAAGAAATATCCTTATATTCTAAAATATCTTCTATATATCTAACAGGTTTGGAGAGGACAGTGGCAGAAAAATGATATTGTGGCCAAAATTCTGTCCCTTAGAGAATGTACTGTAAGAAACTCCAGAGATTTTCAGGAGGAATTTCCCAGACTCAGGTGAGTATATGTAGGGAGTATAAAATCCAAGATCCAGGGATCCAATCTTAAATGGGCTCAGTTTTGATTTCAGTTTTACTTTTCCCACTAAAAGTAAGACTGAGATCAAATGTGAGCTTGTCTGAGGTTTATGGCCCAGGGGTGTTTACTTGCAAGATATTATATTGGCAGCAGTTTTTAATTTAACAATTTCTGGCTACTTATACAAAGTAATGAACTTTTTTTGAAATCTTTGAAATCAGTCATTATACATGTATTTACAAAGTACATGTAATATTACAGTTTGATTTAAACCATACCCTTTCTCCTTCACAGTTACTACTAAAGAATAAATGAAAAAGAGAAGGGGTAATAGTCTGATATTGTGACGTATTGTCATTTAATATTAATAGTATTTTTGATCTTTTACGCATTTCAGAATTTTCAACCATCCTAACATATTACCAGTATTGGCGTGCTGTAACCAGCCCCCGAACCTTGTGGTCATAAGTCAATTCATGCCTTATGGATCTCTTTTCAATGTTTTACATGGAGAAACTGGTATATCATATCATTAAAATATTATTCTTATGAAGAGATTACAAAATAAATAATAGTTTTAAAGAAGGAAAATAATTTTCTTTTATTAAAAAGTGGAACCGTCAAAATTGGGCACACAAAATGATACAGTATCTGTTGATATGTGTTGTGTGAAGCTGCAAGGGAACATATTTAATTGAAAACACAAATTAAATATAAACTGAGTAATCTTTATGTATTTGTTGTATATTCTAGGTATAGTAGTAGATCAGAACCAGGCCCTGAGATTTGCCATTGATATAGCCCGTGGGATGGAGTTCCTACACACCATAGAACCCTCTATCCCAAACCTGATACTCACCAGCAAACACGTCATGGTAGGTGACACATTCTAAAGAACTTACACTTTAATCAGTTCGAAAACAGTTGTTTATGTATTTAGCCATTTTCTTTTAGCAATTTAGTGAGGTTTGTAACAATGTGTTGGTGTGTATTGGTTATAAATATAACAATAAATGAATTTTACATATGTGCATTAAATCTATAGACTTCATATTAGAAATTCATTAAGAGATTTTGCATTTATATAGAAACAAAAAGATTTTTATTTTTTGATGTACAATAATGAATCAAGTTTTTATTGATATTTGATGTCATCAAGTTTGTGTTCTAGGTTGTGATTATTGTAAACAAAGCATAGGTAAAATACATGTATATGTCTGGAGACATAAAGAATTGAGATTTAATTTTCCCACCAATTCATCACAGCAGTTTGGTTTTCTAGATTGATGAGGACTTGGCTAAGATAAATATTGATGACCCTAAGTATTATACGCCAGATGCCACCATTAATGGAGGGGTAATGGAATGTGCCCATTGTGTGTAGTTCCTACTAACTTGTCATCCAACCAATCATCATCATTCTTATTTAATGTTCATGTAGGTTTTAGCAAAAAATGATCCAATCATCATTTAAAAAACATATATGAATATATAGTTATTTAGTGGATTGCTATATTAGGCATAGGGACTATAATCCAAGTCTTAGTGTGATCATTTGCTATGTTTAATTAAGAAATAAAAGTCTTTTATAGTACTTTTATTTGGATTTTCAGATACACATTTCAACAATGTTAAGTTTGTAATGACTGACTATGGAACATTTGTTTACGGTAGCCAGCGCAATTGGGATGATAAGCAGAAACATGCATTTTTATTGTGCAGAAAATGTGTGTTCATATGGCATAGCTTTAATTGTTTCTTAAGATGATATATAAACATAAAACCAATATTTTTTTACCAATTGATCACAAAATGTGCCTTTTCTCTGTTTGTCTTGGCTCTCCAAGGCCAGAAATTGTTAATTTGAGAGTTTTCTGGTTATTTGGATGTTCTTCAACCACTAACTACAGCTCCTTTGCTACACTGTTTTACTGTAACAAATATGATCCTCAAAATCAATTCACATACAATAAATGAAAAGGAATTTATTCTCAGTCATACACTTCAACAAATTCCCTTTATAATAATTTACAATGACACTACATATTGGATTTACTTCAGACAGTTTATAATTTTTTGCACTTTTCCACTCAGTTGTGCTGTGTTTCCTGTAAATAAGACTTGCACTAGTTTTCTTCCTAGACAGGAACTTTCTGTTTTACAATAAATTTTCTAGATACAGTGTGTAGTATTATTGAAAGACACTCTCAGTAACCATTTTGCAATTAGAAACAAATTCTTCAGTGGTAATATTTTTTCACCATTTTCATTTACAGATTGACAGTAATTTTGCCCAGGTTTATTGTACTTTCCTCTATGTTTATGAAAGTGTTTCACAAACTGATCTCACAATAATATAATATATTCTTTTCCTAAACTTCAGAATATACATGTAGTTATAATCTATTTTACACCTGTAGTATATAATAAAACATAGCCTTAAAATATACATGTATATATTCTGTCAGTATAAATTTAGTGTGTATCTTACATGAGCAAGTTTCAGGTTTATATGTGTACAGATACATGTATATGTAGATGTCTGATACAGGGAAAAAATACAGTGAAATATTAATAAGTAATCAAAAATATCATAAAAGTATCTCTGAATCCAAAAATTTATGTAAATTTGTCCACAGTATTTCTTTAAGTTTAAAGATTAAAGTTAATCATATTATACAGGGAAAATTGCCAAATCTCCAATATTTCTGCAGAAAAAGCGAATTGGAATGTCTGCGATGCATTTTCTAATGGCAAATTGATCAACAAATATATTTTAGGTTTAAAAACTATAGGTATCCAGGCATTCAGAGAAATTGTATATTTTTACACTTATTTGGTTTTTCCGTCAAATATTCTATATTACATAGTGTAAAAGGCTTTTGCTATCATTGCAAGACATCACAAATCACTTCATATTTCATATCATGCTAATAAGCATTGGTATCTAAGCCTGGATTCAGGAAAATCTTATTTCTCTAAAACTGTATTAATTTGTTTTCCTTTTATAGGGTACAAATGTCAACTTTTATAAGACCTTTTCTAAGACTTCCATTGGATCTTATAAAGATTAATAAAATGAAAATTGTTGCTTGAAAAAATTTCGTTTTCAAGCTTCATTTTGATGCATTTCAAATTGATTTTTGGAGTTATCCTTCCTGGCTGAGGATCAGATATCCTTAATCTTAGAAAGTTTTAACGGTTTGAATTGTCGCCCGCATGGCGCAGTGGTTAGAGCGTATTTAGAATCGCATTAAGGAGTTTCGCGGGTTTGAATCCCATTTTCTCCCATGTCACAGTAAGTGATGGCACAAAAAAGATCTCTCAGTGTTCAATCATCTTCGGTGACTCTGAAAGCCCACTACAGGATTTAAAACTTGCAGCCCTCAAACGGCGAGTAGTGGTTTCTCAATATGAATGAGAAATTCTTAGAAGGGGTGTTAAACAATCAAACAATTTACAAAACAAACATTTTGTAAAAAAATTACATGTGTTCTTTTAATTGGCACCTTGTGAGTGTGATTATGGGACAAAAGTTGAAATATTAATTTAGCACTAAGACACACATAACTCATGAGTTCAAGGTAAAACTTTTTCACTTTTTAGAAAACTCAAAAAAAATTAGTGAGGCATTTGCCTCACTTGCCTCAATGGTAGTTACGGCCTTGATATGTGTACAGATATATGTAGGTGTCTGATACAGGGTAAAAATACAGTGAAATATTAATAAACAAAATCAAGTTCTTCCTATACAATGCATGGACTCAGTTAAGTTAATGAGTTATGTCAAAATAAGTATGTGATAAAGACCATATGAGTGTCTTTATATTTCACCTCAGTTTTTCCAATCTACATCAGTCAAAGATGAGTGGCTTTTTTAATAGGGAGGTGGGGGGGGGGGGTGAAGGATGGGGTATCATGAGGTGTGATATAAAAGCACTGTTAGTTGTCAATGGCCTCTGCAGCTGGTTGATTACTATTTTGGTTTTACTCTTCTGGAAAGCATGTCTTTATTTTTGTTTATTTTGTATGAAGCTGATGGCATTGCTGCAATAAAGTAGACAAAAGTATATTATGCGCATGTTGGACTTGATATAAACTAGCTATAAAATAGATATGAAAAAAATACATTCTTTTCAATGGTGTTAGTGTGCATAGAACCACTGGGCTCAGTGAGCTTTTCTGATCACATTTTATGTGTCCGAAGCATCTGTCTAAGTCTGTAAACTTTTCACATTTCTAAATTGTTCAAATCAAGAACCACTGGGCCAATTTTGACCAAACTTGGTACAAACCATCCTTGGGTAAAGGGGAATTTAAATTGTTTTACATAGAAGTATATAGGCAAAAATCTGGGGTTAAAAAATCTTCTTCTCAAGAACCACTTGGCCAGAAAAGCTGAAACTTAAGTGGAAGCATCCTGGGGTAGTGTAGATTCTAAATTGTTCAAATCATGATCCCCGGGGGAAGGGCGGGGCAACAATTGGGAATCAAAGTTTTACATAGAAATATATAGGAAAAATCTTTGAAAATCTTCTTCTCAAGAACCACTTGGCCAGAAAAGCTGAAACTTATATGGAAGCATCCTGGTATAGTGTAGATTCTAAATTGTTCAAATCATGACCCCCCGGGGAAGGGCGGGGCCACAATGGGGAATCAAAATTTTACATAGAAATATATAGGAAAAATCTTTGAAAATCTTCTTCTCAAGAACCACTTGGCCAGAAAAGCTGAATTTTATGTGGAAGCATCCTGGGGTAGTGTTGATTCTAAATTGTTCAAATCATGACCCCTTGGGAAGGGCGGGGCCACAATGGGGAATCAAAGTTTTACATAGAAATATATAGGAAAAATCTTTGAAAATCTTCTTCTCATGAACCACTTGGCCAGAAAAGCTGAAACTTATGTGCACATGGAAGGATCCTGGGGTAGTGTAGATTTCAAAATGTCTAAATTATGATCAGTTGGGTAGGGTGGGGATGCATTATGTATTACAAGGGGAAATCTGGTAAAGAACAGAATGGTCAAAGCTTCTCAGGTGAGCGATGTGGCCCATGGGCCTCTTGTCTTTCCTTTTATTTTTCTGGTTTGGCTTTTAAAGTTTGAATTATGATTTGTGTCGATCTGGTCAGATTGAAACTGTCTAATTTCTGTGTACTATATTAATTATAACATACTAATTAACCCCACAGATTGATGAGGATCTAACAGCCAGGGTCAACATGGGGGACTACAGATTCTCCTTCCATGAGCGAGGCAAACTCTACTCCCCTGCTTGGATGTCCCCAGAAGGTAAGAGTAAAAATTGTGGTGGATCTCAGAGTCAAAATTGTGTGGTGGATCTTGGAGTGAAAATTGTGGTGGATCTCAGATTCAATAAAGATTCTGTAGTCAATCTGCAATTTTAGCTGTCATTAATTTTATAAAATTTAAATATTTTGTAAAAGGAAATCTCATTATATTCAAAGGCATTAAGGAGAGAAAATCTTCATCATAATACAAGTCAATGTATTATTTTAAGGCCGCAGAAACTAAATCCTAACATAGCTTTTCATTGCTTTCAAGATTAAACGGTTAAAGGTGTCAAGCCTTGTGAAAATATTTTCAAAGGGTTAACAGGAAGATTTGCATACTGTACATTTAATCTGTCTTTGTAATGTTAGCTTTACAGAGGCGACCAGAGGACATCAATGTAAAGGCTGCAGACATGTGGAGCTTTGCTGTATTGCTGTGGGAACTGGAGACTAGAGTGGTACCACACGCTGAGCTGTCACCCATGGAAGCTGGAATGAGAGTAAGAGTTTCTACCCTGTTCTCTGTTTTAACACATTTTAGCTTACCTGGACCAAACCAGGGAAGGCTCAAGTGAGCTTTTCTGATCAAAGAGAGTCTGACTTTATCTTCCTGTCTGTGGTCTGTGTATGTCTTCTGTAAACTTTTAAAATGTTCTTAAGAACCACTTGGCTAGTTTCAGTCAAACTTGTGACCTCCATTGGTGAAAGGGAATCACAATTGTTAGAAAGAAGAGTCATTCTTTCAATTTACATGAGAAAATTAAGAAATAATAAAAATAAGGTGGGATAATTTAATTAAAAAAATTCAAGAACCAATAGGCTTAGAAAAGTTAAACTAATCTAAATGCTTTCTTATATGATGTATATTCAAATTTTTACAAATCATACCTATAGTTCAAGCATATAATTTTTTCACAGATTGCTATGGAGGGATTAAGGTTGACACTACCACCTGGAATGTCTTCTCACATGTCACGACTTGTTAAGATCTGCAGCAATGAAGAGCCCGGAAAACGACCCAAGTTTGATATGATTATTCCCATTCTGGAGAAATTAAAGCAGAAGTAGGGGAGACAGTTCAAACAAGGAACAGTGGAAAGCTGTAAAAAACATTGAACCAAATATTCAACCCATCTTGGTTCTAACTACACAGAGTGCCAAGTTTAATTACATATTCATGAATAGTATATTAAGTGTGTATACTTAAGAAAACATTAACTTTTAAATTATGGTAAATACATTTACAGTGATAGTTCAAATTGACAATCTGTATTACGGAGTTTTTTTTTCTTTTGGGGAGTTGATGAACAAGTATGAAATAGATTTTCAAAGAAAAGTCAAGTGCCTTCATCTTTTTTCAGTGGAAACTTTTTAACATGTTTAAATCACTTTCCTAAAACATTTTTAAAAAATATTATAACTACCCGGTAACTGCACTCTCATTACTTTAATATTGTGAGTTATAGTATAGTTATAACTTTCTGAAGTAAGCTGAGGGTATTTTTACAGTTTATCAAACTGAGTATGATCTTGTGTAAAGCATCCAGAACTTTGCAGTTAACTTGGAAGTTTCCTGAAACATAGAAATACAGGACTGTGACATTGAATCTAATTTACTTTAGTGCTGCATGATGTGATATTCATGTTAATATTGACAGTTTTATGAGAATTACTTGAGAAGCATACAATGTACATTTTTAGATGTTAGAATCTTGTAATGGTGCTACATATATACATGTACAAGTGTCTACAGTTTTTGTACTGTACACATACTACCTTTATTACTGCCAATTATTTACATGTATATGCTGATTTTATATGTATGTCATAGCTTTATATTTTACGATGTCATAATGCATTACTTATTATGTATGATTATGCTGAGCAATGCTTGTGTTTTGAATCTTGTATATGTTAGCAATTGATTTGGCTAGTACATGTACCTATTCCTGATGTTAAAGAATACTCAGGCTACTGGAGATGTCTTCAAACAATGAGTAGTTTTTCAAGGGACAAATCTATACAGGGGTTATTTTTATTTTATTTATTTTTTTAATAATTGAAACTCTGTGTCTAATTCAGAAATAAAAAAAATCATGAAATTGCATGAAATAATATTTATATAAATTTAAAACAAAACATATAAGCGTTTATAAAGATTGTTTTCTCAGAACTGTTATAAATTGATTGAAATGTTAGTATAAATTGTGTGCAAAAATACATTTCATTATATTAAAAGATAGCTGCATGAACCTTTACAGTTGTGTGATTTATTATATGATTAGATTACATTATTTAAGAAAATAAATGATTTTTTTAATGTATAAAAATGTGGATCATAGTCTTTCTATTTAATGTGTATGACCATTAAAAGTAAACAAAACACTATTTATTTATTCTCTTTCTTATAATTCCATAAATATAGCTAGTATTTGTTTGAAATAGGGAAAGTAATTAAATCAAGTATATTTAAAACGGTGGTTTTCTATATAAAACGTCTGCAAGCCAATATAAAGACATGGATAAGGTTATGATATTGACTACCGGTATGATATGCCATGGATGATACCTTGGTACGACTTGTCTAGCACCGGTGAGGCCATTTGAAAACATGGAGAATCCGGAGAACCCACGAGTTTTCTTTGATGTTCAAATAGGCGGCGAAAATGGCAAGACATTCTCCTATGCATTGTCCCTTTTAAATCAGACACAAATGAAAAAAGTAGAATTTCATAAAAGTTCCGAAATGTTGATGGAAATCTCATTCTGTGAGAAAGACCGCAGTATTTTGCGGTCTCTCGAATTTACTCTAATTTATTTTTAAAGACTGACTCACTGAGTGTAGCAAGGCAATATGCGTGTATTTTAATAACAATTTAATATACTTTTATTTTATAACTCTCACAAGTATACTGCCGAAAATTAATTTTATATAATATAGTAAATTATAGATATGATGGACTGTATTTATTTTGCAGTGGGCAGAATTGTCTTTGAATTATTCAAAGATAAACTTCCTAAAACCTGTGAAAACTTCCGAGCATTATGTACAGGAGAAAAGGGCACTGGAGAAACCACAGGATGTCCACTCCACTTTAAGAATTGTCCTTTTCATAGAAGTATGTAGGACAATCTTATTACAAAGCGTCAACATATGTATTTATTTCAATCATTGAATCAAGCACAGCAATAAATACTAATTTACTTTAAATAGTGATATGAATACTAGGGAGAGGGGAGAAGTATTATTATACAGGTAAAGTATATCATTGAGGGAGTTAACAAGAATCCAGTCCCCAAGAATTGGACTATTTCCCAAGGCGCAGCTGAGGGAAATAGACCTGGTCGAGGGGAACAGGGAATTAGTTTTCAGAGAGGGGATTAGCTCACTTGACTAATGCACAGGGATTACTCCATTAACACATTATACCGTTAAAAAAAAGTAAAATCTAGAGAATTACAGATAACTGGGAATTAGCTTCTAAAACAGGGATTAGCTCATATGACTAACACAGGGATTAGTCCATTCACAGTGATTTCAAGGGAATAATTAACATTTTACTACCTAATTTTTATATACTGTAAACCAACTTTTATTTGCATGCAAAAAATTTTCGCGAAGTTCGCGAGAGCCTCGTCATTGTGAATATTTCTTGCCGTGAACCAGTCCTTAAAGTCTCTGTATCTATTAACAACAGATCAAAAAAGGCAAAAAATTATCGCCGCAAACTAGTTTAATTCGGTAAATCTTGAATTAAAGTTGTCGCGAATAAAAGTTGGTTCATAGTAGTAAAAAATCAGTAGAGGTAAAATGATGTTAATTATTATACTTCTACTGATTTTTCCCTATATAACATTAGATCTATAGATGTGACTTATTCCCTAGAAATTGTTAGGATTGGATTAATCTCCATGCATTAGTCAAATGAGCTAATCCCTGCTTCGAAAGGTACTGGGGTAATTCAGGGTTATTAGATTTTACTTTTACATTTGTATGACATGTGAATGGATTTATCTCTGTGTGTTAATTCATTGAGCTAATCCCTGCTTTGAAATCATGCTATCTTAATCCTCTGAATTTTACATTTGTATCAGTATAACAAAACAGCTTTGCCTCAGGAAATAGTCCTGGCCTTGGGGAACTGGAATCTTGCTAACTTCCTCAATGATATACCGGTACTTTAATTGTGTACTGTAGATCACTTAATTTTCATGACACTTTTTTTGCGAGATAGTCATTAACTCTTTATTAGCGAGACAAAATTTATGAATTGTGGTTATTACTCAGTATAGTCCAAAGGAATACTTATATATACGAGAATGAAATTTTCGCGAGCACACATCCTCGTGTAATAACGCGAAAATAAAGTTCACGCGAATAAAACGTAATTTACAGTAATAATGTAGGAAAGCTTGTGTCATGTCAGACTGACATGAATGTGTACTGAAGTTCTTTGCACATGTATAGACACATATCTGTGATATGAAAAATAATATCACACTGTCACTTACTTGCATAATTATTACATGTCATCAGAATTGTATTTTAGTGGACATTATTAGGATTGCCCCAAGGGTAAAATGCAATTCTGGATTTCATTTTGCTTCTCTGTAACTGTTAAAAAAATTAATGAATCATAGCAGACAAGTATGCGTTCATTATGAAGTAAGTTGGAAATATTGTTATAGTTGTAAAAATGGAATGCATATTTTAAAAAATAATCTAGAAACTTGTAGATCACCCTGGCAATATTTTTCCGCATCCTCTAAAGGCATGATCAACATACATGTAGTTGAATAGTCAGATGCAAATACTGTGTATAAATTTCTAAATAATTTTTTATACACAAGGAAATCATTTTATTGTATAACAGAAAACTCGGTGAAGACATCATCATCGCTTCATCACAATCATGTCTGGGCAAATTAAAATTTGACAAAATTGTTTGCAATTGTGGAAGGATGAAAATAATATTGAGCAAATATATTCCTTATCATGAATAAAATCACTCTGTAGAATATCGAATGCTCTGAAATGTCGATTCCATGTACATATGTAACTTGCAACTTAAATGTTTATAAAATGAACTTCACCTTTCAGTAATAAAGGATTTCATGGTCCAAGGAGGGGACTTTTCCAATAAAAATGGAACAGGGGGAGAAAGTATTTATGGAGCTAAATTTGAAGATGAGGGGTTCCCATACAAAGTAAGAGGCTTAGTTATGGATGTAGTACAGTATAGTAGTTCTAGATTTATAAGGGTGATATTTTTGATTTTTTTTTTATTCACCTGTTATGAATATTCCATTTACTTATTTTCAAAAAATATTAAAGATTTACTAGTCAGAATTTTTATACACATATTACAGCACAGAGAGGTATTCAATTAAGGTCTTCCGTTTCAACGGAAGACCTTCTTATTTTTCTGTTGTTTCTTTTCAACTTTTCTTATTATTATTATTCTTACCGATTTTGTGCACGCGATTTCTCGTAAATGCGTCGATGGATTTTAATGAAACTTTCAGCATTGAAGACAAATGATATGAACTTAAGGCTTTTTTATACGCCCGTCTTAAGACGGGACGTATTATGTTATAGGCTTCGTGTCCGTCCGTCTGTCTGTCTGTCTGTCTAGCTGTCTGTCTGTCCGTCTGTTAGCTTTTCTCGTGTCCGGCTCATAACTTGAATACTATAAGGCCTAGAGTTATCAAACTTTGTCAGCTGATACATCTTGGGTAGAAGGTGTGTCGCGCACAAAAAGTAGGTCGCTCTGACCTATAATTAAAAAGTTATAGCCAAATATGGAAAAATCCTGTCCGGTTCATAACTAGAAAACTATTAGACTTAGAATCATCAAACTTGGCCAGTTTATGCATCTTAGGTAGAAGGTGTGTCGCGACCTATTTCAAGGTCACTGTGACCTTTAATTTAAGTGGAATTTTTAAAAAGAAATGTCTTTTTTTCTATTCATTTACACATTCAAAAAAATGTAAAACTATTGCACTAACCTTATTAGAAAAATGTTAAATTAAGAAAATACTTATTTTTTTAGCATATATACTTGACAGCAATCTATAACAAATGTAATGTATGTTAGAGAAATTCCACCACTCCCATGAGTCTAATTATCAAGCACTGGTCAAGAAGAATTTTGATAACAGAAAATTGCATGTCAAATTAGAGAAAGAAATTAATGAGTTTAGTGTGAGGAGTAGCTGTAAGAGCATCAGTGCTATCTATATCCCTTGAGTATTGGGCCAAATGGGTAAGCCTTTTGGATTAAAAATAGCTCTTCTTGGATAGCCAAAGTTTTAAAATGAATTTGATGAGAAGTAATTAAAACTAATTTGATATTGCATATTAAACTATTACATAATATTGTGAACTTAAAAATTAATTTTATGGGGGTAGGGATTGAATCTGCATGTCCATGTGAATTGCATATTAACAATTAACTGTCTGACATTAAATCTAAAAAAAAAAAATCATTGATGTTTTATACGTTTTAAAAATGTTTTATGGTAGATAGTGCAGATCCAATAATCTTTTGGGAGTAATGAGTAGACAAGCATCCAGTTAAAGATTAATTAATGTGTTCAATGTAGGAAGGCTAGCTGCATGTCTCTTTCATTACTTCAGAGCATGCTCTTAATTGTCTCCTTCGGGAATTAGACAGAAGAACTGTTGGTCAGTTTATATTTGATGGCCAGCCTTTTATTTCCAAAATTAATTAGGTATAGATTAAGTTGTGAAGATTAATTTGATATTGTTTAACATGATAGGCATTTGGCAAGGTATAGAAATCTATGAATGATGCAATATTTGTTATAATTAATGCCTACACCACATGAGATGGATAAACAAATTTTTTAAGGTGTGTAAAAATCATTGAAATCTTAAAATCAAGGTTGACATGATTTTTTTCTGCACTTTTAACTGTTTAAGATACATTATAATTGTAATTTTTTGACGGGCGTATCATGCTGTGGCGTGGCACTTTATTTTTTAATTTGATGACGTCACTTCCGGTTCGGAGGTTTTTGCGATTTAGTGAGTTTTAGAGGGTCATTTTGTCCAGCAGTTTTCTCAAAAAGCACAAAATGCAGAAGCATGAAATTTTCAGTGCTGATAGAGCAACCTTTGGAGATGTGTATTAGGTATATTTCAACCACAGGAAGTACGAAACGCCGACTCTCGCTATGGCCCGAAAATAGTCCTATCAAGTATTTCAAAATTTTTAATACCTTTTCTACGATAACTTTTTACCTAGAAATATTTTGTTAAAGCATGTAGAACAAAAGAAGTGTAGAATTGCACGATCTTTCAAATGATTTCTCGAAAAAAAGGGCTGGCCCCTAAAATCAAGGGCCTAGAGGGGCCGAAAGTTTTTCCTATATATCTCAATATGTATTGAAAATTTGTAATACCTCAAAGAAGCAAAGTTGTTCAAAATGTCAAGCTAAATCTATCTGTGTCGTCAAAATACGTCCGGCGTCGTCACTTCCGGCCAAACCGGAAGTAGTCAAAAACGCGTATTTTTGCCGTTCTTGTTAAGTTTTTGGGTAATATATGTCTCTGGGAGCATAAAAATTAATTTTCTGTCCGTCGTCGTCACTTCCGGTTAAACCGGAAGTAGCAAAAATTTGTTTATTTTCGCATTAATAAACATAGCTTTAGAGGATTAAAACCATTTTTAAGCGTTATTTCTCATTTTTGTTAAAAATGAAAGCTTTTTCCGGTCAAACAGGACGGAAGACCTACTCGTTGCTTTGCAACGAGCTTTGCTCTAGTTATGTAATTAATTTCTTACCTTGACCTTTCCTATTTCCTTGACCTCAACTTGTAATTTTATGTTTCAGCATGACAAGGCAGGTCTTCTCAGTATGGCCAATGCAGGTCCTAATACAAATGGTTCACAGTTCTTTATTTTGTGTAAGCCAGCCCATCATCTAGATGGTAAACATGTAGTCTTTGGAAAAGTCGTAAAGGGAATGGGTGTTGTTCGTGAACTGGAGAATGTGGAAAAAGATGGAGAAAATCCAAAACTGGTATGTGAAAGGAAACAAAAGGATAATATATGAATTTTTTAAAAAAAAAATCCACACTCAACATTTTGTGGAAAGTTTTCTGTTGTTTGTGCTTTGAAATGTAAATGTTGATCCCAAAAACAGAAGTTTAAAAGTTTTTTTTTTTTCTTCTTTTTTTTTTTTCCAATATTTACAGTTTTCTTTAGGGGTAAACTAAAAGGATGGTTCTCAGTTTTGAAAATTGCAAATGAAGTAAAATTACGATATCGTTTTAAAGGTTATATTATAGTTTGTGGAGGAAAAGGCACATGGAACTTTAAAAGTACATGTACTACATGTATAAGTACTTATGACATTTTACCTACAGGAGTGTGTAATCAGTGATTGTGGAGAGCTAGCCCCCGGGCAGGAGGATGGGGTGTCCACAGGTGATGAATCAGGTGACCCGATTCCTGACTGGCCAGAGGACTGCGATGTAGATTTCAGTAATGTAAGTAGGATTATTATCAATTTAGACTGTGTACAAATACCATGGAATTAAACTTAATGATGCTAGAATTTTATTTCTATTTATTTTGTATGAATTCTATGATAAAAAGATCAATTCAGGTTTTAAACATGCAGAAAAGCATTGCTTCAAATAGCCATTTGAATAATGTAATTCTTTATAGGACATATCAGTGTACTTATAAAAATAAATCATCTACAAGTGTTGTAAACTTTTCATAACGATTATGATAAACCATTGGTTGTAAAATGATGTTCCAGAAGTTGTAAAATGTTTTATAAACAGGACTCGTTATTATTGAAATTAAGCTGAATTTGGTCGTAATGGAGACATTGTAGCTTATTAAATCAAAATACAGCAAAACTTGGTTATAACGAAGTCACAGGGACCTAGGAAATTACTTCGCTATATCCCTAATTCATTATAATCATATAAGAAATTTATTAAATTTATACAGCTGGGGATCCAAGATGACTTCGTTATATCAGTAAATTTGCAATATATGTGTTCGTACTAAACGAGTTTTGCTGTACCATCTTTGAAATGAACTTTGGGTTAAAAAAAAGAAATAAACTACATGTAAGTAACACATCTCACTATATGTATTTCCTTTAAAAGTGATATGTGTACATTTTCACATTTAATGTACAGATTGTACTTGTTCATGTAATATTGCATTAATTTAGCTACGATCTTTTGTATTACAGTCTGAAAACAAAGACAAGGTATTGGAGATGATAAAATCCATAAAAGACTGTGGTAATGGGTTGTTTAAAGAACAGAAATATCTACCAGCAAAGAGAAAATATAAAAAGGCTCTCAGGTAGGTGAAGGCTGATATACTCTTTGGGGCAAACATATCAATAAAATAAATCATGTACATGTACATGTAGAAATACGCAGCTCTTTGAAAAGATGTATTAATGTATATGTATATTGAAATTGATAAGTTCTACAGATATGATTACCAAAATTGTAATAATTTTTAAAAAAAACAAGATGTGTTTGTGAAACACTATGCACCCGGTGGCAACAAAGTTCAATAAACTATTTTTAGCAGACAAGTCACAGTCAAGGTCACCAGGTCATTGACCTTGGTGTCATTTAAAAGAACTTAATTAGTGAAGTAAGCATACCAAATACGAAGTCTCTATCTCTCATGCTTCAAAAATAATGGTGAAAGTTCTAAAAAGCTACTTTTAGCATATAGGTCACAGTCAAGGCACAAGGTCATACATCTTGACGTCATTTGAAAGAGCTTTATTAGTTGAGTATGCGTACCAAATATAAAGTCTCTACCCCTCATGGTTCAAAAGTTATGGCGAAAGTTTGAAAAAGCTATTTTTAGCATATAGGTCACAGTTAAGGTCACAAGGTCATTGACCTTGATATCATTTGAAAGAGCTTTATTGGTATGGAGTATGCATACCAATTATATTTTGTAAATATATCACAATATAATTTTTTAAAATATTGCTCTCATGGTTCAAAAGTTATGGTGAAGTTGTGAAGGCTTTAACATGAAAGGGTTTCATGTAACAACAGATAGATCACACACGTCGCTTGCCGCCATATTTTACCTTGAAAAGGGCAAATAACTCTTTTTATAACAATTTATAGCATACACCGGTATTCACAAAAAAATACCGCGATACACCGGTTAACAGAACAAAAACAAAATATATCTCTCGCAAACGTTATGGCGAAGGTTAAAGTTGACAACAGACAGACAGACACAGATAAACAGAAAAACAGGGTGCATAAAAGTGTGTGGTTTAACATTTTAGCTGTAATAGTGTATTCACAGCATATTTGTGTACGTTTGATATGTAACATTTCAGCTGTAATAGTGTATACACAGTAGATTTTTATATGTGTGCTATGATACATGTAGTTGTTTATACATGTACATTATACATGTTGATGCGTGATCCGATTTTTATTTTGAATTGCTACTGAACTTAATATTTGTTCTTTTTCGTTTTCAGATATTTAAAAGAACTTGATGACAACATGGATTTAAGTGATGAGGCAAATGAAGACATTGAGACATCTTATCTAATCCCAGTTTCTCTTAATTTGTAAGTACTTGTACTGTTGGTATTCTATATTTGAAAATAATTAAATAATAAGCATTAATTACTGTAAACAGACTTTTTTCTGCATGCAAGAGAGAGAGAGAATTTTTCCAAATTTTTGTGAATATTATGAAAATATACGAGTCTAATATTAAGATACCTATCTTTCCTTGCTAGAGCTGCATGTCACCTTAAGCTAGAAGAATATGACCAAGCCATTGAACAATGTAATGAAGTAAGAAAGACTTTTTCTCAAATACATTTGAATAAAATTGTTCGAACACAGGAGGGTTCATTAAATCCATGCACAGTGGACCACCAGATATCCGGACGATTTTTATCGGAACGGAATTTTTTAATGTTATTATGTCTTGTTTAACTGGTGATTCAGGTATCCGGACGCTTCACATATCCGAACAAAATGACTGGGAACCAAAGCGTCTGGATAAATGAGGCTCCACTGTACATGTATATGTAACAACATGTATATGTCTGTACCATTCATAAAAATATTCTACTTAGCATGAATCACATTTTTTATTTCATGTACAGAGTATGTAATATATCAATTCAAGTTGGACCAAAGAAAATTGGCATTTTAAGGAGGGATTAATCTTTGTTTAACATTTTTGTAAAGTACCGATTGGAGTTACATGTAGGTTCATTTCTCAAAAAAAGATTTGAAAGTTTCAAAATATGTTGACAAGCAAACAAGTTTTGCTTGAAAGACATTTATATCTGCAAACTTTGGTATACAAATACAATTCTGCTTTTCTACAGTAAGCATTTGTTTTGGGAGTTATTTCTTAGCACGTCCTCAGAGGCCAATCAGGCCATTGGGCCTCTTTCTTGGTATTTATTTCTAATGTTTAAATTTGACGAGGTATTACTTGATAATTATTCTGTTATTGCTTTTCTCTGCAGGTACTAACAGCAAATGATAAAAATGTCAAAGCACTGTTCAGGAAGGGTCAAGCAGAGAGTGGCCGCAAGAACTTTGACGAAGCTGTGGTAGGTTCAAATTTCCTTGCTGTTTTCTGCAGATGTCTTTTGCTTTAATATCAAAAAAGAAAAAAAATCTGTTAAGAAACTATCTTACAATCAACAAGCTGTACCCAAGATTTTCACTAATAGATGCAATGCTGTATAAGCAGAATTTTTAGCAAGGATTTAATTTTGGCTGATATCACTAAAATACGTCCTATATTATTTGGATATCCCTAAATATTAATTGAATTTTATTTGTAATAGCTTCTTTAGTGGGAATTTTAAAATTATATTTTCCTAAAAATAAAATACCAGTTTTTAAGGACAAATCGCTAAATTTGTGTCTCGCTAAAATTTCCACTTATTCATTATTTGGAAACAAAATTTTTTTTTTCCAAATTTCTTTATCAACTAGTTTTATTTTTAATAAATAATCTATTTAAGAGAAGTCATAATCTTCATTTCCTTCTAGGATTGTTTAAGTAAAGCTGCTAAACTGGAACCATCTGATAAAGGTAATGCATTTTCCTATTTTGTAGCTCACCTGAGCCAAAGGCTCAAGTTGGCTTTTCTGATCAAAATTTGCCTTTTGTCCGTTGTTGTAGTAAACTTTTAACAATTTTATCTTTTTCTCCAAAACTACTGGGTCAATTTCAATCAAACCTGGCACAAAGTATCCTTGGGTAAAGGGGATTCAAGTGGCCAGGCCTTCCTCCAAAGGGAGATAATTACAAAATAGTGACAAATGGCTTCATTGAAAATCTTTTCAAGAACCAATGGGCCAGGAAAGATGAAACATGGAATCATTATCAGATAGTGTAGATTCAAGTTTGTTCAAATCATGATCCCTTGGGGTAAGGTGAGGCCACCATGGACAATCAATATATAGCAGTATATATGTACATGTATAGTAAATTCTTAGTTAAAATCTTCCTCTCAATAATAGCAAAGCTATGATTGGTCATATTTATATGGATGCATTCTAAGGTATTGTAGATTCATGCTTGTTCAAATTGTTTATTAAAAGCTACTCCTACAGTAGTAGTCTTATTGCAGTCATGCCACAAAAAGATACTTAATCAAGGATCATTATTATATTCATTGCTGTTGTAAAGTTTCAAGTCCCAACTGCTACTTTTCTCTTCTTTTGTTATAAGTACAAACCAGTCGAGCTACAGTCTCGACAGAGACCTGGTTTTACTAACATGTTCATGTTATGCATGTTAATCTGAAATCAATGTTGTGAAACTTGTTCTAATTTGCAATTGTTTTTAATCATCTTTCAATATACATGTACAAAAACATTGTATTGCATGAGATTTGCCTAAGAATTGAAATAACGATGGACTTTTCAAAAAGTAAATTCGAGTTTAAGGATTCTTCCCTTAAAAGGGATTGAAGAAGAATGTCAGAATAACTAGGGGATCATGTTATTATAGACGGGCAATTCCCCAGCTCCTTGATTTTTGGGACAGCCCTGCATGCATGTATACATACTGTAATTTCAGTCATAAAAAGTGTATGTAGACAAAATATACCATACAAAGCCTTAATTTTTTTTTTATTCCAGGTATCCAGAGAGAGTTGGCAAAGGTACAGAAGGTTATAGAGGAATATAAAGCTAAAGAGAAAAAAATGTATGCCAAAATGTTTGCATGATTTCCTTAACTTCAAACTTTATTGTTAACCATTTTCTTTATACTTATGAGGGCTGTCCAAAAATATGTGGATGCAGGCTATTTTATTGTCTACTGTACATTTATTATTGAAACTGTCAATTGTGTGTAATAATATTTAAAAATTATAGACTTCAGTTGAGTAAATATGTGAAATATGTAACAAATCAGAGTACATGTATGACAAAATAAATTACAAATGTTATCAGTATAAATACTATGCATGTACAAGACACACAACCCAGTCTGTAAAATTCATATAAAGATCATGATTTTCATCACAAGACAATGTTTTAACACTTTTTTTCATCATTTACATTGACAACACTGCCATATTTTTGTTATAAACTAGTATTTTGTTAATTTTTCCTGAATTTTTTTTTTTGGACAGTCCTTTGAAATATGCATGTATGTATATTACCTAATATGTAATCATCTGAATGGAACTCTTTTTTTAGAATTAGTTTTATGAATTCTTAACATAAGATAGCAAATTAAGGAGGAAAAGGTATTTTTGATTGAAGAGTGTCTGGTCTCCATCTGTAGATTTTTCACATTTTTAATCAATTTCTCCAAAACTTCTCAGTAAGTATCTATAAAACTTTCTATAAAGCATTTCTCGATGTCTGAATGAAATTCAAATATGTCTGTATAATGTAACTTCAAAGTAATGTCCTACATGTACTTCAAGGAGGGTACCAGGTGATAGAGAAATAGTGAGAAGGTGGGGTCTTGAAGAATCTTATGCAAGGAAAAATATTCATATCCACTGTGTTAGAGATCTGGATGTTTAAGATTCATAGCGCTAGGATGGGGCTAGATTTAGAATTCAAAGTACCGGTATGATGAAAATCTCAAAAACAGCAAGGCCAAATTTAATTTGACAAATTTGGGTAATACTGATACTATTTAAACATGTATTATGATTAGTAATTCAGGTATTTTTACCTTAAGTTTGCCTTGAACTAGGCACTGCTTACAAGGATTTGTGAGGGTTTGTCATTTCTTGTTCAAGATTCTCTTCATTTTTTCATTTATATCAATTCCTTTTCATATAGAATTTATATATTGGGTACATTGTATGACATACATTTTATTTTAGTGTACTTGTATCATGCAATGTACATAAATAAAAAATTAAAATCAGTTTTCATTGGATGTTTTTTTTAATATAATATAATATTCTATTTGTTTAATGGAACATTTGAAGGAATTTTTTTTATTGCTTTTAAAGTAAAATGATTTTATATGTTCATGACTTTAAGGTACTGGTATTTCAGCTCCTCTCAAGGAAGTTAAGGAGAGCATATGCTATATCCTGGGAGTTGGTGTCCCACACTTATATATTGTAAAAGTGCATACAATAGAGTAAAACAATAATGGCTGGCTTTAGTCATGCAGACTTAATAAGAATATTCCTTGAAATATGAAACAGAAATTTGATGACAGAATCTTTATTACATATCTGTGATCTTTCCGACATATTTAAAGCCACTATAACTATTCACTGGAATATGATATAATTGAATATGAATGAAAATAACTTGGAAAATTACTAAATAAATAAGGAAAGTTGACAATTGAAAATCTCTAAAATCACCTCATTTGTCAGCGTATCAGAAACCCTTGGCTATCAAAGATCATTGATTTTTAATACCCCGGTATTGATAAAACATATAGGCATGTATATCTGAAGGTCCAGTTGAAAGCCACAACAGTTGTTTTCCTCTTCATGTATAGCAATTCCGAATAACTTGTGCTATAAGAATATAAAATGGACTTGCTGGTAGAGGAGCAAGGTCAATTTGACCACATCCATTGGGTATCTGATAGTTTGTAGAAGTCTGCAAAAAGGTAAGTCACTCGTCAGCTTTTTAGAAAAGTTCACGCAGAAGCTTTTACTTCAAAACTACTTATTAAAATTCAATTTTTATAACATATTTAAATTCAACAATGTAAATTTTTTAACATTCAATGGTCAAAAATCTACAAAGAAGCAAGATTTATGAGGGACTAATCTTTTTAAGGATATTTAGCAGAAAATTCTGCAAATCTCCTTATAAAAATTAACTTCAGAGAATATTTTCCGTTTTGATATTGCTAAAAATATTTAATATAGGTCTTAATTTATATTTTTAGTAGTTTACCCAACAAACTTTTCCAAAAAATGCAAATATATTAAAGAAGTCAAGGTCAAATTTACACCATTTTTTGACTGAAAATCACATATTTTGACAAATATTTCAAAATTAACATCACTGACCCCATTTTTTTCTTTCATTATTTTAAACTACTCGATACTTGTGACTGATCAGCACTCAAGTCGTAAAAAGTTTGATATAAGAAAATTTTTTATTGCCTATTAAGTTTTTTAATACCCCAAATATGTTATTTTTTAGTGCAAAAAGGTCACACAATAATTTACGCGCATTAATTTGCAAGATTTGTTTAATGATAAATATTATTCAAACTATTTTACGTAAAATAAGGTTATATTTATTGCCATGCTTACATCTAATCAAATATTATAAGGGTTAAAGTAATTAACCAAAGAGATGAAATTTAAGTGCAAAAAGGTCAACTTAAATGTACTCAGTTTGATACATGCGATTTTGAGTACAATTATCCAAAATATACTTCTCAAAAAATCTTTGATATGACAAATTTCAGGAGTGACTTACCTTAAGGAACTTGTAGATTTTTTTCTGCACTACTTTCTTCTAAAAATTCTAAAAATAATTTAATAGAGATATTCATTAACTTGTCGTTCTTTTCACGAGCAGTGTATTAATATACACTCACATGGAACCGAAAATGCTGTGTTCATTCCTTTATGACCCGAATCAGCCACCGTAGAAAAACAAGTGCACATAATTATAGACGTCAAAAGAAAAAAAAATCAGAGGTCTACATTCGATAGATATTTGAAAAATGAATAAAGGATATAGAAATACGACGAATTGTTTAATCGAGAGGGGTTTTCCAAGGATCCCAAGGTGACTTCATGTTTTGCAGTGTATGCATGCGTGACATAAGTCTGAGACGCAAAAATAATCTATCTAGCTTCTTTGATCCCAGGAAGTCTTTCGATTTGCAAAACAGAATCATACATATCAGCACTGATCGCTATGTGACGCAGTTATCAACAGTCTTAAATTACATTTTTGGATCTTATATTTGATATCTTGCTCAAAAATAGATGCAGGAACAAACAAGGAGTGCAGAAGGGCTGGTGAGCTTTTATATTTGAACAATATCATAAATTGTGTAGATGTAACAATTAATGTTAAGGTCTTTCCACCCTCAAAATTTTAATGGTTCAAAGTACAAAAACTGCATTTATTTTCATTTAATATACTTTAAATTTTCCAATTATTAAAAAAAACCTATAGGTCGCCATATTATTTAAGATGGGAGACATAAATAAACAGAAGTAAAAACCCAAAAAAATCGCACATTTTTTGTAAACAGTATTATGTAAAATATGCAAAAACTGGTTAAAATGCATAATTCTGATGCTGAATGTTCCTAAATACTTCCTACTTATACATATAAGATATCTTTGAATTGTGAATATCAGGGAAACTATTTTACATTAGAAGTACAATAAAACAAATGCCTGAATGAGGAGACCTGAGAAGGAGTTATTGCCCTTGTCAACATTTTTTAAAGATTGAATAATTGATTAAATAAAGAAAATATGCATTTTTTAAATTCTTTTACTTAACAATATATTTATCAGTACACCAATTGAAAAGCATTCCTCAAAAAGATATCGTTCTATCAGGTATGTATTTTAACTAATACAAATGTAACAGTTTTTGCAAAAACCTATGACATCATAGGAGGTTGGAATTACCTTAATATAATACGTAAGATTGATAACTGCATGAGTTGTATAATAGTTTGTCCCAAAATCTTGAGCGCTTTCACCTCATGATCACGAAAACAAATACACATGTACATGTAAATTTTGATATTGTCTTGTAGGGAAAAAGTTTTATTTAATATAAAAGTTTTATGATTTGTAATTAAAAGTCATTCTTTAGATTGAAAACGAACAAGATCCAATCTACGGAATTCCTGGTCATTGCTGTCAAGGACAATTAAATGTGTGATGTCTAAGTACATACATGTACATCATACATTCCCGAGTATACCCAAACGCCGTCACCATTAGCGGAAAACACCCACCGTTTCTCTTCAAATTATATTTTGATTTGTTTCTTGTTTGCTACACATAATACATCGTCACAAGCCACGGTCCGGAGTCCACATATAGCTCTCTCCTACCCGGCCAGAATGGGAGAGGATCGTACATTATGGCCGTGGTTTGCGACGATACACATAATAATACATTGTTTTTAGTGTTTTTCATTTTTAAAAAAAAATACAAGACACTGGGATTATATTTAACGCCAGTGTACATTTCGTGCAATGAAATATTTTAAGTCAAATTTAAATATGAAAAAGGCCTCGAAAACGTCAGATATTTCGGACTAACACGCCAGCAATATTAAAATATCAAAAAAGAAAAAAACAACAACCCCTTTATAATTGACGGAAGTTGTTCAATTTTGTTGACATTCAATACTTGCATAGCACTGATAATTAAAAGAATTATTAAATTTGATTTAATATCCTACATAGATTTTCTTATTTATCTAGAAATCCTTTCATAAACCTTTTGCAATTCAGCTAAAAGCCCTTTGTCCCTTTTTTCAGTGAAGATTTAATTGTATACCGGTTTGTTTTCAAACGTAATTTTGATTTCATATCTTGTAGGACATTGTTCCGTTGTAAGTTCCCTATCTGTGTAACGGGGAGGGGGTGCTTAAGATTTCCTTTAATTAAATATCGACTATCCAGCTATAGGTAATACTTCAAGGAATTATTCTACGTAAAAACTTGAATCGATCTTTTTGGCCCTAAATCTTTATTCGCTTGAATGATATATATACACATGTAACGGTATATATTTTAAAGTAATAGTATATACAATCAATTATTTTGTGTGATTTATTTTTAACACAGTGTTGTAGAAATAGATGGCCCTGCAAGGAAAGTGAAGTCTGGTCGAAACTGAACGACAATATCAGCTTACTGCAGCAGTCCCTTTATCTCCCCACCCTCATAGAAAACCTCCGAAGGAAGGGCTTGATCGACCAGCAGGCGATCGGAAGCCTTTCACTTTTGGATCGTGATGACGTAGTCTTGAGACTTGTAAACAAACTGGTATCTGGGATACCCTCTAGGGCCCTAGACATGTGCGACGCACTGCAAGAAACTAATCTCGATATAGCAGAAAAAGTAGGACTGGGCCCTCTCCCAGGTATGTTTTGTTTTTGTAGCTTTTGTTTGTATATAAAACTATTTATACATACCCAGGTATTAATGAAATATACATATAAAGTTAACGAACAGTATTCAAGCTCAAAAGTCCAAGAAAGATTTAACAATACAAAAAAGGAGTAGAGTAACCACGGACCTCGATCCAAAACATCTGAGGTAGGATCAAGTGCCAAGGAGGGATGAGCATCCCCTGCTGACTGGTCACGCCCGCGCCGTTTTCTCCTTGTCATGATCGGGAAGTAACGGAAAATCCGTCATCAATTCAGTGTGTAAATAATGGACTAACAATAAGTATGAAAAACGTCAGTCAGTATTCGATAAATTGTATTTTGCTGATAGGGTCATTGTATCGACCATAGAACTTACGAAATGATTACTTTAAGCAAGACTGCTGATATTCTTGTATCATCAACTTGTTTGTCAATAAGTTACCTAGCTATTAAAGTTTTGAAATCGTTTTAATCAGCTAGAAATACAGGTATATTAGAATCGAGATTCCCAATCGCATCTTCTTTATCGCTTGTCGGAAAAAAACACCGAGAAGTTGCGATTGATATATTTTGAAGAAACATTTTTAAGAATATGAAATTCGCTTTATTCGTAAGCTTTTTATGCAGTAAGTTTTGACATAACATTGAATGCTAGCACTTTATATTAAAGCTGGAGAGGGCTGTACAGATGTTCCTGCTCACAGTCCTATTGTAAAATCCTATCATGCTGTGCTTACAATATCTATAGAGCCTCACATACATATTGAGCCAAACCAACTTCGCCATTCACGGAATAGCCATTTAGTTTTCATGTGACTTTTACGTTACATTGGATACTATCAGGTTAGTATTGCCTTTTGTTGATTCGTTAAGGGGATTTTATACACTGCAAACTCTTTTGATTTGCCTTTTTATGGAGCAAATACTATGCTATTAGGATTTAAGATTAAGATCCACTTGGAAAAAAACTATTTTATATACATGTACATGTATATGAAATTTATAAAATACGGAGTCGGGACGTTTAGTGTAATCTTTCTCAATTATGAAATATTTGTGAAAACGAGATCATCTAAAGTTACTAGGATCAGTCAGATAGACTTTTTTTGTCAAAGTGTCGTTGCAGAAGTTTGAAGAGAATTTGGAAGCTATATATTTAGCAAACACTCACAGTATAAAATGCCTGGTTGCCTCTTATATTTTTTCATAGAAATTCAAAAAACTAAAATAAGAAGGTATAGTGTTACGCCAGTTTCCTGTGACCATGCAATATAATGAATAAAACTCCATTTTTCATTGAACTAATAAATACTAGTACTCAGTCCATATAAAAAAAAACAAGTGCCTGTAGAAAAAACAACGTGTTTGTGAAACACTGATGCCTCCAAATGGGCAGCTTATAGCAAAAGTAAAAGTTTTGCAAATGCAAAACAAACTCCAATGCAAAGGTCAAGAAATAAAACGTGTTGGTACCAGGGACCTATGTACGAAATCCCGGGACTTACGAGATATCGCGAGACTTACGGTAGTTGCTTAAGGTCCCTGTTGGTACCCAAAGAAAGAACTTACTAGTAATATCCGTATAAGTACACCTGTGAAATTCATGTATGAAAGTCCAAGCACCAAGCTTTTTAAGTTAGGGTAAATGTCGAAGTTTTTAATGGAAGGCGAACTCCAAGGTTAATGTCAAATTTAATGATACCCAAGGGGAGGTCTTATCAAAAGATATACTCATGTGAAACATAGAAGCAGTGGCACCAACTGCTCAAAAATTATAGTGCAGTGTTATAGTTTTTTAAAAGTAAGTCAAAATTCAAGGTCAAAAAGGGCGAATTTGTTATCCAAAGGAAGGTCTCACAAGAAATACATGTACACCTATGAAATATGAGAGCCATAGTACTAATTTTTCCTTTTTTGGCCAAGGTTTAGGTTTTCTAGTAGTGAGTCAAGGGATCAAACACCAAAAGAAAAGTGTTATCACAATGCAAGTCTTGTAAGAAAGCCTTTACACCAATAAAATGTTATGACCCAGTTTAAAGCATAATACTTTTTCCAAAAGTGTTTCCAAAAGTGTGTCAAACTCCAAGGTCAAGGCCAAAAGGTCAAATATTTTGGTTTCCAGAGAAAGGTCATGTCACAAAAAATACACATGCGAAATATGAAAACAATGCGAACAGACAAGCTGACTGATAGGGAAAATACTAGTATATATGTAGAACTCCAAAGTCCGATGGTCTCGCCAAAGTCCGATGGTCTCGCCAAAACCCGATGGCTCGGTGTCTTTACGGACAAAGTCCGATGGTCACGCCAAAGTCCGATGGCTCGTTTCCTATGAGATACGTTGCGCTAAAGTGCGATCGTCTGATACGCCAAAGTCCGATGGTGCGAAGGAAAAATCAACGTTTATAACGTCACATAGTCCGACGTCATGACGTTGTCCTGCATTCAAAATCCATTGATTTAGTATTTGTCTCGCATACAGTTTTACTGATTTTGCTTATTGTTTTCGCCCACCAGAGCTATTAGGGTTAGTCCTTGTACACCATTCGACTGATAAGGGTTAGTTCTTGAACATCAATGTGTTTCTTCAAACTCACCTGAGATATTTTATGGTTAGTCCTCGCACACTATTGGACTGATTTGGTTAGTCCTGCACCCATCCAAGATATCTAGCTTATAGTTGTTACACATTTTTCGACTGATAAGTGTTAGTCTCGCACCTATATCCAAAAGATTAGGGTTAGTCTTTGCATTGAATATTTATTTGTATTTATTTTAAACAATTGGGCCTTGGCATGGCACAACATCGCATTTTTGCGCAGTAGTACTATGACGTCATAAACGTTAACTGTTTTCAGCACTATCGGACTTTGGCGTGTCAAACCATTGGGGTTTGGTGCAGACCATCGGACTTTGCATGGAGTCCCATCGCTCTTTGGAGTCCTACATATATATGCATAAAAAGTCTAATAAATATTATACAATTATTGCTGGTTTTGAGGTCAATACAATAATTTAGCCATCTGAGGAGTACAATATTCACCGAGCCCGAAGGGCGAGGTGAATATTGTACTTCGAAGATGGCTAAATCATTGTATTGACCGAAAAAACAGCAATAATTGTTTTATTATATGATTCACTGATAAAATGATACAGCTTATTTTATTTTAAGTCCTAGCCAAATACAAGAGAGAAGCAGAATTAAAATGTGAATAAACCTTACCAGTCGTATCAATTTGAAATGTTTTTTTTTAAATCAATTTTAGTTGCCATGATAAAAAATATATAATGTCAGTAGCTTTTGAAAAGAAAGAGTATTATCAGGGAAAACTGACAGCCGAAAAAAGTAAAAAAGAAAAAAGAAATGTTGTTAAGTTAAAGTGTTGGAGGGGGTCCCTGCATCCCCTCTTGCCATCCTCACCAAAAACATATATTCGCTTATGTTTTGTTCACATGAAAATAAAAATTATAGTCGTTTAAATAGCTTTCTAAAACAATTTGTATCAATTTGGAATTTCCTAATCTATTTTTAGATCAATGTAGAGGAAATAAATCCTTGTATTGACCTGGAACGTCACGTGGAAATTATTCAATCATATAATAAACGTATTTAAGACCATTCAGCTTTATTATATGATTGAATAATTTCCATCTCTCCGATTGGCTTAGATCCAACTATGTTAGAAAAATATTACGTTGTATTGACCTGCACGTGACGTTCCAGGTCAATACAAGGATTTATTTCCTCTACATTGATCTAAAAATAGATTAGGAAATTCCAAATTGATACAAATTGTTTTAGAAAGCTATTTAAACGACTATAATTTTTATTTTCATGTGAACAAAACATAAGCGAATATATGTTTTTGGTGAGGATGGCAAGAGGGGATGCAGGGACCCCCTCCAACACTTTAACTTAACAACATTTCTTTTTTCTTTTTTACTTTTTTCGGCTGTCAGTTTTCCCTGATAATACTCTTTCTTTTCAAAAGCTACTGACATTATATATTTTTTATCATGGAAACTAAAATTGATTTAAAAAAAAACATTTCAAATTGATACGACTGGTAAGGTTTATTCACATTTTAATTCTGCATCTCTCTTGTATTTGGCTAGGACTTAAAATAAAATAAGCTGTATCATTTTATCAGTGAATCATATAATAAAACAATTATTGCTGTTTTTTCGGTCAATACAATGATTTAGCCATCTTCGAAGTACAATATTCACCTCGCCCTTCGGGCTCGGTGAATATTGTACTCCTCAGATGGCTAAATTATTGTATTGACCTCAAAACCAGCAATAATTGTATAATGTTATGTTTTTTTTTATTATTATTTCAGGATGAAGAGTCTATTGTGCATTGTGTGCTGTGATACTAAGCTAAATATGTGATACGGGACAGCTTTTGTTTTTATTATCCGTTTTTATTTTTTTTTTAAATAAAATAAAAACAATACCGGTAATTGAATCTCTACGTAATATTTCTGTTGAGTTTGTTTATATCTTTATTATGTATATTTTGTTATTAAACATATATTGTTACTTCTATCTTGTATTTTCTCCGTCATTTTGCAATTTGTGTTGTATCTTGCCAATGGGAAAAACATGTTCAAACTCAAAATATTTCCATCCCACATTAGAGTTTGAAAATATTCCCAAGTTATCGTGGCCATTAATTTGGACTGGTGTTACCATCCTGCCCAAATCGGATATTGAAAGTGATATTGATAAAACTTCAATTATACGTGGATTTATCGTCAGCTAGTACGTCACGAACAGTGATCGAAATCCTTTAGGTGTTATGCAAATGGCTCTACCTTGGCACTAGTCAGGTGTCTTCTACCTATTCCCACTTTTTGTCCCCCGCTTGAAAAGTGGGGGATATTAATTTGGGTTTGTCCGTCCGTCCGTCCGTCTGTCCGTCCGTCCGTCCGTCTTTCTGTCTGTCTGTAACGCTTTCGTTTCCACACGATATCTCGAGAATCCTTTGAGCTTTTGCAATGAAATTTAGCATAGCAACTCCGTATGGACTAAAGAAGAACCCTATTGATTTTGAGGTCAAAAGGTCAAAGGTCAAGGTCATAAATAAGCAAATTCTGTCTGTTAAAACACCTTTGTTTCCACACGATATCTGTAGAACCATTTGAGCTATTGCAATGAAATTTTATATAACAACTCCCTGTGGCCTAATGAAGACCCCTATTGATTTTGAGGTCAAAAGGTCAAAGTTCAAGGTCGTAAATTTACACATTCTGTCTGTGTGTAATACTATCATTTCCTGGCGATATTTCAAGAAGATTTTGAGCTTATGCAATGTAATTTTATATCAAAACTCCCTAGGACGTCTCTCGCCCCTCTCAAAGTGCCCCACCCCGTTTGTTTTATTAGTATTTATAGTATTACATGTCGCTATTTTTAGCGCAGGGGCATGAGGAGAGTTATTGCGTATAAAACAGGTTCTCGGCGGACTTTATGTTCTTATTACATCTATTGGAACTGTTTAATAAAGGTAAATAAATCAAACACCATGGATTGTGTAAAATTTTGAGAATACCGAACATGAAAACATGAATATATACATGTATGTGACTTCCGTTCTGCATATACTTGACTCCATGTAAAGCGATTCCGTGGTCTAGTGGTTATGTCTCTCGCTTCAATTGCGAGAGGTCCCGGGATCAAATCTCGGTCGATCCTTTCTTTTTTTTCTTTTTTTAAATACTTTTTTTTTTTTACTAAATGATAGTATTCAGCATGTGAAATGAAAAATTTATGAGGTTATAAAATCATCATTACAGTGTGATAAACATTCCATATAAAAAAAATCTTCTATACACATAATAAGCAATCAATCTTTATATGCATATTGACATACATGTATTTTATTTGCTTCAATATACATGTATACATTTAATAATTCTACAAATTCAGTCAGGGGGAGCCGACTTTTTCCCTAAGCGGGGGACACGAATTCTCTGAATTAGCTTGTTAAAAATCTCAATTCCACCTATTCCCACTTGCAAATAACAATAGATGTTTTGATATAGTAATTATGTTTTTACAGTAATTAGACTGATTACTTTCCATCTTAGATTTACCTATATTTTGTAAATTTTAAAACAAAAAATAAATAAACTTATGAAAAGAATGATTTATTTTAATTTGATACCGGTATATGGATTTCACGATAATTTTTTTAAAAAGTCTTACAAAAGGATACCCACTTTAATGTATTGATTTTAAAACATTAAATAAATAGATTAATATTTTTTTAAAAAGCTGAATTTTAGAAAATACAATAAACGGGGAAAACATCTTGAAATTAACTTAAAATTTCCTTTTTCCTTCAATATTAAGAAAAAAGTCTGATTTATAATTTAAAAAAGCAAATTTACCTAATCCTGTATTCCAACATAAGTTCATTAATCACTGTTTGTACAGTATTTATATGTTTATAGTTGATTATTTGTTTACACAAAAATTCCTCCTATTCCCACATAAAATCCTACCTTTTTCTACCTAATTTTCAAAGAGTGGGAATAGCTAGAATGAACCACTGGTCATTTGCAAAATTAATTCGTTAAAAAACCATTTTAATTGTACACACAATTACACACTTAATTTGTCATTTAAAAAGTTGCTAGAGTTTCTGAATGACAATCTATTTAGAGTTTGGAGATCATGTTGAAATATGGAGAAAACAAACATATTCAAGCTCAGAGTCCATTACAAACAATATATAAATCTTGGTACAGAGCAAACATGGACCTCCAAAAACAACAGAGGTGGGATCAGGCGTCATGGGGGAGTGAGCATCAAGGTCAAGGTCAAGGCGGAAGGTCAAGGTCAAGGCGCCATGTAGGACGGGTTTAAATCGAGCCATCAAAAAAAATGAGTGAAAATGTATGTTATTGAGTTATGAAGTAGATGGTTATGTTGAAATGGATGCACTGTATATTGGAGGTAGTGATTAAACCCGTAAAAGTGAGTAATATGATCTAAAACACTTTCATCCTTCAATTCTTAAGAAGTTAGATCGAGCGAGTGACTACGGTGAGCAGGACTCACTGATTCACTGTATGTGTGCTGTGTATTCGCTGTGTATTCACTGCAGTTATTCCTTATAGGACATGCCTAAAACTAATAAAAAACAGTATTCTAAGAATCAAGCTGGTAACATTAATACCCCAAACAGAGGACTTGGAGGTGGAAATAAACGTTTCAGGTGCGACCTCAGTGAGAGTGATACCTCCATGGCTAACTCTACAGGGCCCAACTTAGATCAAGATCTACATAAGTTAGACTCACTGCTCCACACTCTTTCTAAAGATGAAAACTTTACAAAAAGGGCTGTCTCTGTCATCTTAAATAACGATGTATTCAAAACACATATTTCTGATGCACTACTGGAAAAGGTTTCCTCTCTACAGACACAGGTCGATAGACTAGAGTGGCAGGTAGACGACTTAGAACAATATTCTCGTCGAAACTGTGTAAAGATAACGGGTGTCAAAGAAAATGATGAGGAAAATACGGATGAGCTCGCACTTAATGTTATCAATAAGCTTATCCTTGCCCCAGAAAACCTATCGATTCCCATTGATAAGATTGATCGAACCCATCGTGTAGGCAAGCAGCAAGAGAACCGCCCCAGAGATATTATAGTGAAATTTACTTCATATCGAGACAAGGCACTTGTCTACGCAAATAAGAGTAATCTCAAAGAATACAACAAAAATGAAATGAATGAACACAAAATTTTCATAAATGAAGCCCTGACAAAACGACGAATGGGCCTCTTAATAAGCACAAAAAAACTGCTCAAAGACCAACTTGTCGAATCAGTGTGGACGTACGATGGAAAAATAATTGCGAAAACCCATGGCAAGAAAAGATGGACGATCACGCGATATTCGGACATCGAAAAATTAGAGGGCAACATTATGCGCGGCCCTCAAACCTCTACTCCAGCTGCGGCAGTGTTCAAATAAATACAAGACAACTTTGTGTCACACATACCTCTCTTCTCACTTGGATATAACTGGACTCCATCTTTCATAAGTTTCAGAAGTCTATTCTGCAATATCTTAAATGTATTATTTTTAGTAAGGGTTTTTCCCATACTAGGGTAAATACTTTTCTATAAATAGATGTTTACCTAAACACTATATTTTTGTATGGCTTAATACACCAAATCCCATACTGTACCTTTTTGTAAATGTGTTCTTACGTTCTCATACTCAGTTTACTGATACTCTTGTGTTTACAAGTCAAATTTGTGTTTTTTGTATATATGTTTTTTGTTCAGTTCGTATTTATTTCTTATGCGTTTTGTCTTATTCCAACCATACCGGTTTCATTTTTACTTTTATACACAGCATATCCGATGTGTGAATCCATGCCATCCAAATCAAATATAATGATTTTTGATACAAATGATTAAGGTGATTATAACTATTTTTAGGATGTCATGGATAAACTATCAGTTAGACTATTGTGTATGTTTAAATCTACATTTTCGTCGTATTATAATATATATACTGCTAATATTAGGGTGCATAGAGACCAATCCTGGCCCCAGTTTTATTAAAAGTAGCCATAGTAGCAAACCTTTAAGTATTGTCCATAACAATGTTTGTAGTCTACTACCAAAATTAGATATCATAACTTCAGAATTATCAACATATGATATTATTACCCTTAGTGAAACGCATTTAGATAATAGCATAAGTAATGAAAATATTTCAATAGAAGGATTTCACCCACCTATTCGAAAAGATAGAAATAGACATGGTGGCGGTGTTGCTATATACATTTCGGACCAATTAGCTTACCATTTTCGAATGGATTTGTTAATTGATGGATTAGAAATTCTTTGGTCAGAAATACATAATGGCAACAAAAAAATTTTATTAGCTGTACTTTATAGGCCCCCATCTTCACTAGCTAGCTATTGGGACTTATTTAACTCAAATTTGGAAAAGGCACTTGAATGTAATCTCCCGATATTCCTACTAGGAGATTTTAATGTTAATGTTTTGTCAAATCAAAGTAGCAGTTTCAAACTAATGCTACAAAAATTAAATTTAACAAATTTAATCGATTGTCCAACCAATTTTACAAAAACTGAGGGTACTTGTATAGATCTTATAATTACTAGCAATCCAACTTTGGTTGATAGTACATTTGTTTCAGCCCCATTTTGTAGTTCACATTCCCTTGTTGGACTGGACCTGAAATTCAATATACACAAACAATATGCATATAAGAGAGAAATTTTTGATTATAGTAATGCTGATTACAATAACCTCAATAATGATTTAGAAAATATAAATTGGGATTCAGAAGTTTTCAATACTACTGATGTAGATGAAATGTACTCTAATTTTACAGAAGTATTGACCAAAGGCATAGATAAACACATCCCTAAAAAAGTAATTACAATTCGACCAAAGGACAAAGTATTTATGAATAGTACAATTAGAAAATTGATGAGGAAACGAAATCGAATCCATCGTAAAGCTGTCAAATCAAAAAATCCACTTCACTGGGAAAAGTATAGATACCTTCGAAATCAGGTCATTGATGAAATTAGAATTTCTCGGCAAAATTATAACAAAAAACTTACAGAGCAGATAAATAAAACAATACCACCTGGTAAATGGTGGAGAATAGTGAAATCATTATCCAAACTAAACAATAAACATAAGCCAACACCTCCTCTTAAGGTCGATGGCCAAACAATGTTTCATCCCATAGACAAGGCCAATGCTATAAACAAATTCTTTACAAATATCTCTTGCATTAACGATGAGCCTGATTTACCACCCCAGGGACCAGGTCCCCCCTTACATCATATGGAAACAATTAGAATTACAGAAAATGAAGTCTTAGACCAGTTACAAATCATCAATACATGTAAGCCATCAGGTCCTGATGGTGTTTCACCTCGAATTTTAAAATCTACTGCACAATCAATCTACAAACCACTGACAAAATTATTTAATATATCACTAAACAATGGAACTCTTCCTAATATTTGGAAAATTGCCCAGGTTACTCCTGTTTATAAAAATAAAGGAAATGCAGATGATGTCAATAACTATAGACCAATATCAGTAACATCTGTTGTTTGCAAATTATTAGAAAAAATTATTGTCAAGCATCTGCACAACTATATACTTGAGAACGATATACTATATAAGTTCCAGTCTGCTTTTCAAACTGGCGACTCAACCAGTAATCAGTTGGTGGAAATCTATAATACTATTATATCCAATCTTGATAAAGGCCGAGATGTACGGTTTGTGTTTTGTGATATTTCTAAAGCATTTGATAGGGTCTGGCATAAAGGAATTATATTTAAATTAAAGGAAATTGGAATATCAGATCAAATCCTAAATTGGGTCAAAAACTACTTAGTAGACAGAAGACAAAGAGTGGTCCTTGATGGTTATACATCAACTCTTAGACCAATTAGTGCAGGTGTCCCCCAAGGATCTGTTCTAGGTCCTTTTTTATTCTTATTATATATTAATGATATTTCTTCAAATTTAACAAATAATGTCCGCTTATTTGCTGATGATACTTCACTCTACATTATTGTTGATAATGACATTGTTAGTGCTGCAAACTCATTAACAAATGATTTAGAAAAGTTGGATCAGTGGTCAAAACAATGGAAAGTTGATTTTAACCCCAAGAAAACAGTGAATGTAAATCTTTCCAGAAAGCATTTTTCTCATCCCAATGTTAAATTTGGTTTAAATGGCCCCTTAATTGAGCCATCGGAAAATCACACACATTTGGGACTAAATTTTCAGTGTGATGCAAAATGGAAATCTCACATACAAATTACTTATGAAAAAGCATGTAAACGGTTAAATATTCTACGAATGTTAAAACATTCCCTTTGTCGAGACGCGCTAATAAAAATATATATGTCATTTATTAGACCAGTTTTAGAATATGGTGATGTTGTTTGGGATAATTGTAATGAAAAGGAGTCATCTTTATTGGAAGAAGTTCAAATTACTGCTGCAAGAATTATTACAGGAATGAGAGTGAACTCATCAAGATCACTTTTATATGATGAATTGGGTTGGAATACATTATCTGACAGAAGGAAAGTACATAAATTAATATTATTTTACAAAATTGTGTATGGGTTAGCACCACAGTACCTTCAAGATCTTCTAAGACCTTGTATTCCACCCCAAACCACATATCCATTAAGAAACAATGACGGTCTTACTTTTCTTATTCCTCAGACGAGGACCACATCATATATGAATAGTTATTTCCCATCTACAATTAAATTATGGAATAGTTTACCGTACCATATTAGGAGTTTACCAACACTATCTTCTTTCATTAATGCTATTAAAAAGACTCATTATAGAACACCCAATAAACTTTTTAATCATGGAAATCGTAGTCAAAATATTATTCATTGTCAGCTAAGAAATAATGCTAGTATTTTAAATGCTGATTTACAGAAAGATTATATAAGTGATAGCTCAAAATGTGAAAATTGTGATTTTCATATAGAAAATGCATATCATTTTTTCTTTGAATGCCCGTGTTATGTTGAGCAAAGAAACACTCTTTTTCACTGTATATCTAGTATAGACCTGCAAAATCCTATTCCTATTTCCCTTAATCTTTTATTATTTGGTGATAGTAGTATTTCATATGCAAAAAATATGAAATTATTTGAGTGTGTTCACAATTATATATCACAAACCAAAAGGTTTCATAAATGAAGTGTAACTATGTAATACTTATTCCAGTTAATGTTTTAAGTTAAATACACATTCATTGTATGTTTATAAATTGCTGTAGTTCTCATTTTTTCGATTCAATTCATTTCCACATTTATAAACCGGTATTCATATGTTGTTTTTTTTTCCTTTTCTATCTTACTCATGTATCTTTCTTTCCCCTATGTTCTATTTAAATTTGTGTCTGTATACAACTTATTGGTCATATATAAACCTGTTACTATATGTGTATTAATTAACCTTGTACCTTTGGAGAGGGCTCATATAGGCTATGCCTGCTGCCCAATCCAATTATGTATTTTACATAATAAAATATGTTCAAATCAAATCAGCATCCCCTGACGACCGGTAACACTTGCCTGTGCTCCTTATCATAATCTGGTAAAAATGGGAAATTCCGTTGACAATTCAGTGTGTAAATAATACTTTAGACACCACAGACTTTGACGGATCTTTTTCCTATTTGGGTTTTTATTATAATAATGAATTTTAAAAAGGTTAAAATTTTGATTTTTGTCGGTAATTATGACGTCATGGAATTGTTTAATTGTTACGTCATAATCTATAGTCTGTAGTTAAAATTATAATTTTGTGCATATATAAAGAAAAATGAAGAGCAGTGAAACAATGGTGAGTTATTTTCTTTGATTTTATATTTTGCGTATTTGTAAAATAAATATATAATAAATATTTGCCTTCTCCATACAGGAAAAAACTATAAAGTTTGAGCTACTTGTGTTATGCAATATTAGAGGTAAAATTGATAAATTCACAACATGATTAACTGCAACAATGGGGGAAAAAAAAAAGATATTCATCGTTATGAACAAAAATTAAAAAATGTTCCCTCCCTTTAGAAAATCCCTGATCGCAATATATTAATAATTATTCCCCTTGAAAAGTTTTATTATCATATTTTTTTTCACTATAAAGTGCCTTGGCGAAAAAGGAAAGTTTTTATTTTAAAAATCGATATACAATACAATACAAATACAAATATTTATTGGCACAAACACAATTACAATAATTGTGTAATAAATTGTCAATTGGTAAGTCGGTTTTTAAAGTTTTAGAATTTATTGTAAGTCCAAAAATATGAATTTCACAAAATACAATTTAGAACAAATTTCGTAGATGGAACAAACTGAATTTTACAAAGAATTTCTTAAGATTGACTCACTTACAAACTCACATCTAATCTTTGACAACTCCGCCCACTTTCGTACTGACCAGCCAATTAAATTAAGGATAGAAAGTTGCAAGAACAGGGGGAATCCGTATGACATTAATTTACAACACTGAAATTAGGTAGAGCTAAGCATAACAAATTCAAAGAACACAATCCTAAGATCTAACCATAAAGCTGATAACAAGTATGAGTAAATGACATTGATATCGTGAGGCAGGAAAGAGATGTCAAGAATTAAATATTGGTAACATGTGCAAAAATGCCTTTCCTAAACATCAAATGAAAACAATTAACTTTCAACTACATATGTCAAACAAGACCGAAAAGAAATAAACAATTATATAAAAAAATATATTCATAATTAATAATTTGACATTTACAAACCCTTATAACACATAATTATAACAATTGGCAAAGGCACATCATCAATTGTTCATTATATATAAACATTAATCTGGTATAGAATGTAAGGCTATACATAATCATATCTAAATTGTACATTGTAAAATAATTATGTTATGCAGTCATTTCTAGATGTAATAATGGTGATCTACATAAAACTGATTCTGGTCCTTTCGTGTGCCTCCACCCTCTGCGCAAGCGCGTTTATTTGTTTATACACGTACATGTATTACGTACTCCGTCATTCGATATTTCTTCCTGTGATATTAATTGGGCAAGGTAAGATAGTATCTAAGATACAAATGAATAATCTTTATCATTATATGTGAACAAAACAATACAATTTACTTGTAAGACTCGCTAAAAATTAGCTTTAGGTCGTTTGAAGAAAATATAAGGCAAGAGCTATAATTACATTTACATCCTGACCATGTGCAGTCATGTGCTTCAGTGTATAGCTTATGTGTAAGTTCTATGGATGATGATCAATAGCCAGTAATTGATTACAGTTTGCCATTATAGCAGACATTTCGTACAGGAGATATTGTGAAATATACACGTGTTCATCATTGCATCATCCACGATTCCTTGTGAATTTATGAAATGTTTAAAGTGAAAGTAGAGTTAAAGATATATTAACGTACATTAAGGACCTGCTTGATTTTTTTTTTCTAAGAAGGGATATTCATAGCATGTCTGTGTATATCTGATATACATGTATGTTAGCTATTAATAACTTATTTTAAAGGGGAAAAAAAACTATCACCATGAACAATTTTTAAATGAAAGTTGTTGTTTTCTCTTACTAAAGTTTAAAAAAAAATACATTTTATGTTTTAAAAAAATTATATGAATTATTTTAGGGGTTCATGACTCTTTATCATGTCTATAATAAGTAAATTTATGGAAGAAAGAGAGGGGAAAAAGAAGAGTGAATATAAGATGTAAATATGACAAGCTCTTGTACTATATATTTTCAAAAAAAAAAAATTAAAGAGATAGATACCTCTTTTCTTTAAAGAGTTATCTCTCTAGGCTGTAACATGTTATAAACACATGTCCCATAGTCAAAGAAATATCTCTTTTAATCTCTGTAAGCTTAAGAGATCTCTCTCTAAGCTAAAAAGATATCTCTCTAAGAAAAAATATAAAGGGAAAAAAATTACGAAAAAGTAGTAGATGGGCTTGCTATATGTAACCGTCTTTCTTTTAAGGTTGATTTAATCTTGAGAACTTTCAAATAGTGTTGCAGAAATCAGTTTCCGTACATGGGAAGTGAAGTCTGGCAGAAACTAAAGGAGAACATTGCTTTGCTGCAGCAGTCCATTCACTTGCCCACCTTCTTAGACAATTTGGGTAGGAGGGGTTTGATTGATCAGGAAACCGCCAACAGTCTGGTAGTTTTAAGTTGCGAGGAGGCAGTTCCCAAACTTCTAGAAACTTTAGAGTCTTCAAATCCCTCCTGCACCAACGAAATGTGTGACGCACTACAAGAAACTCATCCAGATATTGCAGAAAAAGTAGGACTGGCTCCTCTACCAGGTAAATATCTAAAATCTGCCATTGCTGTTTTATAAAATCAGAATAAATAATTGTGACTAATAAAGCATAGCAAAGAAATTTTAATGAACACATACATGTATGAAAAGTATTGAAATTTTTTTAAAGCAAAAGGACATACATATATCCACATCCAAAATTGGCATATAGTTCAAATGTTATTCAGTGCTTAGAGTTGCATGAACTGAAATGCAGTATTTTCTTACTGTCAGAAGTTTAAAATTGGTAGAGGAATTTCTTGATCTTATGAATTACCGATCAGCTGATTTGATGTTTGCACTAAAACACTAGTCTGTTAGAAATGAGCTGTCACATTTGCATAGACAATCATGAAATTTATGATCCTAATGATTTAATGCTTAATACTGACCATTAATTAATGTCATTATCAGTTAAAGCAAAAAAAAAAATTACAAGAATGGGAGAGAGGTGTCTGTAAATCATTATAAAATACTGGTATATTTTAGCTGAAAAAGATTGTAAAGAGCCAAGCGGTCACAGCCATGTTGTGAAGTCGTATCACGCTGTGTTGGCCATCTCTACAGAGCCCCACAAACACAAGGAGGATAACCAGCTTCATCATTCCAAGAACAAACACTCAGCCTTCATGTAACAGGTACCAGTTGTGTATTCTACTGAATATTTCATGCCTCAATAACAAGAGGAACCCAAAGACAAACATCCAAGTCTTTCATCTTGCCTTTCAATACATGTACAGTCCCTGGCCATAAGTCTGTCATATTATGGCTGACGTTAGTGACTTAACGTAACGTGAACAACATGAATGCAAAATTCAAAATTAAAAAAAAAAATATAAATATTAAGCACTTACCCTTATAATACACACTCCCTAGGGTTCTCTAACTCTGAAAAATTTAACCATGGAGGGAGTTACGCAATGTAAGCTAAATGTTATAACACAATTATATGATTTTTACCATCAAGCTTTTTTTCGTTTATGATTTTTAAAACTTTTTTTTTATGGAATAATCAAAAGTTGAAAGGAAAACAAAAACAATATACAGAATTTAAAAGCATTAATTTACTTTTGTTTAAATTAACTAAAATTGCAGGAGGATGCTTTTTGATTAGATTTCACAAAATGTTTTTTTTTTTCAAATTTAAATAAAAACCACTGATACAAAGAAGTCAAATTTTGTTTCTTGTAGTCATATTTTTAAACAGCTAATTTAATTGCACAGGTACAATGTTCATGTATCTGCATGGCTCACATGTGTTTTGAAATTTTACTCACACATGGTTACCTAGGTAAATTCTTTCACATTTTCTTTTCAGGGAGAGTAATAACCAGTGACGGCTCAAGATGATTACAGCGGGACTGATATTGTATTGAATCTCAGTGTATTATTTCATTTTCCTGAATCTGCATATCTAAAGGAATCTCCTCTGTTTTACATAACTTGTAAGACTAACCTGAACAATTATTCTGTTTAAAGAATACATCAACTTTTAAAAGTTTTCTTTTTGAGTATTTTATCATTTTATTATTTATTTAAACTTTAAATAAAGTAATTTTTATTTAGAATTCCTTGTTTGTTTTATAATACCAACATTACTTTATTTGGTTCTCTACGTAAAAAGAATGAGATTGGCAGGGTTGAAAAGTTTCAAAGTCTATCAGACAGAGAAAACGAGAGGCTCATTGGCTCCTAAAATCAATGGAATATGAGTAACTATGGTCCATCTTCATCAGCACACACCCCCCCTACGAATATATTCTTATCTTATGTTAAAACTTGGATCATATTGTAGCCCTACCATATCCCAGTGGGACATGATTGTCAATATGACCAAACATCATGGATTTGCTTTTTCTTGAGAAGAAATTTTTAAAAAGGTTTTTCCCTTGTTACAATGCACTTTGAAAAACTACGCACTTTGAAAAAAATTTTCAAAGTGCGTTAAATTTGGGACCAAATCAACGCACTTTGAAAAAATAAATTTTCTTTTCAAAGTGCGTTAATATCGACCATATTTACGCACTTTGAAAAAAATGTGTTTGGCTTTGTCAATACTCTTGCAAATCTTAGGTATGATGAATATTTGAATCCGTTGATAACTTTTCGGCGATGCGGTCACTTAATTCAGGATGTGAAGGTGAGGAGCAATTTTGATTTTCCATACTTTGAAAATCCTTTCTCTCTTAAATGTTTTACTGTACTTAATCTTTTCCAGTTTGCATGCATTTTATGTAAACTAATTTATTGAAAGTTTTCAACTTCATACCGGTTATGTAAATACATAATATTTGGGTGTAGCATAGGCATCGGTACCAGGAGGGGGAGGGCTTAATATAGGTACACAAATGTTTTGCAAAGATATACATAATGTAGGCATTGAAAATTGGGGCTTACCTTGGGGGTCCACTTTCACTTTGCTACGGACGGCCATGTGCGATATATTAGAAAAAAGAGGTTTGCTGAGAGAACATCAACTTGTCTTCTCCTTGTTCTTAATGAGGTTAAATGAGTACATTTAATCAAAAAGTTTTTCAATAGGTGTAATTATTGCAAATTCATTCTCTCTGTTACTAAAATCTAAGTCTAAATTTTTTGTTTGATACACATTTTGTTCAAAGTGCATTAAATGTCCCCTTGGTAATTTTTTTTATTTACACTCTTAACGCACTTTGAAAATTTTTTCAAAGTGCGTTGATTTTGTCCCAGTTTTAACGCACATTGAAACTTTTTTTCAAAGTGCGTTGCCACATCCCCTATATATTCCCATGTAATACTTAGATCCCCTAATATGGCCCCATCCTACCGCTGGAGGGGGGTATATGCTTCCATGTAAATATGACTTGCCATAGCATCACTGCTTGTGAGAGGGAGATCTTTTAAAAAGACATTTCCTTTGTACTCCAAAGTAAAACTTTGAATGTCCATAGTAATCCCACCCTAACCCCAGGAATCAATCAATCATGCTTTGATTTCACTTGGAACACTATGTCAGGTAGATTTTACATACATCTCGTATATATACTGACCCAGTGATTCCTGAAGATTTTTTAATGACCCAACCTAATTTTCATTATTTCTCAATTATCTACCGGTACTTCTGAAAAAAAAAAGGTGTGACCCTTCATTTTAAGAAATTTAAATTATCTCCCTATAAGGATATATATATACTCTTTATTGAATTTGGTTGAAACTGACCCAGGGGTTTTAGAGAAAATACAATTGTAAACAAAATGTTAACAACAAAGACGGCATGCAATGGATAGATTTTGATCAGAAAAACTTAAATGAATCTTTAGTATACGTGAACTAGTCTTGGTTCAGGTGAGCTAAAAGTCTTCCAAGGGGAATTTCTGCAAAGTGGTTGTCTAAGGGAACAAGTTTTGTAGATCGCTGGATTTTGTTGAGGAAGTTATAATTGCAATAATTATATGACCCTGAAGAGTATATAATTATATAGTTACAGTATTTGGGACACGTTCGAGTAACTGGGTTTCACGTACAGTGTACATGTACTGTAGCTCTTTAGAGAGAAATCGCAACTTCCCACAAGGTGGATTTTCGCAGAGTTTGTCGGAAAGGCAATTGCCCCGACGACGTTTTGAACCTGGCCCTTGTCTTGGTATAATAATTAATTAACCCATAGTTTAAAAATTACTATGATACTCAAGCTTATTAATTGCTCTCTCTCTCTCTTTCCCTTTCACTCGTCATGTAAAAGATATAGGTAATTTGTTATTGCAGTGATATTTTTTAAGAAATCGCTAATTCTTGTTTCAAGTTACTTAGCATACCAATCTAATTAAAATCAAATCCTTTGATCCGCTCACGTAGATCGCTACACAATCTAGCGATCTACGTGAGCGGATCAAAGGATCTGATTTTAATCAGATTGTGAGCATACGTGCTGTTAAAATATATTTTTCAAGTTAAACAACGCTTTCTAATATTTTTCAGGATATTTTTTCCAGCTTCATTGTCTGGTTATATGGAATTTCTAGTTAAAATATAGTCCCTTCCAAGCACGAATGTTAGCAATATATGAATCCGAGACTTTTTTCTCTTACCACAGTTGCAACTTTATTGAATACTTTAAGAAATCGTGATTTAAATTTGAGTAAACCTTTTTTTTTTAATTTTATGTATTTCATAATTAAAGTTAAGATAGCACATATTTTCTCATAATCTTGAAACACTTTAAATAGTCAACATCAGGTTCAATATTCAACTACGCCTGACGGAATTGCGCATCTTTATACGTTTTTTATACACTATATAGACACTTGTTTCGGTATTTAATTTTAACCCAAAGTATAATAATAAAACGTGGTTAAAAATTGATTACCGAAACAAGCACTTTAAAAAAATATGTTTGTTAAACTCTGCATGATGTCCCCGTAATGCAATACAGCGAAAGTTGCAAATATATGTTGATATACCCAAAGTAAGGCCTTCTCACGAGAAATACAACTGTGAAATATAAAACCCTAGCACCACCTGTTCAAAAGTTATGGCCAAGGATAACGTTTTTTAAAGGTATGTGAAACTCCGGGGTCAAGGTGGAAGGGTCAAAGTTGTTGGTTTCTAAAGAAAGGCCTAATAATTGTCACAAAGATTACATACGAAAGTCCTATAGCCCTGACTGCTCGATCGTAATGGTCAAAGTTGTCGGTCTTGCCACAAAGATAACATCTCATGATTTATGTTTTATGTGAAGTGTGATAGTCCCAAAACCAACCGTTCAAAACATAATTAAAGGTTTTTAAAAGTTGGCCAATCTCAAAGGTCAAGGTCAAAAAGTCAAAGTTGTTGGTATCCAGTGGAAGGTCTTGTCACAAGGATTGCATTATTATGTGAATATATAAAATCCCTCCTGCTAGCCCTTACCGTTCAAAAGTTTTTAAAAGTATGTCAATCTCCAAGGTCAAAAGGTAAAGGTTGTTTGTATCCAATGGAATGTATTGTAACAAAGAATACATATGTGAAGTATGACAGCCCTAAGACCAATCGTTCAGAGGATATGACCAAAATTAATTTAAAAAAAAAAGTAGGTCAAACTCCAAGGTTTAGGTCAAAGAGCCAAATTTTTGGTTTCCAATGAAAGGTCCGAGGCTAATTAATTTGTCACAAGGAATACATAATTGTGTGAAATATAAACTCCATAGCCCTTACATGTACCGTTCAAAAGTTGTTAAAAAAGGTTTAAGTTTTTAAGTAGGTCAATCTCCAAGGTCAAATTAGGTTAAAGTTGTTTGTATCCAATGGAAGATCTTGTCACAAAGTATACCGCATATGTGAAGTATGGGCTAGAGTCTTAGCACCAACTGTTCAAATGATATGACCAAAGTAAAAATTTGGTGTAAAAGTGTGTCAAACTCCAAGGTCAAGGTCAAAAGTTGGTGGTACCCAAAGATGGATCTTGTTACAAGCGATACACATTAATTGACGTTTTTAACGTTTCTCTTTATAAATAAAAAACTTCCCTTCTTTTATTATAGTAGGGATTTTTTTTATTTATAAAGAGAAAGGTTAAAAACGTCAAGCGCCTGTGGTAAATGAATTTCTTTTCGTTTTTGAGTTTCGTTTTACGGAAATGTCCGATCTATTCATAGTAATTTTTGCATGCACGAGTGATTTGGCGCTTACGTACGTACTATAAATAGTGTTCCAGGCATGTTTTTAGTCATTACGAAGTTCGTTACAAGATTTCAAGGACATACATTTCCCTTCCCATCCCCGCCCTACAAACTATGCAACGCATTGTATGTAATCATTATACGTGTACAGTTATGTTTTCTTGTTGATGAAGGTGTCAATTAATATTATGTTACGTATTTCGCCATTAAAATCTATGATTATTGATATACTTATAAATGCGATCTTGTAATGAACGCACCTAACATAAACTAATTGTTGTTGTTTTTCAAATTAGTCAAGAAAAGATTTATTTTCGGGGGAGTTTACGAGGGAGAAAATAAAACCCATATATAGTCCACAGTCAAAAGTTACGAACAATGTCAAAGTTTTTAGGGACAAACAGACAGACGGACAGGGCAAAAACTATATATCCCCGAAACTTCGTTTACGGGGGCATAAAAAGAAAATTAAAGTGATCAAAGAGAAAAATTGTTTCGGTGTCAATTTGATTGGGGGCGAATATACATGATATGACCCGAGACATTCCGAACGTCTTCTAATGTTCCGAAGGAAAGAGTAGCCCGGATGTAAACGTCATAGAGAAAAAAAATCCCAGCCACAACAAAAACTGTGGCGAAAATTATACATCAAAAGTGCTCCAATTTCCTAACTGTGATAACTTTTATTTTCACTGATTGTTAAGAATATGACTACACCCGCTAGACGACGATTAATGAGAGATTTCAAGAGGTATATTAGGGCATATTGATATGTTTTGACTTCCTTACAAAATATTTCCAAGATGGCCTCTGATGCTATTTATATGCGTCACAAATAAATATATAATTTTTTGTATTCTAGACTTCAAGAAGATCCTCCTGCTGGTGTAAGTGGTGCCCCGACAGAAAATAATATTATGCTATGGAATGCTGTGATATTTGGGTAATAATTATGTTTTTATTCGACTATTGTGTTTTGATGCTATTTATTTTGTTGCTTTCATAGGAAAAGTTATAGAAAATCTGACTTAGTCATGATATTGTATCTTTGGTATATGTACCATACTACAGTTTCCAGATGGAACACCCTTTTTGGGGGAGGGGATATATTAAAATTCATTGTAAGGATGAGTTTAACTGATCCACAGTAATATCTAAAAGATCTGAAAACTAGCAATTCACAAAATGACGGAAAACTACAATAACCAGACAAATGATTTGTCTGAAATGTGGTTTTGCCTCAATTTACAGATTGTAATCTGAGTACAACATTTTTATGCAGACATTACTCATTAGAAAAGCCTGGCAAATGAACAAAGAGAATTTTCTAGAAACTGTGAAAGAAAATTACACTTACCCTTTTGGGCATAAGGCCAATGTCCAGTGGTCAATATGCAGATGTGTGCCAAAAGTGAAGATAATTTTTTTTTTTTTTTCGATTTATTTTATTGAAATCAACATTTTTTAAAAACACTGGCACAACAACATTTCCTAACAGATTTTACCAAAATTTTTGATAATCCAAGAAATTGTTTTATTTGATAAGAACAAGTTTTGATATGATCAGCTTTGATATTTTAAAAATATTATATAATTTAAGGTCAAGATTTAGTAAATGAAGGGTGCCTACAGATTTATCAAAATCAAGAAATGAATTCCTTTAATGATGCTTTATAACTTTAGCTTGGTCAAAAAAGGTGTTTCAGGGCATAATTTGTAGGAAAATAAGATGAAAAACCATATTTGAGACTGTCATTTTCAATGAAATATTAAGAAAACCAATCATGAATTAGGGAGTTTTTTCCAAATCACTCAAACAAAATGTATGCAGATTGCCTACAGTCTTTCAGAAAATGGTAATTTGTATGTTCTTGGTCTCTTCTTTAAAATAATGTTTAATTTAATACATGTATAGGTATCCGACTACTTTGCAGGTGATTTCAAATTGAATTCCATGAAAATACTTTATTTTCTACCTAATTCTATTAGAGCTGTAAAGTACGGCCAAAAGAAAGTTGAAAATGATTATGATGTCATAATGGATCTAGCACCAAAAAGTTAGTCTAAGGACATTTACTAGATCTTGATAAGTGTGACATGAAAATTAACGGTAAAGTCACATAAGCACAATGAATAATAAAGTCAAAATAGACATTGAATTTTAGAACTTATAAAAATTATTTGATGATGAACTATCTTTTTCTAAAAAACTGAATATGAAATTATCTTTTCGAAAATGATAACTACACATTTTCTGGTTTCAGTATTGAAATAAATAATGAAATTTGACAAAGATTGACCATGTGCCAGTGATTTTACAAAATGTTGTTTTCAATGAAATGTGTAGAGAAAACTATAAAATTATCATCACTTTTGGCACACATCTGTATGTTTTCAAAGATACTTCAATGCATAGTGATGCCACGTTTTATTTACACCCGGCTCAAGTTGGGTGCACGGATATTTACACCCGACTTTGTAACCAATCAATGCTCGTGTTACAAGCTACATAGGAAATAAATTGTTTAACACATTTATCTCGCCTGATCTCGCTTATCTGTAGTGATGGAACGATTGTCGCCGACAATCGATTGTCGGTCGTTAGAAGCTCTTCGATGCTACTAATCGATTATAAAATAAATGTCGCCGACATCGCTAACAAAAAATTAAATTGTCATACTTTAATTTTATTACCAAATCCAAGTGCAAAGAGCATAAAAGTAGTGATAAATGTTGAAAACATGGAAGGATTCCGTGTCTTGTTGATACTTTTACCGCCATGATTAAATATGGTGTTAGACTAATACCAGGAAACGGTGATATTGCAAGGTTTTACTATGCAAAGGAAAGCATAATTAGTCTAGTCAATCTTTAAACGTAATTGTAATCAGAAATACAAGTCTTACTTCTGGATAACTACTTTTAAAACTTGCAATTTTAACTAATTAAAGCTAATTTTAAGAAATAAATTCATGTATTAAATAAAAGTTGGGACTAATATCAGTAAAATACCCGTTGCATGGACTTTATAAAAAATATAAATTCCATTTCTGTTTCAATAGTTCTACATTGTTTAAAGTGAACAAAATATCATTTTCCACATTTAAAAAAGAAATTTCAATTAACATTTTTGAATATTTTATGTTAGTATATGATTTTTGTGTAAAAGTCTGACAGAAATATGAATAAGTTTTAACATTTCTATATTAATTTCATTAAAGTTCAAAATTTCGATTATTAATCGATTATGCCCAGCCGATTTTTACCGATAATCGATTCTGATTTTTTTCCGATTCCCCATCACTACTTATCTGTGCTTTTAACTTGTTTCAACTTTCAAGTGCCAGCAATGTCTTGACTTAAGGCTGTTTGCAACATGTGTCTCTGACTCTTGTGATACCTTTACAACTGAATAAAAAATTATGAGGAAATGAAATATTTAATCAACTTGTACAGCATTTACACAGTTTGAACTGACAATTTTTTGTCTAAAATTTGGGAAAAATTTACTCTCTTTTTTTGGATTAAGAGAAAAATAAATGTGATGTATCGAAATTGGACAGAGTCCTTTCGCAGGATAATTTCTGTGGTTTCCCCATTTACCTAATCATGACAATGAGCATACTAGGCCAGGGGTATGACCAGTCAACAGGGAATACTGAGGATGCTTACTCCTCCATGGTAACTGATCCTACCTTTAATGTTTTTATAGGGTTTTTTGCTCTGCTCACAAGTATGTATTGTTTTAATGAACTTTCGGTATAATTACCCTGTGTTATTGTGTATTTCATGAAGTTAGGCTGGTAGTAAAAAAAAATCATTCATTCTAATAATTGAACATTGCTGACCAATTGCTAGTTCTCCATCTAAGAAGTTTTTCAGAATTAGTAGGTGTGCAAGTCACTTCTACAAGTTGGAAAAGAAGGGGGGGGGGTAATTATAGTACATACTAATATCAAAAACACATTCTGACAATGCTATTTTCTCTCTGTGATTCAAATGACATTTTTGTATTGTAATTGTAGACCACATGATACCCCATTTGAAGATGGTACTTTCAAATTAACAATAGAGTTCACAGAAGAATATCCAAATAAACCCCCAACAGTGCGATTTGTTTCAAAAATGTTTCATCCTAATGGTAAGTTCACAATTTAAGTTTCTCGTTCAAATGATTGCATAGAATGAATTCATGTACTGTATTTACATTAAACTAGCAGATACATGTCAAAGACATTTTTTTCCAGTTTTATATATATCATTATAAACAAAAATCCAGGAAAGATGTACATGTATTTACATTGTATTGTCTTTACATTTTAGTTTATGCTGATGGAAGTATATGTCTAGATATATTACAAAATAGATGGAGTCCCACATATGATGCATCTGCTATTTTAACTTCTATTCAAGTAAGTATATAGGCTTAGATGTACACACATCAGGTATTTTAAATCTTTTATGAAGTGTAGATGGTACCTTTTACTTTATAAAAAGTATAAGGGAATTTTTCAGAATTGAGTCTTGACATGGCTTACGAATGTGTAAACCATTTTCTATGATTTATGAACAGTTATTTTAAAACAAAAGTCGTAAGAATTTTGCATAAAACAATCAAAATTTGGAATTCCGTAAAAATTAACTGAATTACATGAAAAAGTCTGAAAAATCCCATTCTGTTTGTAGTCTCTTCTTCATGACCCCAATCCCAATAGCCCTGCTAATAATGAGGCGGCTCAGTTATATAGAGAAAATAGGCGAGAGTATGAGAAAAAAGTTCAGTGCATTGTGCAGGAGAGCTGGAAAGATGATTCCGATGATGATGATGAAAATGACGATGATGGGGTCGATGATGACGATGAGGAGATGAAGTCCTAGCAAACACCAATTCTTTACCTTACATTTGGATCCATATTTGTGTGAAAAATTATTTCCTGGAATATCTCGACAATTGTTCTTTTTTATTTATATATACACAGATCATGTCAGTAATTAAATTCAGGACTGTAAATCTCATTTTAAAGAAGATTGTACACTGTCAGTATATATTTCAAGTATTGTTGGGTTGTTTATTTGCTAGCTTTTTTCCCCTCATCATCATTATCGTACCATACACATCCTGCAACATTTAAACATTTGATTTCAGACTTGTGCATTTTTTTTACTGAATATTATTTATGGCAAGAAGTTTGACATAGTGTGAAATGCTTTCCTTATACTAATTTATGCACTGATTTAATTTGAATTGGGACTATTTCATTAGTAGTAAATTTCTTTGTTTAATATTATGTAACATTTTTTGTAATATTTGTATTTTTGATGTATGTTGCTAGCTTAATTCCTACTTGATGCATTTTTTTTGTCTTCAATGTTTTGATTTGCTCTGGATTTTTCAGTCCTTACTGGATGAACCTAACCCAAACAGTCCCGCAAATAATGTAGCAGCCCAGTTATATAAAGAAAATCGTCGTGAATATGAAAAACGAGTTAAGGTTGTGGTAGAGGAAAGCTGGATTTATCATGGCGATATTGAGTGAATATTGTGTGTGTTCACAGAATACCAAAACCTTCAATTATGTTTTAACTCTGTATTTTGTCGATATTGTTTAAATAAGCAGTCTTCAAATGTTAATGGGATGGAATGAGAAGTTTTGATAGATATTGATATCCAGCTGCATTTCAAGTGAAGGAATTGATTTTCAAAATAACTGGGAGACATTTAATACATACATGTATAATCCATTGTTAAAAATTTAATGAAAATTTCTAGCATATTCTATCACTGGATTTTATTATATGAAAAGCCAACTACATGTACATGTATAACCATTGTTTCAAAAAACTGCGTAAAGTTTGAAATGTTTCCTGCTACTTAATCGTGATACCTAGGAATTGTGTGTTTGCTTGTAAGATGTCTTTCATGTTTATATTTTAGACAATATTATTATTGTCTAAACATTAAATTGTATGTTTGGCCATTGCATAGATTTTTTTACTGTCAAGGAAAGTAACTTGAATACAATGCATTGTTGAGATTGATTGTACTGAGAGCATTAAGTGTTTTTGCTGCACTTGTGTTGTGTGTACCATAAGGTGCATTTTTATGTGTAGATCAAAGTTTGTTGTTAAGTCATAAAGATGAAATATATTTGAAGAACAGTGATATTGTGTTGTGTGCTTCTTTTCATGGGATGCAGTCTCCTGTGCATTTAATAAATTACACAAGTGGAAGTTTATGTACGGTGATAATTGTTATTTAAAACAAGACCTGTATGACTAAGTATGAATATTTAGCTGGTGTACCCTTATACAGACTTTGAAAGTTAATCAAAAAATTGTTTAAGTCTTTAAAACTCTTGTCTCTGAATGTGCCTAAAAAGTTCTTTTGGGAAGCATTTACTTTCAGTGATTGATAAACATTTGTATTATTCAGAGAAGTAATATAATTGAAGACAGAGTTGTACTGACAATGTAAGAATCTCAGGAAACATTTCTAATGGAAGCTTCTTAATGAAGTATCTATCCAAACAGAATTCCCAGAACCAGGATGTTTACCTACTGGTTTAGGCCAAAGCCTCAATTTTTTTAATGGAAAAAAATCACCCCAAGCATTATATGAAATTCAGTATTTTCTAAAAATTAAACAAAGAAAAGATGTGTAGGTATTGAATATGCATGATTGTGAATATATGCTATACTTTTCACACTGGCATACTTTTCATAATGTATGACGATACTGATTTTCACTAAGGGCATATTTCATGAAGTTAATTTCCGTTGCATTAAAATTATGCACAAGTATTTTTAACAATTTTCAGGTCTTGTCACATGAAATATATTTATCATTTATGGAGATCAACTCGGTAATCTTTAGCTTTACTGGTCAAAGACCAGAAGAGCTTATGCGATAGTAATGCATCTGTCCGTCTAGCTGTCTATCTGTAAACAATTTTTCTCAAAATGCTATTCCTCATACTGTTTTGGTCTGATTTCAATAAAACTTGGCACACAGGTAGACTACACTAAGATACATAAATCTTTTTTATTGGTTTTCGATTTCAGTGAATGGTGTTGCCATGGTTACTAAAAATAGAAATTTCTGTGAAATACTTTTAAAATGCTACTCCTCCTACAGTTTTGGTGTGATCTCAACATAACTAGGCACACAATAAGACTACACTTAGATAAGATACATAACTGTGTATCGGTTTTCGATTTCGAAGAATGTTGTTGCCGTGGTTACTAAAAATTGAAATTTCTGTGAAATACTTTTAAAATGTTACTCCTCCTATAGTTTTAGTCTGATTTCAATATAATTTAGCTCACAAGTAGACTACAGTAAGATACATAAGTCTGTTTATTGGTTTTTGATTTCGTTGAACGGTGTTGCCATGGTTACTAAAAATAGAAATTTCTGTGAAATACTTTTAAATGCTACTCCTCCTACAGTTTTGGCCTGATTTCAATATAACTTGGCACACAAGTAGATTACACTAAGATACATAATTTTATGTATCGGTTTTTGATTTCAAAAAACGATGTAGCTTTGGTTACTAAAAATAGAAATTTCTGTGAAATACTTAAAAAATGCAATTCCAAATACAGTTTTAGTCTGATTAAAGTATAATTTGGAATGCAACTGGTGTACACTAAAATACATGATCATTTTGCTGTTGTGAAGTTTCAAGTCCCAACTGCCACTTTTCTCTTCCTTTGTTTAAAGTACAAACCAGTAGAGCTACAGTCTCAACAGAGACTTCTGGTTCAGGGTTTATTTCCTTTTTTTCACTCTGTAATAACAGTACTTATCAGTTGCAACTCATAAAGGTGTCATTTAGAAACTAAAACTTGCAAAGAATCCTGATTGTTGTGAAAATTAAACCATGTTTACAATCTCCCAGCTATGTCATCTTGCAACAGCTCAACTATGATGATATTTCCTAAAACACTGCATAATGAAAAGACAGATGCAAAGAGATCAATGTTTTAATTGCAGTTGATAACAAATCTTTATTGAATTTCACTCATGAGACAGGATCACTTGATTTTTGCTCTTGTGACAATATACTAAATAGAATGTCCCACTCAGGAAAAAATTCCGTATCCAATTATGAATCATTGAATATTCTGCATCATGCTTCCTTTTCAGTCCCTTACCAGAGAAATTTTGAGAGAGCTACAGGTTTCTGTCTCCATCTGTTCCATTGTTGGTGTTTCTTCCTCCAAACAATTGAAAATGTTCCGGGTATTCAGCTGACTTTTGACATGGGAGTTAACTTCAAGATTAACATATCAAGTTTCCGTATTTAATTTAGAGGAATTAGGGCCCGTATCAGGAGGATTTTATCAATACTTGTGCAATGAACTCAGAAAGCTAGTTTATAGTCAGAATTTATTTTAATCAAAGGGAGTAATGATTTTAGATAAGGATGAAGCTATCCTGATTGAAGAGGCATCTCTGTTACTGTTGCCCTTCTGTTGTTTAAGATCTTTCCTGTATACTGTAAAATCACATATTTTCGTGGGGTCAATTTTTTGTTGTTTGTGGAAAAAAAATGGGTTTATGGGGATTTAATTTCCTGGATGAAGAATTGTTGAGTAGTAATATCTATGAAAAATTACATTTCATGGTAGATGTAAATTTGTGGGTCTTTTCAGACCTCGAAAACCACAAAAAATATTGATTTCACAAGTACTTCCATGTATTTAGCCCCTGCCCTTTGCAAAATATTAATACAAATATACCAGTAATTGATGGAAAATTGCCACTTGAGTCTCTAGGTGGGGGACTAAAAAGTTGGAAATCTTCATAAAATAGTCAAAATAAAGAGAGAAATACACATCTGTGACATTTTATTAATTGTACCCTTTAGGTTTATAACCTTTGTAAACAAATACTGATATAATATCTGATCTTAGTTGCTCACAGTCCTTTTTTCATTGTTGATTTTTCTAAAATAATAAATTAAAATCATTGCACCATTATATTATTTCAAGTTTAATAAACATTTCACGTGTCAGTACAACTTTTTCCATTCACTGCTTCCAATCCAGTTGAAATTGCTGAGCATTTTCCCCTGTAATTTTCAAGTGAAAATCCAACCTTTTTGGTTTGGTAAACACAGAAGTAAAACCACACAATGGTAGAAGTTCTAATACTATGTAATACTGGTACACAATATGTAAACTGCCTTCTAGCTCTTTGTTCCTTTCCATTAAAAACTATGGTCTGTGTTGGGCTTTGTCACTTTGTTTTTTTTTTACAGTACCTGTTTTATATTTTTCATTGTTTTAGATAACCTTGGGCCTTTGAGGTAGACACATGTTATAATGAGCTGTCTTGTCCCAAAAATCCATTCCTTTCCAACCACACCAGCCCTGATAAAATCAACAGAAATCTTCGTTAACAATATTAGCTAAAATACAGTATTGTGCAAGTTGATTGCATATTGAAATACTAGCTACTTTTATGCCCCTGTTATCATTCAGGGGGACAGAGCTTTTGCTCTGACTGTTCATCTGTCTGTCTGTGACAGTCTGTTTATCCGTTTGTCCTCCCAAGACTTTAACATTGCCCATAACTTTTGATTGGTTGGAGATATGGCTGGTACCCAAAGAAAGTTCTTGTCACAAGGAATATTCATGTGAAATATAAAAGCCCTAGCACAAGCTATTCAAATGTTATGGAAAAGGATAAAACTCCCTCCAAGCTCAAGGAAACTTCAAGAGAACAAAAATTTGGCACTGAAAAGTCTTGTCACAAAGAGTACATAAGATAAATATGAAAGCTTGAAGAACACCAATCATTCAAAAGTGATAAGGGTTAAATTAAAGTTTTTCAAATGTAAGTCAAGTCGAAGTCAAGGTCATGTTTTCAAAAATGTTGATACCTAAAGAAAATTTGTTCAAATGTTATAGATGAGAGCAAGTTTTTCAAAACCTAGTCAAACTTCAATGACAACATAAAAATAAAATTGGTACCAGAGGTCTTGTCACATGGAATATACATAAGAAATATAAAAGACCTAAACCAGCCATTCAAAAGTTATTGCCAAGGTTGAATTTTGCAAAAATTGTGCAATATTTAGACACCCTCCCCGGGAGGGTCATTACAATTTTGTTGGTATCCAGGGACAGATCTTGTCAGAAAGCAATTTTTTTTGTAAATAGACAGATAGAAAGACCAAAAATTATTTGGCCTTGAATCTTTGATTATGGGGACATAAATATCAGAATACTTGATATATCCTGATTTATACCTTTGCAGAAGTTCTAATCATTTTTTACTTTCATAACAATTTTCAGCAGTTTACCTTGTCTAAAATGACTTTTAATTCCTCTGCTCCAGTGTAGTGCGGGTCCAGTATCAGGAATTTGACATCCCCCGTGACCTCATTAAAGTCTACCCCTAAAATTGTGTGAGCCAGAACTCCTCCTCCTGTACAGTAAAACATCAAAAACTTTATTGTCAGGAAGGATTCTTATGATGCCCCTCGTTTAATGATTGAAACTAGAGGGTATTGAACAGGAGCTATCCTTTCTATTCAATGATTGTGATAAACTTAGTAAGATCATAGATGGATACAACCAAACACTGGAAACAAATATCTCTTGGATAGTTACTAGTGTATCAGTATTACATTACATAGAGAAAAAGTCTCACCTATCATTATAGGAGTTCCCTGAACTTGGAAGTGCTGTGCCAGTTCTCTCCCCTTAGTTACTAAATCACTCCCCTCACTAACAAAGACGATGCGAGAAGTAATCTAAGAAAACAGTTAAATAAAACAATACTAACTGCTCAGTAATCACTGTAGTACAGATCCATGAAACAGATACAGGGTTTAAATTTCTTAAATTGATGAGAAACAATATACTGACCCCAATTAAGTGGTCCAGACAGTAGCTGACCTCCATAGAACCAATCCATTGTCGAGATCCCACAAACTTTGGCTCCTTATCTCCCACATCCACTAGGGCCTGATTTCAAATAAGGATAAAAACCAAAATAAATAAGACATGTTTCTTTCATTACGTATGATGAAGAAACTACATCTGAATAGAATGTACACCTGCTGTATCTCTCTGTGTGTTGGAATGGGTTTATCTGTGTAACCTTGAAATCGGAACCAAGAGACCAGGGTTTGTAGTGATCTATAGGCACAGCCCCACATGTTGTCATCAAAGCGGTCCTGCATGTAATGGTGATAGCTGTACAGACCCTGAACCAAAGACTGCTGCCCACCCTTCACTATAAAAAAGCATTTATTTCAGCATTGATACTAAACAACAAAAGTAAGAATACTGAAGTGTATAATATTCATGTGATTGTTTATAACCATACAGTAACATTTTCCATTATTGCATTTTTAGCATAATATAAACAACCTTATATGGTTATTATGTTATTAAGTCAACACATGTGAGAAACATACTTGGTTGAGTGGTGATGTATTGATGAGGGTTAATAAGATATCCATATTGTGAAATGTCCTCTGGGAAAAGGTAAACGTTTCCTCTCCTGAACACTGGTCTTGAAGCAGGCAAACAAAACAGAGAATGTAATTCTTGACGCCTGCTTTCTGAAAGAATATCCACATTTAAAAAGATTTAACAAATGTCAGAGGTAATCATTGAAGGTACAATGGTGTAGAGATGATCTAAATTTTATGCTGAAGACTACAAAATCATGTTGTAACAGTTGAGAAAAAAGCAAAACTCTACTCAAAATACTCCAGTCTTTCCCATGAAAGTGTACTGAGGTTATGAAAAGTTTAAAAGAATTCATTAACTCTGCATACAAATGACCATAAACATTAAACAGCTAGATAAATTAAACTCTCATTAAATCTTCCTATATCGCCCAAAAAGGAAAAGACAGATAGAATGCCTTGCACATTAATTAATAATGGAGGGAAGTCATGTGACAGTTATATAAGACTTAATGGTTACCTAACTTTTCCTCTGATTTGTCTTCAGGGTAGATCACTGTTATAATTGCTGAGGATTCCCAAGGTTGGAAATGAAATGGTTGCACTTTTGGTAGACTCTCACCCTGTAATAAAAAAGTCCAAAAGATGTCAACCAAGAAAAACTTGCCATCTTAAGTTTCAAATTTATTAAATAATAGATTTCACCATACACATTAACAATTAGTTACATACCTCAATGTTCTTCAAGAGACAGTCTTGCATTGCTTTGATCTGATTACAAAGTGCTGTAGTCAAATATTCTCCCAAGGTCGTCACCAGGGTATTTGGGGTCACCTGACAGCATATGTCAACAGGAAATGTCAAGGTCACAGCCCTGAATTTCTCTAAATATGAAATTTCTCAAATGCATTAATCTACTGATTTAGATTATGTATCACTGATAAAACGAAGCAAATCAAATGAGCAATGAACAGTAATTTACTTTTTTTATATCATCTATATTTTGTAATGAAGAGTTGTTTGTTTTTTGTAAAGGGAGCATTGCTTGGAAGTTAAATGAGAAATGAGGTAGAAATATTTTTACAAGTACATATGTACCTAAGCTGTGTTGAATAATTGGGGCACAAAGGGGTACATCACAAGTCTCCTCGGTAACAGTTACATTCTGTAGCAAATCACACAGTAAAGTTTCCTGAAAAGAAATTCACCCTGTTACATGGACTCTAAAAATATAGTTAAAATAGGAGCATGTATTCAAAGAACATAAACACCCAACACCGTTCTCGTTTGCACTTCTTACGTTCACTATTTCAATAAAAAAAGATTAATTATATATATATTAACAAAAGTAAAGCTAAAATTGAATAAAACTCTATTTTTCCATTTGCCTTAAAAATAACTGTTTTTTGAAAAAAATATTAAAACTCTTAAATTTTAGTTCCAATGTCATTTCTAAAATCTGTAAAACACCTCTGAAACTGAACCTCTAATTGCGATTTGGAATGTTTTTGCTTTCCTTTTACAAATTCATCTTGGTCTGCTGTGGATAGCTGAAGTAAACTGGAGCACTCGGCCTCCATTGGTAACCCTACTACTTGTGTACTGCTGAAAATCACAGCAGTGTTCTGCACTCTGTATACCGTGGATGCTGATGATACAGTATTGCACAAATTCTCTATCACAGATAACAACTCATTCTTCAGGGCACCTTTAAAAAATGAAATATACACTTTCAAAATTAAGAATACATATCAATTGTTAATACCTTATTTTGATTAAGAATGACATAAATTGGAAGCTAATATTGTATACAGGGAAATTTTCGCCCATTTCTCCCTATCACAGGTGGGCGAATTTAAAACGGGGCGAATTCAAAGAAAACAGTATAATTCTTTAAACAGAAGGGTGACTGAGTGAATTAAAACGGGGCAAAATTGCAAAAGGGCGAAAATAACATGGGGCAAAAATAACCCTGAATATAGTATTATGTGAACAAATGAAATAATAATAAAACAAATGAAATAATAATGAAAAAGAACAGACTTACAGTACAAACCTTTTTGACTATCAATCTTTACTGAGAGTGTGAATGAACATTTAAGTCTGACTTTGACAAAAGGAGGGTCATCTTTTTCGATAATGACAGTAGGTTTCTGTACAACGTTTTCATCAGATGACAAGAATATATTTTCTTCTGACAAATTGCTGTTGTTTTTTTGTTTAACACATATGACTAGCCCATTCTGTAAATTTGAAAAGAAGAAAAAAAAAATCATAATTTGAAATAACATTTGAATATGAAATAATGCAGCTATGATCTTGATAATACATGTACATCTAAATTTGCTTAATCAATTAATTTTAAACATGTTAAATTATTTAATCAATATATTTCAATTAATCTACAAAGGCAAAAAGAATAACGCACAAGAATATTACCTGGTGTTTGAAAGGATATTTTCTCACTTGACTAGCAATATCTTCAACTTTTAGAGAAGTATTTTCCAGAAATATTCCACATATCTGCAATCCTGTGGAAAAGGGATAAAACTGTATACAAGTAATTAGTGTGCTATTACATGTAAAATACAGTATTTAGAATGCTATGGGGAGGGGTTGACAATGAATAATAATTCATTTGAAATTTTCCATCTTCTGATCTCATTGCTAATAATTTTTCAAATATTATTCCAACAAATTAGTCTCTTAGTCAATTTTCTCTTAAGCAAATTTCCTTGATAATTTTACTGAATTTAAATTTTCAGATGGACATGAAAAGCTCATCATATTTTTCATATTCCTATGGCTTTTATTTAAGGAACTCACTTATAGTTACTTACCCCCAGACAGATACTGTGAGACAGATTCCTTTACAACTGAGAACTGTGAAGGACTGGAATCCTTAAGGTGGCAGCATCCTGTTACATGCCAACCATCCTTAGTTTCTTGACCCAGCAACACACCAAAGAAAGGAACAATCTCTTTACTGTTGTCAGATAAAGTCTGAAATAATGCAATCCTTTGTCAGGTATGTGAGATTTTATAGGTATATACAGAGTAAGGGCGAAACGATTACACGTGTAAACGGCGACGTTTCGATTATATGCTCTAAACGTTTACAGTTTGAGTAAACATTTACACGAAGGTCATTATCAATCTATCAGAAATAAAGTTTAACACAAACAAATTGTTTTATTTCATAATTTACAAAAGAAACATCGTCTTTGACCATTTGATAAGCAACAATCTGAACCGGAAACATACTGAATGAAAATATCTAAAACCCGATAGGGGCTAACATAATTAATTCCGATTTCCGAGTTGCTAATACTAGCGATGTTTTACGACACTTGAAATATAAAACTTGATATATTTTGATTAAATAGATATAATACATTTTTCACAAGTCTTTGAAAAGTTTCAATACAGTCAAGAGGTCTTATTTTACTTTTTTTCGAGATTAAAAGATCCATCTTAACAATTATTTTTTCTACGTCGGGGAGCCAAACAAACCAAGGAGTTGGGTGACGAGGTCGAAAGTGAATGAGTTTAATGCGCCTCAAATTCTTACGGTTAAATCACAATGACCAACAATAAATTTGTAATAACAACTCATACTTATATTAAAGTGAAAGAATTGGTTATTAAATTCGAGTTTCATCAGTAAGTAGCCATAAAAATCAAACATAGAAAATCTCCCGTTTAAACGGTAATGTGCTATCCGTTTAAACGTTTTTATACGTTTATATACAGAGAGCATATTCAATTTTTGTAGTTGAAATGAATATGCTTTTTTGCTGTTTTGAATGAGTAAATGCTGTTTTGAATGAGTAAATGAATCAGAGGCTTGTTCAACAGAGCGAACATTTGTCATGTTCATGAGCAATCGCCAAAATTCCTTATTCCGGCATCTCTAACAGAAATGTTGGCAAACGCTCGCTCTGTTGAACAGGCATCCCGTGACAAAGATATTGCAAGTAAATGTACTTAACTACCGTGAGAAATGTGTTTTTAAGGCAGCAGATACATTGAATGGGCATTTTTTATCGTAATTCCATTGCAAATCAACATCTGTGTATGCAAACAAAGTTCTAGATGATATTTCATCAGACCTAAAATATTGATAGAAGTGTAGGCCACTTTGGTTCTTCATTCAGTCGATATCTGAACTGCCCTTATCTCAATGTAGTCCTTTCATAGAGAAGTTCAGGGGGAGTATAAATACGAGCCATCAACTTCTCAATGGAGATTACACCCCTTCTAATGAATTCTCACAATATAAAGCGATTACAAATTCAATTTCATCTATGCGGAGGGACTCGCAAATATCTATTTGAATTCATTCTTTTTTATTAAACCTACAGTTTAAAATTGTATAGTATAGGGGGAAAAGGTAGGAAGACATATACTGAAATAGATAGTGTCAAGCCCGTGTTCCATATGGTATATTTGGCAATGAAATTCAGCCAACTTCAGGCTAATCTCAAATATGAAATTTGTCATTTGGCTACATGATGATCAGATTGATTTTAAAAACCCAATATATTCTTTTTTATTGCTTTTCCCCCCACGAATATATAAGAAATCTTACCTTTATTACAGAACTGTTGATATGTACAGATGCCATGTCTGTACTTTCACTTTCACAGATTTCATAGATTAATTTGTACGACAAATAACTCCACAACTTTCATTGATGAATTTAAAAATAAATAGAAAAGAATCACAGGCGCTTGACGTTTTTAACCTTTCTCTTTATAAATAAAAAATTTCGCTACTATAATTATTATAGTAGCGAAATTTTTTATTTATAAAGAGAAAGGTTAAAAACGTCAAGCGCCTGTGAAAAGAATATATATTTAGATTAAATATATAAATTTAAAAAAAAATAAATAAAAAGATTAAATAAAATAATGATGTCTACATTAGATGAATAAATGATTATGTTTTACCAAATAACAATAATAAAGTTAAAATTAATCCATTCGTATTCCAGTGATCTTGAAATAAAAGACACCAAATAATCTGTCGCATCTTATTGTTTCAGATTTGGATTTTACCGACTACCAGGTAACTGTAAGAATACATGCTTTGAGAGCGGTAACTTTTTTTTTTTAAAAATGAGACAGATCGAGACTACTGGCAGATATAAGTTAACATTTCGGAGATTAAAAAAAATCGTTTAAAGGCAGCATTTCCTTAAATTATATGGTTGTTATACTGACCTGTATTGTATGTAGGAAATATATGAGTGCGTGGGTTTGTATAAATTTGACTTTGATATGTTCCGTCTAGACCTCATCATAATATAGCCGACTGCGGGTGTGACCTGAAAACAGGGGATGCTTATTCCTCCAAAGCATCTGATCCCACCTCTTGAATTTCGGGATCGTTATTTAAGCCCTAATATTTATATTTGTACACTTTGCAGATTAAAAAAAATGATTGCTGTTCGTTATTTTCAAGTGTTTTCGTATACATTGCGTCTATTTATGTTTAAAATGAATCAAGTTAAATTGTTCAACAAGGGCATGAGTGTCAGATAAAATGATATGAATTGTTCTACACGAGTGTAATAGAGCAACTGCACTCATAGCAGAAGCAGTTGCGTCTATAGTCCTATGAACGCAGTTGATGGATACATGCTCATAGTGGGAGAGAGCAGTAGATATGCATATATTTACTTATATCTTAATTTCCCTCCTTTAGAATTTATTCTCGAGTTTTAGATATCAAAATTTTCAGTGTCCAAAACCCGGTCACCGATAGTTTTTTTTTTTCACATTGCAAGACGTGTTCTAAATGTAAGTACATTGAATATATATTAGGCACAGGGGCTTGCCACAAAATATTTATCAATTTATGAAAAGAAGAAAAAAATATTTCGTGACAAGCCCCTGTGTATTATAAATGCAGCGTGACCGACCCGGGCCCCGTTTCGTGGTTGAATTCCACTTTCCACTCGGTGGGCAGAGTTTTGACGCTGTTTACGCACAGGCACCTGAAGTATGGATAACACCCCCCCCCCCTTTTTTTGTTAATGAAAAAAAAATGTAAGAGTGTATAATATCTCAAAAATATCAAATTTCCCCGTCAAACACATCTATATGTCGTTATATGCAAGCAGATAGTACTTTTTCTCACGTTTAAAGAATGACCCTATTCGGTATAATAAAAATATGTGAAAAAGTACAATCTGCTTGCATATAACGATATATAGATGTGTTCGACGGGGAAATTTTTATACTTTTGAGATATTATACACTCTTACATTTTTTTTTTCATTAACAAAAAAAAGGGGGGGGGTATTATCCATACTTCAGGTGCCTGTGGTTTACGGTGATAAATAAAAACAAAGACATACATGCCGTATACGGTTGTGTAGATAAGTTATCGTAGAAGACAGTGGTAATAACAAGTAAATTCAAAGAATTGTGGTCCCCCGCTTTCGGTGTCTTTGTGAGTGAGATGTTATTTTTTATGACGTATTGTGTCTACACTGTAAAAAAATGATGTTTAACTTGTGTTTTATTTTTAAACAGTCGTGTTTTACAATTAAACATAGAGGGTTTAAATACAAAACATTAGTGTTTTATATATAAACACTGATATTTAAACTGGTGTTCAATAAGTAGGGTGTTTAATCATCCGTCTTTAACACGTAATGTTCATATGCATCAAATCAAAAAATAAATTAGATGTTGCTTCTCAGTATTTGCTCTAGGAATTCACCATTTTTACAATATCTTAATTTATGAAGTAATTCCGCACATAATGGTAGACATTTTTCGACACAGAAAAAAATATGAATCGCAAGGCTATATGTTGACTTTAGATCATACCAAAAGCAATCGCAATTAGCATTAATTAGTATTAATTTTGTGCCAAAATTTAAATTTTTTTACAAACTTCTAAAGGGGAAATAAAAACCAATATTATGATAATTTCTATAATTGTATTAATATTTTAATCACCGGTGTTTAACACGAGTGTTCATTTCTTAATCATATATATTTATAAATTAAACACATTGTATTTATATAGAAATTGCAAATTAAACACCAGTGTTTAATACGTTATGATAGAAAATGACGCAGTTGATTATGTCATAACATGATATTTGAACGCAGAAGATGTAGAATCACGCATATACATGTACTGACAAAGAAACACCATATCCAGCAATGAAATAGGAGGTATTTATACATTTCTTTATGTTAAATCTGTTATAAAAGAAAGCTTAATACATGATTAGAGATCTGAAATGTTTTTCATTTTTGAAATGCAGGGTTTTTTCCTATACTTAGTAATCGTCTGAGTGCAATGCGGCAATGCACTGATACATACATAAAATATTGTAGTCTTGATATCTAATTAATTTGCAGGGACATTCAGCTGTTATTGTGAATCCTGAGAAGCATATGTCATTATACTTGATAAAGAAAACGGATTTTAAACGAAGATCATACTTAACCTTGAGAGGTGAGTCTTATAAGACCCCCCCCCCCCACACACACACACCATTGATTCCTGATAAATAAATGGAATCCAATTAGGTACCTGCCCTTGCTTACATTTATGTTCCCTAACATGCAACAATACTACAATCGCGCATGTACAAAAATTTTCATCTCCAGCCCGCGCACATACATGTACATGGTTTGGGAGTGCTTGTTTACATGATAGAAAATGTCTTGAGACAAGGTAGCCCCCTACCCCTTCTCTTAATTTTTAGCTCTACTGGTCAGAGACCAGAAGAGCTTATGCGATAGTAATGCGTCCGTCGTCCGTCCGTCCGTCTGTCTGTCTGTCCGTCTGTAAACAATTTTTCAAAATGCTACTTCTCCTACAGTTTTGGTCTGATTTCAATATATTAACTTGGCACACGAGTAGACTACACTAAGATGCATAATTCTGTGTATCGGTTTTTGATTTCGATGAACGCTGTTGCCGTGGTTACTAAAAATAGAAATTTCTGTGAAATTCTTTCAAAATGCTACTCCTCCTACAGTTTTAGTCTGATTTCAATATAACTTGGCACACAAGTAGACTACACTAAGATACACAATTCTGTGAATCGGTTTTTGATTTTGATGAACGCTGTTGCCGTGGTTACTAAAAATAGAAATTTCTGTGAAATTCTTTCAAAATGCTACTCCTCCTACAGTTTTAGTCTGATTTCAATATAACTTGGCACACAAGTAGACTACACTAAGATACACAATTCTGTGTATCGGTTTTTGATTTCGATGAACGCTGTTGCCGTGGTTACTAAAAATAGAAATTTCTGTGAAATTCTTTCAAAATGCTACTCCTCCTACAGTTTTAGTCTGATTTCAATATAACTTGGCACACAAGTAGATTACACTAAGGTACACAATTCTGTGAATCGGTTTTTGATTTTGATGAACGGTGTTGCCGTGGTTACTAAAAATAGAAATTTCTGTGAAATTCTTTCAAAATGCTACACCTTCTACAGTTTTAGTCTGATTTCAGTATAACTTGGCACACAAGTAATCTACAATAAGATACATAATTCTGTATATCGGTTTTTGATTTCGATGAACGGCGTTGCCGTGGTTACTAAAAATAGAAATTTCTGTGAAATTCTTTCAAAATGCTACTCCAAATACAATTTTAGTCTGATTATAATATAAATGTGGCATGCAAGTAGACTGCACTAAGAACATATAGAGACTTAATCAAAGATCATTATTCTATTTATTGCTGTTGAAAAGTTTCAATTTCCAACTGCTTAAGTACTTTTCTCTTCCTTTGCTATAAGTACAAACCAGGAGCTTCAGTCTCGACAGAGACTTCTGGTTGCTGTTGGGCTGATCTTGCAGGTACATGAACATCTAAATTTTTTAGTGTACACACTGTACGCTTATATGATTTATTTCAATTGCAGATTTTTATTCCAAACTTGTCTCAGTATGTATTATATAATTAAAATTGGCGTAAAGAATAACAAATCATTTTAGTTTTCGATCTCAATGTATTCTTTTGCATATAATTATCTGAATTTACATAGCGAATCTTTTTTATCTATCTATTTTTCAGGATATTTCTGAAGAGAAGAAGGAACTAGAACTACTTAGTGTGGATACAATTTTGGAGAATGGGAAACTGGAGATCATCATCCGTTGTAGACGAACCTGAATTTTACCCACGACCAGAGGAGCTAGACTGTTTAACTCGGTTAGAATATTATATGGAATTGAGTGAGTGATAACCCGGCAGCCAATGTATAGTATCAAGAACATTTAATGAATTAGTCCTTTACAGGTCAAAACTGGAAAATTTCTTCATTTGGTTATAAAACTCTTGAATATTTCTGAAAGTAAAATTTACAACTAGATTCATCAGACTGAGTGTAATACACGTATACATGTACATCCCGTACCCAGACAACAAATAACACTTTCAGTCTTTTTGCATCATATATATATTCATGGATTTGATTCTTTTAATATTAAAAAAAGGTGCAAGGGACGACCTAGCCCTTTTTTAAATTTTACTGATGAAAAATATTTCATTTTATTAATCGATAATGTATTTTATTTTATATTTCAAAGACACCCCCTTCCCGAAATCAATTTATTGGATTTTAGTTTACACATGCAGGTTTTACATGTTCGTGCTAGTTTGTTTTGATAATTCTATTTTTTTTAACTTAAATTGAAATGTATCTATGTGTAAATAAATGTGTCGTTTAATGTTATTATTGTTTATTAAGTTTTAACCCCCAAATCAACATTAAATCATTTATCAATTAATAAAAAAAACTTTATGTACATGTTCATTATCAACCAAATTGTGTGTTTTGTACTGTTTTATGTTCAAAAATATTTCTTGTTTTTATGTATCAAATAAAATGTTGAAAACTTATAAACACGTTTAAGTGTTTATTTATTTGGTAAAATAAATATGTTGAAGTGTTTAAAAATTGATGTATAGACATGTTTAAGTGATAATTATCTGTCGCAACGAATAAACATGTTTAAGTGTTTAGATGTTTAGGTTGAACATGTTTATTAATTAAACATGAAATGTTTACATATTAAACATTCACGGTGTTTATCTAGTAAACTCTATGTATTAATTCAGTGTTTAATATTTAAACATTTTGTGTTTTTGAAGTGTTTAATATTTAAACAGAATGAAAAAGAAGTATTTAAATATTAAACCTCGTGTGTTTAGAATTTAAACATTCTAACGTGTTTATTTCTTAAACACTTCACGAGGTGTTTAAATCTTAAACGTGTTGAAGTGTTTATTATCTGTTGCAATTTGGTGTTTATTTCTTAAACGCTTATTTTTTACAGTGTAGGTAAAACTCCAAGGTGAAAGGGGAGTTGTTGGTTTCTTAAGAAAGGTCTTGTCACAAGTAATACATATGTGAAGATTGAAATCCCTAACCCTAACCGTTCAAAAGTTATGGCCAAGGTTAAAGTTTTTTAAAAGTAGGTCAACTTTAAAGTCAAGGTCAAGTTTTTTCATAAGTACATGTACGTAAATCTCCAAGGGCAAGGTCAAAAGGTCAAAGTTGTTGGTTACCAATGGAAGGTCTTGCCACAAGACGGACAGCTAGACAGACTGACGGACAGACGAATGAGATTTAATGTCTCCTCGCTTTCGCGAAAGCGGGGGACAAGAAGTTTGTCAGTGCATTCCATCTGAAAGTGTATATGAGTGCGTTTCAGAGGAGGGGCTAACTGAGTCGGAGTTAGATACCTTGTGTTATTATTATGCGATGGGTTAAAAAAAATAATTCCGAAACAAGTACCTGTGAAATACATGTACAACACTTATATCCCCCCCCCCCCCCCCCCCGTTTCCCCCAAATAATTGGATTTTTTTTTTTAAGTCCAAGGGACATTACTCTGTCAAAAAAAAAGCTCGATCGTACCCAAAACAGAACTTTACCTAGACATTTTAATGATAAATCTGTGTACCAAATTTCATTTCAATATGTCAAACCTCTGTAAAGAAATGAACGGAAATTGATGGTGGACCGACTGACAGACAGCAGCCAAAAAAAAAAAAATAAATAAATACAAAATAAATAAATAAATCCATACAAATACCGTAAAAATATTTTTTTTAAAAATAAAATAAAGTTGAAATATAGAACTTTATATTGAACAATGAAAAGAATAATATGTAAATGAGACTAGTAGGGGTAACACTCACCTGAGTTATTAAACTCTTCTTTTTTTTAATCAATAGATATACTGTACAAATTTATATTAGTATACATTCAATATACATACTTTCAATTCTACTTCCTTATAATTCATATCATGCAAATATAAATTCTCTTTGGTAATACATGCTCATTCAAAATCAAACTGAAAATATAAAGGACATACATTTATTTATATGAATCTTTACTGTAAAATAGAAGGGGGGCACAAAAAGTGAAGTGGGGGAGGGGGAACAGTATTAAGTATTTTCACATTTGTATATAAATTCGGATAAATACATTATAGAATATCACTAATAATTTTTTAGTATTTTTCATATTCTGAAAATATACAGTTTCTTAAGGTCATATGCAACGTAGTTTGAACTTTATTGGGTTCTTCCCTAGAGTTGAAGAGTTCCACTAAACGAAGGACCTGTGTGCAATATTTTTAATCTCTATATATGGATTTGTATACCTCTTCTAAAACAATTTTTGATGGAAAAAATCTGCAATTTATGTTTAATAATTTCTGTTTATTTTTCTTTGAATAATGCAAAAAATACCAAAATTTGATATCTTTTCAACCCCCCTGGTATCGCATGCTGATTTTTTTGTCTAAGAACATGTAATGGTATTATAAGTTTAAATTTAGAATATCTTGAAAAATTATCAGTAGGTAAGGTACTTTGCGTATGTCCTTAAAAGTATAACTTTTTTCAAACAAATATTCAAGTATACAATATTTTTTTCTAGCAACGAAATGCTTATTTAGGCACATTTTGAAACCTATTAGCAAAATTAAATGTTTTTACAGCATAAGTAAGTATTTATTATATTATGTAATCTAAACTCTCCTGGTCAAGTACTAGTGACTTTGTAATTCTTAAACCGATTACTAAATTGTCTTCAGGATAATGGTATGTTTACAATTTTTTTTTCAAACTACTTCTGCTAGACCACAATAAAGATTAGCAACGGGAAATATGGAGTGACTCAGGTGCTTTGTTTGAGGAAATTTAGATTCTTTAATTAATTAAATGTTCATTAAATCATCACTGTAAAACTGTATTCTATTCTTACAAGATATTTTGAACACAAATTAATTTTTATCCGAATATTGATGATGTACAAGTGATTGTTTCATAGTTTATATACAATCAACAAAACTTTCAAGGACAATAAATGATGGATCCAATTAATTTCTCATCTGTCCAACGAAAAGAATGCAAGAAATGATTGGGAAAGTCCAATTTTTCTTCAGTTCCACAATTTTTCTTCAGTTCCACAATATAAAAGACGCGATCTTGTTGCAAAATAACTTTATTTTTTCAAAACTTGGTAAGTCGTTCTGTGGTGATGAAGATTAAAGCACCAGTGCCACAATATTACATGGGGATTGATTCCAGTCGGAGGCCAGTGGAACCTTGTATTTAATTAAAAAAATAAATGTTAGCTTACGACAATCTACAGATTTCTAGCTTACAAATAATTTCACATAAAAAACAAAATTTTCTGGGTGCTAGCTTACCGACTTCATGTTGGTGGTAATATTCAATAAGATTTGGCACGGAGGTAAATTCCTTCTCTTTTCTTATGTAAACGTTCCCAGTTGTTGTTTTTTCGATTCGGAAATTTTTAATGCTGGCACCATCACTTGTAATGAAGACATGTGATTATTTTTTTCAAAAATATATTTTTGTTATCTTCTTTTAATCTCAAATGCTACAATTTTAATTATTAATGATAAGTTTGGATTAATATGTTCTCTTGATTAAACACCAAGCATATCAAATTTTTTTTAAATTTTTTTTTTGGCATAAGATTATATAGTATACATGTATGTAACTGTTGTAATATTTTGCATTGAATAAGGTTTTCTGAATTATTATTATTACAACATCTTTGCAGGTAGTTTTAAAAGCAATTAAAAAGAAAAAAAAAAATCATACTATAAACAAAGAGTAAAAGTGCCCTTTTCTCTGGAGTCACGAACAAGAAAACAACCAGGCCGCCCGTCCTCGACCAGCAATAATTCGCATTCTTCCTTCGATGCACAATACCATCTGAATTTAATGACAATTTAGTTGTTACATCTTATATGAACGTGGTGATGAAGCTACTACAAGTTTTTGACATGTTAATCAAATTTTGTGCTTAGAGTACCATATAGGTGTCCGAAACAGGGGGGGGGCACTTTTTTTTGCAGAGATAGACATAATATAGACATTGCACATTAGGGCGTAGGGTTTAGCCCCCAACCTCACTTTCAACAAGCACGTTGCAGTTTATATCCCAAAAGGGTAAGTGGTAGTGTTCAGAAAAAAATTGTTACTGAAAAAAGTTTGAACCTAACCCCCCCCCACCCCCCGCAACGAAATGGGATTTTCCTCTTTGGAGAACAGGAACATATTCCTTTTTTTTTGGCATGTCAATTTTTTTTTTGTAGGTTGGAATGTTTTTCTCTTACACTTAGCCCCCCCCCCCATTCAATTTGCTTCCGACGCCAGTGAGTACGCTTCCTATTGAATACATGGAATAAGACACCACCTTTTCCTAAACAAGATTTCCAAAAACAATATTGCATTTTCACTACGTTGCATGCCCATCTCCTTACATATACATTTTAATTATTTGCTAGTATAGGTGATAAATGATTTTCCAAGCACATATTTGGCCAGGTGCTAAAATTATATAGTATGGTGGCATATTTCTGCCCCCCCCCCCCCCTCTCTTGCAAGATAAATGAAGTTGACATGCAACATAATTATATATACTAGAGAAATACAAAAATCCATTTTTATATGTCTCTGTGTAGACGTGCAACATATTGTGTCAAAATTCAATTTAATCATGTTGGCATGCAAATTACCAATCTTATTAAGGTCATATGCAACATAGTTTTAACTTTGAGTTCTTCCCTGGAGTTGAAGAGTTCCACTAAATGAAGGACCTTTGTGCAATACATTTAATATCTATACATGTATATGGATTTGTACACCTCTTCTAAAACAAATTTTGATGAAAAAAATCTGGAAATTATGTTTTGTAATTTTTATACATTTTTCTTGGAATAATGCCAAAATTTTCATCATTTGATATCTTTTCAAAACCCCTGGTAACACATGCTGATTTTTTTTTGTCTAGGAACATGTAATGGTAATACAAGTTTGAATTTAGAATATCTTGAAAAATTATCAGTAGGTAAGGTACCTTAATTGCGTATGTCCTTAAGAAAATATATTTTAATAGTAGATGCAAGATCCAACATGTGTACATAATTAACTCGCATGTTGACAAGAATTTATACATGTTGATATAAATAAGTCGCATGTTGACATAAATAGGTAGCATGTTAACATAAATAAGTCGCATGTTGACAAAAATAAGTCGCATGGCTATATATATAATTATTTTTGGATCTGGCATCGGGTAGGGGATTTTAATAATATTTAAATCAGAATCTCTTAAAAGAGTTGTAACTTAAATGTCAACAAAATAATCTTGCATGTATAGACATGATTATTTGGCATGTTGACATAATTTATCTTGCATTTAGGGGACATATACATGCCTTTGCCAAAACTAACGAATTTTAAAATTTTAACTTTATAATTAAATTTTTAAAAAAATCATGAATGACATATACAGTATATACTCGTATATGTACTATCTTGAGATGAAACGAGGTTTTTCACTTTATACTACAGTATAGTTTTTATTTAAATCTATGCATTTTGTACTCACTCGTATGATTCAACATCAGTGTCCTCTTCAAGATAGTTTCTTGGGGCAAAACCTGAATATCTTAAAACACAAACATTTCTTTTTAAATTGCTGCAATAAATGTGATTTTTAAAAAAGAACACCTTGTCCAATTAAATGCACTGTAATTGCGTGCGCATGTTGACAATGCAAGGTATTCAGTATTATAAATATCTTGGTACAGCTCAACTTGAATTATACGAGTCACATTTATCAAAAAAAAAAAAAAAAAAGAAAAAAAAAATTAAAGTTTTATAGTCAAGATACATATTCAGTAGATACACGCATACATATTGATTTGTTTTAGTAGATAATGAGAAGACTATGCTTCTTTATGAAGAAATAAATGTCTAGAATTCTAACTTCACATTTATAGTAAAGTAGTGATTTTGTGGGAGACTAGAGGTCATCTTGTATTGTATATCAATAGGGACACTAGGAGTCTCACTATGTTGAAAAGAAAGAATGATAAACAAAATGAATAGTGCAAAGTTATGGTCTAATTTTCTCATAAATCATGTTACATGAATCACAAGTCATAAAATCTTTGTCAACTTAAACTGTCGAATATTTACATGTGAATTTTCAATTCCGACGCTTTGTATGTTCTATTTCTACTCAATATTTTACTCAAATTTTCCAGTATCAATATGACTTACTGATTAAAAGTAACAAAAACGTTATTTTTATTAAAAGTATTACACACATTTGCAAAAGATCAATTGATAATTCTAAAATAAGGCTAATTGTCAAGTCGAATGTCTGATTTCACAATCTTCTTACCGGGGTCTGATAGGCCATATTTCAGACTATGTGGGCAAAAAATGTGTGGTTGAATTTCTTTCATATCATATATAAAGAGAGAGTTTGTATCCTAGATCAAAACATCAAAGTTTCAGAAAAATTGAATTTGAGGAAAAATTTGGCCTATCTATTGTGTCCTACCTTAATTAAGAATCGAAGCAAAAATCGGAGCAGTGCACTTTCTTTAGGGGCTATGGTACACTATTTCAAAAATCTGCTCAAATGCTTGGATGAAACCTCTTTTATGACACATGCAGCTCTTACCCATTTCTAATACTTTTAATATTGCACCAGTGCTCATCCGAGTCATCTAAAACTTCATAACGCTCTCCCTGAAACGGAATTCAAATGCATTTAATTTTTTCCATTCTTCTAAAATAATTAATTAAATGATAAACTTTAATAAAGAAGATTGCAGAGAGCAATCGGGTAGTTAATACTTTTTCTCTCTCTCTCTCCACATTGTTTTCTTTATATATAGCCAAATATAAAATGTGATTCCCGATACCAACTATAATCACAGTTTAATTATTATTTAGTAGCACATTTAATGCATCTTATACAATCCGGGAATATGCTTAACAAAGCAGCATGCAATTCTGAATCTATTGATATACATGTATACATGTACCATTTAAACAAAAATCCCACTTCTAAGCAAACGTTGAAAGTTTTAGTAATTAAAGTTATATAATTTTATACATATAATGATATTATATATTTTAGTGTTATCAAATCGGACCATTTTTGGTATTAAATAGGCACCGACGATGGGTACACGCTTACTTTTCCGATCGAGTAACCGTTTAGCTCTTTACAATTAAGTTGTTTTAATTTGTTAAGATATGCTTCACGCAAGAAAATACCTTTACAAGTGCGATATCATCCGACTCAGAAGTTGGTCTATAGTCATATACCGCCACAAAGATTTTGTAAAATTGAGAATGTCCGTACGATGACGACTGTGTGGAAGATTTTTTTGTTAACTGACGTTTTTGGGAACTTCTTGGGGAGTTATGTCCTATGTGCCTAGCCCGAGTTGACTCCTCTGCATTGGTAGGAATTCTAGGCTGGGGTCTGGAAGGAGCAGTCCTGGCTTCAGTTTCCCTCTGTGATCTAGATCTAGTTGAGGAAGACCTCGAGGAGGCATGCGCCCCTTGATCGTCCCCTGCATGTTCATGAGAAGGTCCTTTTCAAGAACCAAATAACATGAAATAGATTTGTTTAAAAGAAAACGTGATCAAGATTTATTAACTTAATAAATGAAAAAAAAACTCACAAACACATTTACAAAAAAAATAAATAATATACCAATAGTAACAGCCTACGAAAAAGTTATATAGTTCTGGTGGTATTAGGGATTTTCTCCATATATTGTTTTCTCAAATAGTTGGAGAAGAGGGAGATAGAGACGGGAGTCCTATAACAAAGGCCCGATTATTGGTACATGTATAAAATAAGTCAGTCAAATAACGACCTATAGGTTATATATACTTATACTAGTATTTCCTAAAAAGCTCAATTTAACAACCAATGGATTTACGAAACGCTGACTTTAAACACAAGGTTCGAATACCTTGTTCATAATAATAACAATTTAAGTAAATGTATTTTTTTTCACTATTTACTTAAAATTTCAGTGATTCGATGAATATGCTAACTGCATTTTAAACAGTCTTGAAAAGTTGTAGATGGGAAAGCTGAAGTTATCTTGTTGGTCGCGTTCTTTATTTAAGGAAGGTCCATACTTTTACGGATCCGGTTTTAATTTTACACACCAATATAAAATTCTGATTATCACTTTTTTTTGTCCCCCGCTTGAAAAGTGGGGGATATTAATTTGGGTTTGTCCGTCCGTTCGTCTTTCTGTCTGTCTGTAACGCTTTCGTTTCCACACGATATCTCGAGAACCCTTTGAGCTTTTGCAATGAAAATTAGCATAGCAACTCCCTATGGACTAAAGAAGAACCCTATTGATTTTGAGGTCAAAAGGTCAAAGGTCAAGGTCATATATAAGCAAATTCTGTCTGTTATAATACTTTCGTTTCCACACGATATCTCTAGAACCATTTGAGCTATTGCAATGAAATTTTACATAACAATTCCCTGTGACCTAATAAAGACCCCTATTGATTTTGAAGTCAAAAGGTCAAAGTTCAAGGTCGTAAAGTTACACATTCTATCTGTGTGTAACACTATCATTTCCGGGCGATATTTCAAGATTTTGAGCTTATTCAATGTAATTTTATACCAAAACTCCCTAGGATCTCTCTCACCCCTCTCAAAGTGCCCCGCCCCGTTTGTTTTATCAGTATTTATAGTATTATATGTCGCTATTTTTAGCACAGGGGCATGAGGAGAGTTATTGCGTATAAAACAGGTTCTCGGCGGACTTTATGTTCTTATTACATCTATTAGAACTGTTTAATAAAGGCTAAATAAATCAAACACCATGGATTGTGTAAAATTTTGACAATACCGAACATGAATATATACATATGTATGTAACTTCACTTCTGCATATACATGTACTTCACGTTCTGTAAAGCGATTCCGTGGTCTAGTGGTATGTTTCTCGCTTCCGGTGTGAGAGATCCCGAGTTCCAGTCCCTGACGGACAAATTTTTTTTTTTTTTTTTTTTTGAAATACTTTTTTTTTTTTTTACTAAATAATAGTATTCAGCACGCGGAATGAAAAATTTATGAGGTCTGGCTTGTACAAACTCATAAAATCATCATTACAGTGTGATAAATATTCCATATAAAAAGAATCTTCTATACACATAATAAAGAATAAGCAATTAAATCTTTATATCCATAATGGTATATTCTATTTGCTTCAGTATACATGCATGTATACATTTAATAATTCTACAAATTCAGTGAGGGGGATCCCACTCTCCCCCCTCCCTCCCCCCGAACTGCTCATGCTTTACTTTTTCCTCTCTCTCTCTCTGAATTAGCTTGTTTGTAATAAAATATTTTGGTTGCTTGAAAATAATTTAATAACTATAGGCTCTATATTTATTAATTATAGTGTCAATTTGAATACAAAGCATTTAATATATACTATTTATGGAAATTAACACTTTACACTTTGTCCATAGGATTTATATGCTTTTAGCACATACACAGACACAAAATTCTTAATTGCCTTTATGAACCTAATCCCTTGTTTTGATTTTGAACATATTTTATTGTATAAACAAAAGGATTGGAAACAAGTTCTTTCAACTTACGAGTTCCTCTCCTTAAATATAACTATATGTCATGCAATTAAAATACTAGTACATGTAGTACATAGAATTTTAAATGCAAAAAGAGATACAAGTGAAATATTTGTTCAGTAATATAACAATTTAAAATCTACAGGATTGGTCAATAAATTTATGCACAGCAGCAAAAATATGTGTATTTGTTTCTACAGGCAAATTTACATCACCACATAGTAACAAAGTTGTGTCAATATTGACCAATGTCGTCTAGTAAAAACAGGCGATTAAAAAGATTATTCCTAGCGTTTGGATAATTTCTGCAGGCAAAAGAAATCAAAGTACTCAGAAGTAAAGAGAGCCGGGCTCATTTACAGAGTAGAATGAATTTCTTACACGTTTATATTCTGATGAAATAATTATTTTAAATCTATCAATATAAATGATAAGACACTGACAGTGAGTTTTTCAATCCTAATACCACGGTCCGATTTTGTCAGAATCAGAATTAATCTGGTACCGCAGCTGAATGTAAACAAACAGGCCAGCCTGGTTCCCTCTCCTGTTTTACCTCATATGCGTAGAGAACTACGATAACACTGATTATCAAAAATCCTTACGCTAATGAACTATGTTCTTTGACTTCGGCTGAAGTTTTCAAAGTCATTACTACTAATGTTTATTTATATATATAAAAATTCGTTTTATTTTTGTTGCTTTATTGAGCGTTTGTATTATCTCAAAAGCGGTTGAGAGTATAGAACTATATTTTTGCACGTAACTTTAAAATGGCGACTATGAGGTCAACATCCTGCCTTGAACAGGATCACATAAGCCGGCAATTGCTCTTTGAGCAATAAGCCCGGCTGAAAATGACAAACATCTTCATACTTTCCACATGAACATAAAGGGCTATTAATACTAGTAATATTTCTTTTATGTAAATCATAGTTAAGTATACAGTTGTGTCTAAGTTTAGTATGGATTATACTGGTATAACGTTTGCCAAATGAAAAATAAATTGGGGGATTTTTTACTTCTGTAGTTATATTTTTTCGAAATGCATTGAGTGAGATAGCTTCCCCCGTTTCTGTCTTTGGTAAATTCCACTGTTTCACAGCGTCGGAAATAAAAGACCTTTTATATAATTCTAATCTGCATCTTGGGGCAGCGTATTGTTCCTTATTACGGGTATTATATTTTGAAATGTTTTCACGCTTGTTTGGCACAATGTCATTTAAATATTCAGGTACACTACCATTACGAATTTTGTACATCGTGATCATTTTTGCATTATAGCGCCTAACTTTCAATGTTTCCCAGCCAGTTTCAAAGTAAAGTATTTCTCTTGACATAAAAATTGAAAGTCCTGTAACAATTCTAGCTGCAGATAATTGAACTCTTTCAAGCTTTTCGGCATCATTATTAGAGCAGCCATCCCAAACAATTGAAGCGTATTCGAGCGAGGGTCTATGGAACGCCATGGCTGCCTTATGTTAGATGATTATATTATATGCTGTGCTTCTTATATTATATGCTGTGAATTTGTAATTATATGCTGTGGTTCTTTTATTATATGCTGTGGGTTTATAATTATATGCTGTGGTTTTATAATTATATGCTGTGGGTTTATAGTTATATGCTGTGGGTCTATAATTATATGCTGTGTGTCCATTATTATATGCTGTGGATCTATTAATATGCTGTGGTTACATTATTATATGCTGTGGTTTCATAATTATGTGGGTTCATAATTATATGCTGTGGGTTCATAATTATATGCTGTGGTTCTTTTATTATATGCTGTGGTTTCATTATTATATGCTGTGGTTTCATTATTATATGCTGTGGGTTCATAATTATATGCGGTGGGTGTATTGTTTCATATTCTGTCGGTTTATTGGAAACTAGCTATTCGAATCTGGACTTCTGTTTTTTTAGTTTACTTGCTCAAAAAATGGCGGCAACTGTACCAGGCCTAACCGTTCGGATGTGATTAGTGGAGGAATACGCATCAGATCCTAACATTTTCAGGCATAGCAAAAAGAGATGCTCTTAATATGATAAATATTTGTAGTGTATGGCATCGTTTGAAACTTTAATCCAATTTAAAAAAAAATCCCCCCAAAATATAGGATCCATGGCGTTTATAGGTCAAAATTGCAGTTGATAAAAATTAACTTATAGGTACCGGCAGTAAATAACACTCTGGCCCCCAAAAAAATCAACCACAACTCCTACAATCTCCCCTGGTATTTCTATATTTCTGTTATATTCCTACATTCCATAAAAAAAATCAACCCCCGCTCTTACCATCTCCCTGGTATTTCTATATTTCTGTAATATTCATTATTTCAAACATTAATATTTTTACTTAAAAAAAAAAAAAAAAAAAAAAAAAAAAAAAAATTAATAACATTTACATGTTTCATTTAAACCAATAGGTAATGCCTTCCTATTCAGCACTCCACTCTCTCTCATTCCTATTACGGTTAGCCGCCATTTTTTGAGCAAGTAAACTAAAAAAAAACTAGAAGTCCAAATTTGAATAGACAGTTTCTAATAAACCGACAGAATATGTAACAATACACCCACAGCATATAATAACGAAACCACAGCATATAATAAAAGATCCACAGCATATAATTATAAACCCACAGCATATAATTATAAACCCACAGCATATAATTATAAAACCACAGCATATAATAATAGATCCACAGCATATAATAATAGATCCACAGCATATAATAATTGAAAGCATATTATGCATATAATAATGGACCCACAGCATATAATAATAGATCCACAGCATATAATTATGGAACCACAGCATATAATAATGGATCCACAGCATATAATAATTCCACAGCATATAATTATGGAACCACAGCATATAATAAAAGAACCACAGCATATAATTACAAACCCACAGCATATAATAATAGACCCACAATATAATTATAGAACCACAGCATATAATATAAGAACCACAGCATATAATAACAAACCCACAGCATATAATTATAGACCCACAGCATATAATATAATCATCTAACATAAGGCAGCCATGGCGTTCCATAAGGGTCTGATAAATGTGACATACAATTTTGAAAGGTGTGTCCTGCCGATTTTATACTTAAGTTTGTTCAAAAGCCCATCCCTTCGTATTTTATTTTTTTTAAACAAACTAACTTGAGATCTATTTTTATCGATTTTACGCCTATATCATTTTTCTAAATTTTACTTTCGTTTTAAATTTTGTAAAAAAAAAAAATTATTGAAAAACTTGATATTCCAAAATGGGGATATACGTGTTCAAAGGGCCGTTTTTTTAAATTTTTCAGGTCAATCATAATAAAGTTTATGTTTTTGTTAACCTTAGATATAATTCTTACTAATTTCAAAGAAAAAATAGCATGTAAACGATTTAGATTTTGAGAATTATTAAAAATAAAGATATTTTGAGATTTTATTCTTAAAGACGTGGACAGATTCAACATCAATTTGTTAATGTTTTCCAGGAAAGATTTCAAAAATTCTCCTGGCAAATGAATGTTTTTTGTTTCCACAAATTTTAATATAAAGTTGATGTGATTTGGTGCATTAGCTAAATAAAATATGATATCACACTTCTTTATGTTTAATTTTGGCTGTAGAATTTTTAGAGGTATGTACGCTGAGACATGTTGTATGAAAATTAACCTGCAAAGATATGTCTTTTATGGGTGTTTTTAGTTCATGAGTTATTCAAGGTATTCAAGTTAAAGAATGAAAAGTTTGACAGAAAAGTTTGAAACTATGGGCCTACCTTAAGAAACAAAGTCCGCGTTGTCGTGAATGTTGCAGGATGAGGTCGAGAAATGTTGTTTGAAAGATAAAAGCCGAGGCTTTTATATTTCAAACAACATTTCGAGACCGAGGAGGTTATCTTGCAACATTCACGACAACAAGGACTTTATTTCTATTCTACAAAGATCTTAAAGATCGCTAAAATACGCCTGATCGTTTCCTCTATAGAGAAACGAAATAGGTCACCATGTTTCGATTACGCTGTTCCATTAACACCAGAGGGAAAATTTGTTTGCTTACATATGTATGGAATGCAGACAATTTGAGCTTTCGTTGCATTAGAAATAGCCTTTTTAAATTTCAAATTTGTTCGTTATATGTATTGATTAATTTTAATGAATATACAATGATCATGTTCCTGTTTAACTGCTTTATTGGTGTTTAAATGTGTAGGGAGGTTCGTGGAATAGCTCCGCATGGCTATAAAAAACCAATATTCATCAGCAACTTCATGCAATTTACAGTGTTCAGACTGCAAAAGACGACACATCGATGTGGTCTAAACAAGTATTTCATTTTAGAGTCAAATATTTATTTCAACTGTACAGGATTGATACGTCACGTGTTTCTGACATGATAATTTTTTGATGACGTTCGTGATTTTTTGGAGAATAATGTCCTCGGCATTTCTTTGATGTCTGCGATAATCGTGGTAGAATTGTTAATTATCAGCGTTTTTCGTCTATATTCAGTAAAATATCCAGATATAAAACAGATGTAGCTTACTCTGTGGTGTCTTTTTTTCAATATTATATTGGGATATGTCCAGTCTACATATGAATGGAATAACTATATACTTACTATTGTTAATTGATAAAACATAATCAACATGATTGCCAAGTTAAAGGTCATGACAAGTGTGTACTTCTTCTATAATGTTGAAGTTTATGAGTAAAATACATTGCCAACCTTCTAAAGATAATATAAGTAAATCGTTAATCGTTGATCTACCTTCTTCGGAAGTTCCGTGGACCAGTTTACATCCCCGAGCTATTTTTCCCTGAGCATGACAGCAAGTAAAGGCTCCATCAACCCATATACCGGGATGATAATTCTTTATAAAAGGTGCTTCATTTTTAATGGCCTCTGATAGAGAATGAAAAGTAGACGGTGATTTAAAAAGATGCATCATATGTATACCCGCCTTCTGTGCATATAGACTAGGCACTTAAGTATTTTTTCAAATACTTGTATAATATACAAATATAAAATGAAAAGTCTTCAAAACATATTTTGTCTGAAATCATTTTCCTTTTAAAGCAATTTTTCAATACAATTTCTTGTAGGTATCAGTGAAAGAACCAAACCTCTCCTGATTCCATTGATCCACTTCTCCTGTTCTTGTTTGCTACTGGTTACCACATACAAAATAACAGGGTCGTATCTTGTAGGACAGATGTGTATTACCTGAGAATCAAATCAAAAAATCACTTATTATCGGCATTGAAGTCGTACACTGATTAGCAAGGTAAACTAAAGATGACCCTATTTATTTTGAGGTCAAAGGTCAAGATCGTAAATTCATACATTATTTATGTGTGAATCTTTCATTTCCAGGAGATATTTCTAGATTTTAAATTTTATTTCCCAATTAACTTTTTTTTACAATCCTCATCCCCCCCCCGGTCCTTCTAAGAGTAACTCCCTCGACCCTCTCTCTAGATCCATTCATGAACTTGTTTTTTTCCTTTAAACGGTGGGAACAAAGTCTCTGGATTAGCTTCTTGATATTTGATCATCTTATTTCTCTTGTTTTCAGCAACATATCTTCAAATATCAGTTTAATATATATTATATACGAGATTATTATACTTTCATGTTAAATACTAAAATCTGATTGGTTTAGACGCAGTTAACAATCCGTTCTATTACCCTCAGCCTTAGCAACGCATGTGACAACGGGTAACACAATGCGTAATGCCAAATATTATCTACGGTTCACCGTAGAATTCTCAAAACGTCAGTTGCGCGTTTGAAAGAACTGGAATAAACTTGACGTCAATAAAAGCTTGCGTCCGATGTAGCTTACTTGAAAACAACAAACGACAGACGAAACATGCTTGCGAGTGCAGAAATAACGAAACTTTATATGATAAAAGACTCTTAGAGTATCAAACAAACATTAAAAAGGTCAGTAAATCTTTTTAGAAGTAGCAAGGAGTTTGAAAGCTTTCTAAACGTGAACGTAAAGATGATGGACGATTTTTTTTTTTTTGCTGACTGAATTTAAGAAGACATTCAGTATAATAAAATAAATGGTGCCTGTTTTGGAGGGTAACAGTTGAAATTGACACCCCTCGGAAAACTTGGTTTTCCTTGGGGTGTCAATTTCAACTGTTACCCTCCAAAACAGGCACCATTTATATAATGTATTATCATTCCTTTAACGGAGTTGTATAATGCTAAGGGGACCCTTATAGTCATTGGCCATTGGGCCTCTCGTTCATTTTCTTTCTTCTGGGTTGGAATCTTTATTCAAACCATGTTCTAAATTTTATATAAAGTTGTCTATAGTATGTTTAAACAAAATTTCTTTTGAGCTTTATAAATGTTTTATAAATGTGAAATGCCTTATGGAATCCCTTTGTTAAAATCAGTGACGGATCCATGCAGGAATTTCGTATCTGGAGAAGGCGGGGGGGGGGGTGGTCTGTAGGCTGCACTGAAGCCCCTAGTGGGTCTAAGGCCTGGTACTTTTTTTGGGGTGGGTGGGTCCGGGGCTGAGGAGTTTTTACAAATAAGAGATGTTTTTTCTTGATTTTAGGATAATATGGACATGTAAATTTTACATACAAAAAATTCAAAAGGGGAAGGGGGGGGGGGAGCACGCCCGGCCCTAGATCCGCCTTTGAAAATGTAGAGCGCTTTAGAAGTATAATGGTGATTAACATTTTTACCTGAAAGACATCCCTTTTGTCCTCCATACATAAGTCGTCTAATGCCTCGACTGCCAAGATCTTCTTAAGTTCAACCTTTCCTTTTTCTTCACCCATTTTCTGTCAATCAAACAACTTAACCATATACAAGTATGTATATACCACTGTACATCCTGTATAACAGTAGCATTTTTATTAAATTATAGTATAATATCTGATTCTATAACACACACTGATCCATTTGACCGTAACTTTGTGAAATTCTCGGATAAACTAGGACAAATCCTAATAAAATCCCATAAAAAAATTAAATTAACCGAGTTAAATCAATGCAAATCTTGAAATGGACAACACTGTCCCCTGCAACCATCAGATTTGGAATCGTTTTGTCTTGAAAAAGAAAACATTTCCCTGTCGACTGCATGGTTTCGCATAGACCGGGACCGTGAACCTGAACTGTATCACCCCTTTAAATGGAACCTTTTATTTTTCGCCCGTGTTCTGCAAATTATAAAGCCCGAGGAGTTCAAAGTAGCTCTGGTAGAAGCTCGGATGAGATTTAACGAGACTACAGCGAGATAAGGGACTAGTAAATTATCTACGGAGGTGACTAGCATGTGGAGACATGGTAAACAGAAAGGTTATGTACATAGCGCTTCAGTTTGGACCACACAATAATGTCTGTAGAAATGTACATGTACTTTTATCTCTTTTCAATTCATTAATAAAACTTGAATTCCTTATTCTTTATGATATTTTCTGCAGTAACGGACCAAAATTTCTTTTGGGAAATATTTGCATCAGTGGTAGCTGGGACTATATTTATTATATTGACGTCAGATTAGCAAATCATAGCTGAATGAAAATGAGAATTCGCATTGTGGATTAAATTACTACAGACAATACAGAAATTTTATGTTTGAAAAAAAAATGTCATGGCGATCGCAAAGGCACAAACAGGGGCGTAGCAACAGGGGGGGGGGGGGGGGGGGCTTTCCCAACCTTACTTATACTATAGGAAATGTTAATTGAAAACCTGGTTGCCCCCCCCCCCCACTTTTAGCGATATACCGAAAATGTAGTATAAGAATTGGTACTGAAAGTAGTTGACACTGAGGAAAAGTTTTACCCCCCCCCCCCCCCCCCCCCATCACACACACACACAAACACACACACACACAAAATAGGATTTTCGACTTTGAACAACCATTTCTTTTTCCTTTTTTTTTTTTTTTTTTTTTTTTTTTTTTTTTTTTTTTTTTTTTTGCTTCTCAACTTTTTCAGGTAAGTAAAAAAATTTTTTTCTCTGGCTGCCCCCCCCCCCCCCCCACTTTCAAAAACGATGCTACGCCACTGACAAAGAACATTTTCCCATGTATTTTGTACATGAATTTAGCAATCTGTTTTTCCCCAATATTTCCATGCTCACAGTTACAAACAATTCATGGGATTTTAGGTTTTTCAAAGCCATATACTGATAGACGATTTTGGTCTGTATTTCTTTGTTGTATAGTATCGGTGAATACCATTGTTAGGTGGATTCCCTGCACTGCATTCTAGTCCATTGCAATAAGTGCAGTTAAATTCTTATTAAGATCAGCAGCATTAATTCTCTTGCAAATAAAATATCATCCACTTATCAGTCAAAGACAATGTTCCCTTTCTTCTGTTCTAGATACCAAAACTTGTCAGTTGATGAAATCACCAATATGCAACTTTGTCGAAAAGTCTTTAGACACAAATACTGACAGTTCATTTTGATTCTTATCAAAGAGAACAAATAATAAAGAAAATGTGAATTAACCAGAAGTCTCTGATGAGACTGTAGCTCTTCTGGTATGTACGTATAACAAAGGAAAAGTAGAATTATGTATCTTAGTGTAGTCAACTTGTGTGCCAAGATATATTGAAATCAGACCAAAACTGTAGGCGGAGTAGCGTTTTAAAGGAATCTCTCAGAAATTTCTACTTAACCAATAACCATGGTAACACCTTTCATCGAAATCAAAAAACGATGCACAAAACTATGTGTCTTAGTGTAGTCTGATTATGTACCAAGTTATATCTAAATCAGACCAAAACTTTAGGGGATAGTAGCATTTTAAAGGAATTTCACAGAAAATTCTTTTTTTAGTAACCATGGCGAAACCGTTCATTGAAATCAAAAACCAGTGCACTAAATGTATTTTAGAGTAGTCTATTTGTGTGCTAATTTATATTGATATCAGACCAAAACTGTAAGAAGAGTAGCATTTTAAGGGAATCTCACAGAAAGTTCTATTTTTTAGTAACCATGGAAACATCGTTCATCCAAATCAAAAACCAATGCACTAATTTATGTATCTTAGTGCAGTCTACTTATGTGCCAAGTTATATTGAAATCAGACCAAAACTGTAGGGGAGTAGCATTATAAAGGAATTTCAAAAAAATTTTTTTTTTAATAACCATGGCAACATCTTTCATCGGAATCAAAAATCGATGCATTAAACTATGCACTTCAGTGTAGTCTACTTGTGTGCCAAGTTATTTTGAAATCAGACCAAAACTGTGGGAAGAGTAGCGTTTTAAAGGTATTTCACAGAAAGTTTTAATTTTAGTAACCATGGCAACACAAATCATCGAAATCAAAAAACGATGCACTAAATGATGTATTTTAGTGTAGTCTACTTGTGTGCCAAGTTATATTGAAATCAGACCAACACTGTGGGAGAAGTGGCATTTTGGACACGTTACTATCACATAAGCCTTTCTGGTCTCTGACCAGTAGAGCTAAAACAACCACTGTTTTTTTTTTTTATTCAAAACACGAAATATAGAAATATATAAAAAAAAAATTAAATCATATTTTAAAACTCAATTACGAAACAAAATGACAATTTCACAAAGTTAATTTTTAGTGGTCAATTTGCAAGGTATTACAATATGTTGCAGCAGAGTGCAGTATCGTGCAATGATACTTATAATTCAACAAGCACATTTAATTTCCTCATCAAGTTTGCTAATTTGTTGACGGTGCGACCGTTATGGCGAGCTCATATATTTTTTTGTTATATAATATTAAATATCTTTATTTAAAATGAGAATTAATAAGCTTGCAATTGAAAGAACCTCACTCAACACAAAATTTCCTTTAGATGTTTTGCATATACCAAATCAGATTTCGATAATAACAAGAGGCCAATGGACCTTATACGTCACCTGAGCATCATGCAACAACTTTCCAACAATTGAATTTAGTTCATGTCTTAAACCAGAGGCCATGACATTCACAATTTTGAAAGAGGCGCCATTGCACATCATAACTATATACTTAGCAGTTTAGTTTGGTTACTTACATGTAATACCCATAGACCGAGTAGGGGAACAAAAAAAGCATTTCAACTAATCAGTAATATTCAGCAATAATCAGTAGTGCCCCCATCCCACAGGAACCCCTGATCCTAGGTCCACAAATTTCACAATTTTGGAAAAGGTACCATTGCTCATCATAAATGTTTGATTAATATAATGGAGCAAATTTCAAAGAATTAATTCATTTTCAGTATAAATTAGAGCCCCTCGTCCTCTATGATACCCCTAATCCAGGGGCCTTGAAATTCCGGAAGAACGACCCATGCTCAGCATAACTATGCATGTAGTTAGTTTGTTTAATACCCATGAACAGAGAAGAAAATTTTCAAAGAATTATTGTATGTTCTCTGTAAAATCAATAGAGCCCCCCCCCCCCCCAAGTAAACCAGAACTCTTGATCCTGGAGCCATGAAATTTTTAAAATGGCACCTTTCCTCATCAAAACCATGTACGTAGTTAGTTTATTTAAAAACCAGGAGCAGAGAAGAAGATTTTCAAAGAATTAATGCCTGTTCCCTATATATTTAATACAGCCCAGCCCAAACACAAGAACCCCTGACCCTGGGGCCATGAAATTTACAATTTTAGAAGAGGCACCCTTCCTCATATGAGTATTATTAAACAAACTAATTAAGAATTTAAGATTTTCAAAGAATGCATTTTTACTATAAAATCAATAAAGTCCCGCCCTAACACCAGAACCCTTGACCCTGGGGCCATGAAATTCACCAGTTTAGAAGAGACACCCTTCCTCATCATACATGTAACTGTACTTATCTCATTAGCATACCCAGGAGCAGGGGAGAAGATTTTCAAAGAATTATTGCATTTTCACTATATAATCAATAAAGCCCCACCCTAACCCCGGAACTCCTAACCCTTTTTCACAATTTAATTTGGAAGAGACACTCTTATCATAACTATACATTAAGTTTGTTTGTTTGATACCCAGAAGCAGAGAAGATTTTCAAAGAAATAATGCACTTTCACTATATAATCAATAAAGTCCCATCCTAGAATTAGAAACCCCTTATCCTGGGGTCATGTATTTCACAATTTTGGTAGAGGACTCAATGCTAATTACGATCATACCAACAGTTTGACTGCTTGATGTCCAGGAAAAAAGATTTTTAAAGATTGCAGTAATTTAAGTGGTTTTGGTCCCACACCTCAGGCCCTGGGGGGGGGGTTATAAAATTGTGTTTCCCTTCACCTATAAATGTCAACATTGGTTGATATTGGCTTGAAGCGGTTTCAGAGAAGAAGTTGTAAAGGTTTACAACAGATTGACGACGTATGATGAACGACGGACGAAAACATCAATAATTCAGCAAAAAAGTAACCGTTGTTTTTATGAGAGCTCTAAGCACTGTTATAAGAGTAAATTCCGTTATCCTTCCTGGTCCATGTTTACATCATTCTCAAGATGTTTACTCATCTGTCAAACACAGGAATTGTATCTTTATATTTAAACTACCACAGGAAAAACAAAATCAGAAATACGGTATATTATATTACTGGTAAACAGAGTGTGTCAGTTTCAACCGTATTTTTAATAAAATCACGTAAAACAAAATTGAATTGAATTATACTGACTGACACTGGATTCTTGTATACTGCAATAAAGTGCAATTCTTATTAACACAAGCTGTTACAGTAGTAATTCTCATGCTTATAAAGAAATTTACTAATCAGTCAAAGACTAGTTGTCATTTCTTCTGGAGCTTTTTGCACACCCAAACTCGATATAAATATAAATAGTAATATTATAACTAATGTGTGTTGGCAATTTTATCCAAAACTTATTTTTTTTCCAGAACACGAAATAAAAGTACTGTAGTGTTGATTTTACAATCATATTTAATTGAATTGGACTTCTATATTTTGCTCTTCGAATGGGTGGGTATCTGATGGATAAATATTTTGTTTTCAGATTGTAAATGATTTATAGTTGTTGTTGTTGTTTTTTTTAAATAGGTGGAAGATGTAGTTCTGTTTCACCTGAATTTATAAGTAAAAGTACACAGTGGTTCTCACCGAACTTTTGCCATCGTAGTATGTTAGGTGTTTGTCATCCAGCACAAACCATCTTTTTTGAAAGTTTGTAGAAAGAACGTAGGGGCTCTTATCAATCGATCTTTTCTTCAGAAAAGCTTTCAATATAGGTTTCTACAAAAGAAAAATCTGACGTAAAGATTTCTAAACAAAATTATTGTATATAGATTTTATAATATTTCACCGAGTGTGTTCAATTTGTTAAACTCTGCACACATCACTGAACACGGATTGACAATACTGGTGAGTTGGTTTTGCTTTCTCAAATTACTACTCTTAATTTTATGGATTAAAGTTAAAATATATTTCAATGATACACAACAATAATACACAACAAAACTCTCACTTTTCTTAAAATTTTAGAATTTTTTGATAGAGAGACATATGTCTAAACCAGAAGTTAAATAATTGCACATCTTGTTATTTTTCCAGTAGTTTTATTACCTTCCTCTTTTATTATTTTAATTTAATGCACACAATCCCTTTAAATAAAACTTAATTATAAAACAATACGTTTGAAGGAGGGAGTGTTGTTAAAAATTTAGAATGAAATATTATTTTCAACATATTTAGATTTTTCGGCACATGCATTTTACAAAATTTAATACTTTCATACTGCTTAATATATTGGAAGTACATAAAACCGATTTTCTTCATTTAAATACTAAATATAAAAATAAAAAATAGAATCAGCATATGTTTAAAGTTAAAGCTGAAATACTCAGTCCCAAAAATTATTAAAAATACATACCGACATCCTTGCTTTGAGTCTTACTTTGCAATAAAACTGTTTTAGCACAAGGAAATAAGAAGTTTGATACACACTTGTATGTTGATCCTTACTAGAGTTTTAAAACAGATTAACGTTGATATCTTCTCTTCCCTTTCCTGTAAATAAGATAATTCACTCTGATTACGATGTAACAGCTACAGGATAACCTGCATGTTATTGTACGTGTAGCGCCCATCCCTTAAAAGTAATGGATTCGAGGATTCGAAGCCATATACCTATTCCTTTTATGGTTATCCAATCCTCGGCCAGGAAGGAGAACTCTTTAATTTATCATTTTATTCAAAAAGTCTCTAAATAAAACTTTAAATTGAAATCTTTTCATGCAACAATTTTCATTTTATGCATCTCAGTGAGATGTAGTTATTTATTTTAAAGTGATTGAAGTAGGAGCAGAGTAATCTATTAGAGAGTGTGCAAATAGAGGCTGGACACATCATTACTGGGTTAAGGCGCAGTTCCTCGAAACAAAAATTGTATAACGAACTAGGATGGCAAACGCTTAGTGAAAGAAGAACTAAACACAAGCTTACACTTATGTACAAAATACTTAATAATTATACACCTGAATATTTGCAAGAAATGGTCAATCAATGTCTACCTGTTTCACACAATTACGCCTTACGCAATAATTTGTATCACTTACCAATCACTAGAACAGTTTCATATTACAATAGCTTTTTACCATCTACAATTAAATTGTGGAATGATTTACCAGATACCTTAAAATCTGTAACAAGTGTCGCAAAGTTTAAACAATGTATACAAAATAAAAATCTTGAGGATAAAACAAAATCCAAATTATAGAATTATGGACAAAGAAAATTAAAATATACTCCACTGTCAGTTGAGAAACTTCTCTAGTAATCTTAATGCAGATTTGTTTAATCAAAACTTAGTTGATTCACCTAAATGCTTAAAATGTGGTTATTTTTTTAAAGACTGTTCATTTTTTCTTTCAATGCCCATGTTATGACCAAGCCAGGAAATCTTTAATTACATATATGAGTGACCATGACATTATTATTAAACTATAATGGTAAATTTACGAAAACACAACAGAAGCTTGCAGAGCAAGGACGAAAAGCTCTTTTTAGTATTCAAAGTAAACTAAAGGATTACCACTTTAATGTTCAAACAAAATGCTCTGTTTTTGACACCTATGTCAATAGTATACTTTTGTATGCTTCGGAAGTATGGGGATTTCACAAAGGAATTGATATTGAAAAAATCCATATTATGTTCTGTAAAAAAATTTTGGGGTTAAAAAAGAATGCTAGTAACAAGCTAGTATATCATGAACTTGGTAGGTTTCCATGTCATATTTTAAGGAAAATAAAAATTATGAAATATTGGTTAAAGTTAAGAAAAACAGAAAATTGTATCCTTAAGACGTGTTATGAAGAAATGGTACAGGAAAATGACGAATGGATTGTAAATATTAAAACAGAACTGGATAGATTAGGACTAAATTCCTTGATGCACACAAATTATGATGATAAATATGTTATTAAACTTATTGAACAGAGAATGAAAGATATTTACATCCAGGAATTGAGAGCAGAAATCGACAATATGCCAAAAGCTAATTTGTATAAATATCTGACAGATACATATTGCCTTCAATATTACCTTAACAAACCTTTAAGTGTTAAAAATCGAGAAATAATATCAAAGTTTAGGATGTCTGATCACAATTTATTTATTGAAAGGGGTAGATACACGAATACTAATAGAAATGAAAGAAAATGCATATTGTGTAGTCTAAATGATACAGAAGATGAATTTCACTTCATTTTACAATGTCCAACATATGAAAATTTAAGGAAGAAATATATTAAAAAATATTATTATCAAAATAGTAGTGTATATAAATTAATACAATTACTAAGTGTCCAAAATGTAAGGGAATTAAGAGGTTTGGGTAATTTTTTAAGAGAAGCGTGTCATTTACGAGAAAGTAAAATAAATTTATTGTAATAATAAGTATAATATTGATTTAATATTATGATACATGTAACACAATAATATGTATGTATATATATGTACATTTATCAATACTAGTGTTAATTCATTGTGATATATGTTTACATGGCAATTATGTATATGTATGTAATTAATATGTTAATCTGATGTATCTGTTGATACAAGGAATAAAAGAAAGAAAGAAAAGACATACCAAGAGATGTCAATATTGTATTATCTGGTTATAATTGTCTACCCCTTAGAGAAAATATGTTGTTTTTTGACCAAGTTCATAATTTTATAAAAAACACTGAAAGATTTTAGAATTAGAAAATATATTAAGTATTGTGCAGCATGTCTTTCAATCTTGACATTCAGGTTGAAAGTACACCAAAAAAATTCAAGTCTGGTTCTGAGCCTTCCTCTACATATTCTTATTTTTTCTTCTAATTATTATTATTATATATTTTTTTTCTTTTTGGTTTTTGGGGTTTTTTTTTGTTTTGTTCTTTGTTTTTTCCATTTTTAGGTCACCTGAGTAAACTCAGGTGACCTATTGCTATCTGTTTTCGTCCGTCGTCGTGCGTTGTGCATTAACATTTGAACATTTTCAGCTTCTTCTCTGCAACCACTGAACCAATTTCAACCAAATTTGGCCTGAAGCATCTATGGGTGAAGGGGAACAAAAATTGTGAATTTCATGTTCCCTGCCCCCTGGGGCCTGAGGGGTGGGGCCAAAACCACTAAAATTAATGCAATCTTTAAAAATCTTCTTCTTTACTCCTGGACATCAAGCAGTCAAACTGTTTGCATGATTGTAATCAGCAATTAGTCCTCTACCAAAATTGTGAAATTCATGGCCCTGGGGTCAGGGGTTCTAGTGCTAGGGCGGGGCTAAATAAGTAGGTAGTGAAAATGCATTATTTCTTTGAAAATCTTCTTCTCTGCTCCTGGGTATTAAATAAACCAACTAAACACATAGTTATGATGAGCAAGAGTGCCACTACCAAAATTGTGATTTTTATGGCCCCAGGGTCAGGGGTTCTGGTGTTTAGGGTGGGGCTCTATTGATTATATAGTGAAAATACATGAATTCTTTGAAAATCTTCTTCTCTGCTCCTGGGTATTAAATAAATTAACTAAGTGCATAGTTATGATGAGCAAGAGTGCTTCTACCAAAATTGTGAATTTTATAACCCCAGGGTCAGGGGTTCTGGTGTTAGGGCGGGGCTCTACAGATTATATAGTGAAAATACATGAATTCTTTGAAAATCTTTTTCTCTGCTCCTGGGTATTAAATAAACTAACTAAGTACATAGTTATGATGAGCAAGAGTGCCTCTACCAAAATTGTGAATTTTATGGCCCCAGGGTCAGGGATTCTAGTGTTAGGGCGGGGCTCTATAAATTATATAGTGAAAATACATGAATTCTCTGAAAATCTTCTTCTCTGCTCCTGGGTATTAAATAAACTAACTAAGTGCATAGTTATGATGAGCAAGAGTGCCTCTACCAAAGTTGTGAATTTGTTTGGCCCCAGGGTCAGGGGTTCTGGTGTTAGGGCGGGGCTCTATTGATTATATAGTGAAAATACATGAATTCTTTGAAAATCTTCTTTTCTGCTCCTGGGTATTAAATAAACTAACTAAGTACATAGTTATGATGAGCAAGAGTGCCTCTACCAAAATTATGAATTTTATAACCCCAGGGTCAGGGGTTCTGGTGTTAGGGCGGGGCTCTGTTGATATATATAGTAAAAATACATGAATTCTTTGAAAATCATCTTTTCTTCTCCTGAATATTAAATAAACTAACTAAGTGCATAGTTATGATGAGCAAAAGTGCCTCTGCCAAAATAATGAATTTTATGGCCCCAGGGTCAGGGGTTCTGGTGTTAGGGTGGGACGTATTGATTATATAGTGATCGAAAATACATGTACATGAATTCTTTGAAAATCTTCTTCTCTGCTCCTAGGAATTAAATAAACTAACTAAGTACATAGTTATAATGAGCAAGAATGCCTCTTCCAAAATTGTGAATTTTATAGCCCCAGGGTCAGGGGTTCTAGTGTTAGGGCGGGGCTCTATTGATTATATAGTGAAAATACATTAAATCTTTGAAAATTTTCTTCTCTGCTCCAGGGTATTAAGCAGATGAACTACCTATATAGTTATGCTGGACAAGGGCCCATATCTTCCAGAATTGTGAATTTCAAGGCCCCAGGGTCAGGGGTACCATAGAAGGGGGGGGGGGGCTGTACTTATATACTGAAAATGAATGAATGGTTTTAAATCTGCTCCTTGGTATTAATCAAATATCAAGGCCTAAGGGTCAGGGGTTCATGTGTGGTAGGGGCACTACTGATTATTGCTGAATATTAATGATTAGTTGAAAAGCATTTTTTGTTCCCTTACCCTGCATATGGGTATTAAGTAAACAAACTAAGCAACTGCTAAGTGTATTGTTATGATGATCAATGGTGCCTCTTTCAAAATTGTGAATGCCATAGCATCTGGCTTAAAACATGAATCAAATTCAATCACTGTAAAGTTGTTGCATAATGCTCAGGTGACCTATAAGGCCCATGGGCCTCTTGTTTTTGTTTTGTTCTTTGTTTTTTTTCATTTTTTTTATTATTTATTTTTTTTTATTAAGTTTTAATGATTTCTTTACCCACTGTTTTCTCTCAATTTTCCTTCAATTATGTACTGTTTAACTCTTTTAATATTAGTTTATAATATATATCTTTGTAGAACTCAAATATGTAATTTGTACCTTGATCTCCAATGGAAAGAACTAATATAGGCCGTTGGCCTGCTGTTCAATCCATATTCACTGTATACTTTTCTGTATATTTTGAATAAAAAATACTTCTTAAACTGATGAATAATACTTTTCTGATATGTTTTAGACGACTTATACACTTTGATATATCCAAGTTGAATTCCTAAATGTCGCACATAAAATAATGTGTAAACATTATGCCGCTTAAATTAAATATC